TAGACCTAATATAGACCTCACAGATTGACACTGACAGTATAAAATACTGAGAAGACTTCAAGATTTCGTTTTTTAGTAAAAGTAGTGCTACCTTAAAATACACATTATCAGGTGAAAATAGATCAAATTACCATCTTAATTGGGGGATTAATTAATCAGGCAATGATAATATTATTACATGATGAGATTAACGCGTGTTACTGGCAATTAAGATACAAGTGATGATAGATATTTTGTTGATTTATGGTAGAGAATTTGAACATTGAAACTGGTAGGTCCCGTGAAAATTTGAAAAAAACCAAAAATAGGTAGAATCGGGTATCCCGTCGGTAGAGCGGTTGTTATCCCGCCCAAGTGACTTCCAAGCCTGACAAATCTGGCACTACCCTTTCCTAAGACACCATATTCTGAAAGGATATCAGCAAGTTAAGGGCAATACGTAAAATCTCACTTTGATGGGAGTTGCTCCAATCTATTTTCAAATCACTAGTTTTTGAGAATTTTTAACCATGACTAAACCAGGTTTTGCATAAATTTTGTTGTTATCTATACAAAGACTTACCGTTTATGAATTTTTTTATTCATTCATGCTTTGATGTTATTAATATTATGTAAGATTTGAGGAAACGATGAAGTCAAATAGGTTTGATGAATTTTTTTTGTCATGAATGAATGAATGCTTATGTGTGCTGAGTCAAAAGCTATCTACTTACGAAGAAAGTAATTCTACGCATATGTAAATTCAATCAAACTTTCTGCATGGTTTAGTAGGTATATGAAAATTGCATGAATAAATTTTGTTAGAGCTGCTAGCTTTTGTTGCACCTGGCTTAACTAACAATTTTTAAAGTGATTGTAAAGAGGTTTTCTAATTTCACTAAATCTCACTAAAACTAAGTGTAAAACTAAATGTACCAGTATTATGACCTAAGGCTCTTCACGATTAGTGACATCATCAAACACTTAGTTTTAGTGAATTACAGGAACCACAGACGTCTGATTAAAAATTGAAATGATGCAAATTGATGCAGACACACATACAATATTAAGAAAACCTCTTAACAATCCCTTTAAGGTTTAGCATAAGCATAGAAGATTTTGAAATAGGGGGAAGGAACTTCTCCAATCAATGGTCACACTGGTATTTGTAGAGTGAGATAAAGATGTATAGGCCCTTCAGTGTTACATGCTATCAAAACAAGAAAGCTTTTTACTATGATGACAAGGCTAGTGCTTTTGAAATGCAGTCTGGAAAATTTGTATTGGTGACGTCATAGATGACCTGGAAATAACAAAATGACTTGACATAATCAATTGATCTGTATATACATAATGTTTTAATATGTTGCCTAGGGGAGTATGATTACAGTTATAGGTGTGAAATTATTGCATATTATACTTACAAATTAGATGTAATGCACTGTCACATGTTAACAGGTACATGTACATCAATCATGTATTTTCACACCTATAAGGTGGGATACTGACACTTTCACCAAATCACCTTGACAAATTCATCAGTTTTATATGGTAGTTTGCAAATTTTTTATTATTAAACACAATGTAAATTATACCTAAAAAAATATATTCTGAAATATGCTATTTACAACTATGTCTCTACTTGATAACCTGTATTGGTTTTAAAAGAGTTAATTAAAAACAGAGCGTATTCATTGTTTAATAGGCAGTTCTGGTGTTATCAAGCTTGATGATTTAGTTGAATCCTCCAGAATAATATGAGAAATAGTATATAATTAATTGTTGAATTTTGCAAGATCTAAATGTCAAATTCAGTCATTTAATTAGAGCTCTATCAGTTTATAAAGAAATATTTATATGACTGTAATACCTCATATGTAAGATTGGTGCAATATCCAAATGTATAGAACTAGGTAAGAACTAGTCTATAATTGGTACTTTCATTGTACTTAATTGTTGAATTGAGCAGAATGCAAATGTCAAATATCAATTCTTAAAAGTGCTATAGTAGAGTTAGAGCTCTGTCAGATAGTTAAGAAATATCTAGATGACTATAATCCTATAAATGTAGGTAAGAATTAGTCTATTAGTTCTATTTTGTGGAATTATGCTAGATCCAAATTTAGCTCTATAAACTCTTACAGAATATATCTTGATATATAAACCTTGAAATGTATAAAAATAGGTAAGAAATAGCCTATAATTGTCAGTGATAGATATATTTATATTATAGTTATTATGATTGATGGGAGTATGATAGAGGAAGTGTGATTATTTACATACATAGATACTAATATATCTTATTCATTACTATTAATATTTCTCCACTTTCTCTATCTATGTTCATCTTTTTACATTGCTGATAAATGTGCAGAATATAGTCAACAAATCTTATGTTATAACTATGCTTGTAACATAAATTGTTTTTTTTTTTTAATGTTATAAAGAAATAAATTGCTTATGTGTTTGTGTTTTCGAGGAAAACTTTGGTCTATTATCAGCAATTTGTTGTTGAAGCATACTTGAATAACTTAACATGAAAGCCAAAAGAATCTTAGAGAAAAATAGGTGGAGCCTATGTGTGCTACAATCAGTCCATTTTGATGTTATTTCTGAAGCTACGCCCCTTTTTTTTAATCAAAACTCATGACTAGCATTAGGTTAAACAATAACACTATCAATGCTATCAAGCTGTCAATGATTTTATTTATGTAACAAGTCACATATACCATGTGTCTTATTCATTATCATATTTAAACAAACTCATCGTTCACTTGTAAGAACCATGGTATATAAGTTACATATATAATGAGTTATTGCTTTTGTCCTGGTAAAAGAAAAATTTTATTGCTGTTTTAAATTTCATCAGATGTAATCGATCCCAAAAGTCTTTTAAATACTGAAAACATGACTTACTGCTACAGTTTTTTAAAGAAGTATCTGTAGAAATTTTGTCATTACGCAGAAATTTCACTTTTTATTTATATCGTACAAGTTGAATGTTGAAGTTGATATAGTCTCTGACACCAGGACATCCTTCTTCGCAACTATGTATAGAGGAAGTGGGAACTGATGATTGAGTCTACTGTATACAAGTTACAAATATTCAAGATAGAATATCTTGTAAAAAGATGAGATTATGCTTTTTTAACATTCGAACATGGAAACGAATGGATACACATGGCTAACAAGATTCAAATTTTGACTGTAAGCTGTAAATACTATTACTGATTAGCTCAGGTGAACAATTCCCATTTCTGGGACCAATGTTCAATCGACCCCAAAAATGGGGTCATGGACTTAAAACTATTTAAAATCAGAAGAATAATTTTTTGTGAATCATAAATTTAGGATAAAGAGATTTGTCCACAGTTCAAAAGCATTTAAGTAGTCATGCTGAAGTTGTAAATCTATACGTGACATTCTGGTTCATAAGCTACAATGATGTAGGGTGTTTCGAGATCATATCGAGATACATTTTAATATTCATTATACTATCTATACTTTATGATCTAGGCCAGTGCTTGTATGTTCTCATCACAATCTAACACAAGTATATTCAAAATCTTGATGAAAATTTAAATATTATTTCTCAATAGAAGGACATCAGTACTAGTTAATTAAAAATATAGTGCACTATTTGTTAATTAGGCAGTTAGAATGAATAAGGAATGCCCCATTAATAAGGATATTTTATTCTATTATCCTGTGATGGGACTAGATACCGTACTTAACATTTTATCGAGAACCTTTTTTCACTTAATAAGTATAATTCATTATATTATCCTGTGACAGGGCTAGATACCGTACTTAACATTTTATCGAGAACCTTTTTTCACTTAATAAGTATAATTCATTATATTATTCTGTGACAGGGCTAGATATGTTACACTGAAATTGATATTCTGTTTTGTTATCCAAACATATTTCAGTACTTCTGGATTTTATTTAAGTCAAGTTTTGGTTGAGAAGAAGGCCCCCCCTATTTAGCTCTATCAGATATGACTGGCAAATTCATGTCAATCATTAGTCCTGATAAGGGGATTTTTTGGTTTTACATTGTAAACTTATGTAAACCTAATTACTTCAATAAGCATTTTTATCACGTCACATTGAGGTTCTATACAATACAGAAATTGGTCTCTTATGAAACCACAACAAAAGGGCTACAAAAGAAGTAAATAATTATATGAAATAGTCAAGAAAAGTTTTGAACAAAAAACCACAACAAAAAGGACTACAAAATAAGTGAACAATTATATGAAAAGGTGAAAGAAAATATTTAGATTATATTTAAAAAAATGACACTCTTTTGAATTTGTGGCTGGCTTTTGTCCTTGAATATTTCCATAATGGTTTTTGGTACATCAATTTACTGAACATATCTGTTGGGTGTGCAAGACAGGACACGCTCTCTTTACAGGAATACCTGATGTCATTCTGCTTTTGGGTTTTTATTTTGGAGAGTACACATAGCTAAGATGTTGCGAGTTGATCAATTTATTTTTACTAAGCTAGCGATCATGAATTTTTTTATGCCTCTTTGGCGAAAATTTAAAGGGAAAGGTTGGGTATTTTGGAGGGTTGATTTTAGCCTTGGATATATGTAAATAGTCTTCAGAAATACTAAGATAGCTTGCCAGGCAAGGTAATATACATCCACTGGCAGCTTTGATTTTAAATACAAATATTTGGCAGTACAGTTGCAATTATCAGTATGAAATATTCAACATTCAGTCATACACTTCTTTTGAACTTTTTGAAGCAATACTGAATAATATTACGAGGTTTCAGCAAAATCTGTCACGAATTGGACCTTCTACAATGTTTACGCGTTTTTAAGAACAAGGGCAATACCTCATACTTTTTGATGCTTCTGATTTTGGATAGGGTTCATCCTTGGGTGATTACAAACACTCACACCAAGTTCTATCAAAATCCATTCAGAATTGTGCCTTCTAGAATGTTAGGTGACTTGGTTGATAAGCAAGCATTCACACAATTCACCCCAGTTATTGTATATTTTAGGTACTGGAACATTTGGTAGAGTGGTACAAGTCAGACACAAAGACACTAAAGAATATATGGCATTAAAAGCAATGGCAATCACAGATGTCGTCCGGTTAAAACAAATAGAACATATTAAAAATGAGAAAGAAATTTTAGCATCTATCAGTCATCCATTTATTGTAAATATGTAAGTATGTTATTTAATATTTGGTATTTTAATGCTGACTCTGAAATTGGTAATAAGTCTAGATATTGGATGGTTTTCCTACAATTCTACAAATTGATTTAGTCTGTTATTGACTTTCTCACATGCATTCTAAATTGGCTATTGTGCCCCTGAATGGAATTATAAGAAATACCTGTACACAGAGTTTGAGTACAGACTGACTTTAGTTCCTAAATTTTTAAAGGTCATTTCCACTCTCAAAGGTGCCATAAGAAGGATGCCATCAAAAGGGAAGAACCTGTTGCATAGTGCTCAATGCTGGTTTCTGTTACTGAAATTTACTTCAAATTTGATTGCTGAATTTGACACTAAATTTAGGAAACCTCGACTGAAATCAAAATGCTGATATTGGTTCTCATAAACTTCCAACCTTCGTCAATGAAAGGAATGATTGAATTTGTAAGGAAAAGCCTGTCAAATACTCTGAATAGGTTCAATGGAATGAAAAACCAAAACCTAGAATTCAGGAGGCTGTTGTACCATAGCTGAAAACCTGGAAAAGCGTGTCTCACATAATTGGTTTAGGATAATGGGGTATTCATATGCATTCTCGTTATATTTTTCAGGAAAAAGGCCTGGCATACAGACGTATTTTTATATATGTTAATGGAATATATTCCGGGGGGTGAACTATTTACTTATTTAAGACAACGGGGACGATTTCCTGTCAATGCCTCCATTTTTTATTCGTGTGAAATTATTAGTGCTTTAGACTATTTACATGTGAACTCTATTGTATACAGAGACTTAAAACCAGAAAACTTATTATTAGACCCAGATGGACACTTAAAAATTACTGATTTCGGTTTTGCAAAGAAAATTCAAGATAGGTGAGTACATTTCAATAGAAAAGCTTTGAGAAATATCCATGTTTTTTAAGGATGTACTTTCTCATATAGGCTATACCATCTTCACAATTTCAGTAGACATTATGAAATCTGTCTTATATCTGATATAACTAGGCACTTTTCTTTCATGAAAAATTTTAACTATATGGCTTTATATATGTTTACAGTCTTTCTGTCGAGAGCTGATTGGCTGTATTCACTTGCAATTAAATTAATTAAATTAATGCAATTAAATCCCTGCATTTACAAACTTCTGTGATACAAAAAAAAATTGTCAGATTTTATGAAGAAAAATTATGTGTTAGTTTATATCCACAAGATCTTGGACGGGTTTGAATTTGACTGGATTCAGTACATATTTCCTAAGTTACAGCTCTTGATATACCAAAAATAAGTCAAAATAGACTGCTTGTTCTAGTTCAGAGGGATTAGTCATTGGAACACTGCCAGTTCATGACCCCTAATGGGTTCTTAAGGCTGACTTTGCCAAGAGTCACACATTTTTAAACCTAGCTAATCAGTAATAGTGTTCACAGCTCATTGAGGCTTCAAGTCCTTATCCTAAAAAAAATGTAAAGGGTCCTAGACAATCTGTTAAATGTCTTTTGATAGGATAACGTCACCAAAATCTGAACTGTCTAAAATTGGTCCATTTTGAAACCCTTAAAGGAGAACCTTCACTATCTGTTCAACCAATCATACCTTAGTTTCAGAAACAGGAATTTTTTTAGCTTACATTATCAGAAATAGTGTTCACAGCTCATTGTCGAAATTTTCGAATTTTAGTGACACTATGCCATATATAGAAAACACATATACAGAAATAGACAGTGAAATTTCTAGTTTGAGGTATATTTGAAGGTATTATGCGATTTTCTTGCGTTTTAGTATTTTTTGATACTAGTAAAGCACATTAAGGACCCAAATCAATCCCTGAAGATGCTGACTGTTCCCCTTTAAGAGTGACCAAAGGAATTTCTCCTGATTGGCAAATACAAACCAGCTAGAAAGTTCCTCTGTTCCAAAATTTTTGTCCTAGCTGAGACAGAAATGACAATGGACAATCAAATTGCTCATCAGATGAGCTGTTATCAGTCAGGAAATGTCTCCTCAAGAATACAGTGTATAGAAAAATTTTTAAAATGGTAAATCTAATTTCAAACCAAAATTAATTCTAAATAATTATAATATAAAGTGTCCAGATACAACCACTTTGTAATTTGAATTGTTGTGAATGTTAAGAAATAACATTGAATAAATAGACATTTTGTTTTTTATTCATTCAATTGTTGAGATAGTTTCAGATTTAAAACGTCTATTTCAGCACTGTTATAAGGCATCTTTCACCTGGGAACCCAGAAGCATTTTTAGCAATAAAATATACTTTTAAAAAAAATACACAGATATTAAAGAAAAACAAGATTGAATATTTCAGCTAATGAATACAATAATACGAAAAAAAATGTAGCGTCAGTATAGACCAACACAACACACGTACAGATTAACAACTACTCTGGGATGATATAAATTGTTATTGAAAAGTAAACAAATTACAATGGTGAAATGAGAACTGGGGTATTTTACATAGCCCAGCGCATGCGCAAGTATGCATAGAACATAGGCGTTCGTACAATTAATAATAACAGTTAACACGTTACTATAGACCTTTATAGTATACTGGTGTAGCAGAAAAAAGTAATTGCATAAGCTCAAGATTAAAGACATTTTTAAGCCATTAAACATTAGATCTATCTAGGCATCTGGGCAGTCATAAAACCTATATTTTGATTAAACCAACAAACAGGGAATATTTAAGTGTATCATTATTCAACAGTTTATGTCAAGATCTATTAATAAAAATATATACAGAGTAATGCAATGGTTTCTTCTCTCAGGCCAACTAATAACTATATATATATATAAATATATATATATACAGACAGGTGTTGTAAATTATAACAATGGTAAGATTAGTCAAGTACATGATGGTACAAATTGTTAGACTTCATCATGTTCTTAACTTGTCTGATTACGCTACAGTCAAAAATAGATTTGAAGAATGCACTTAGGTTGCTCATTAGACAAGTAAAATTGATAAATTCCCAAATGAATGGAATAAGAAAAAATATTACTGGAGCCTATTTTAGTCTGTCTTCTAGTGATTAGTCTAAAAATCTGATTTATTCATGACTGATGTACTACTTTATTTTAGACTCTTAACCTGTGTCTCATTTTTAATGACAAAATCTTTGGCTTGTTTTTAGATTCTAGCTTGGCAGATACTGATAATTGTCTCTTGCACTAAAAGTCTGATTTATTTGAAACTCTGGTCTCTACAGTCTGACTTATCGGTGAATGAAATTCTGTATCGAAGAAATCTGACTGTAATCCTGGCTCTGAAAGTCTGACTTATTTAAAACTGAATGAATTTCTGTCTCATGAGACTTGACTATAACTCTGACTTTCAAAGTCTGACTTTTCATTGAAACTCAGACACTTTCAAAGTCTGTCTTTTCAGTGAAACTCTGATCTTAAAAGTCTGTTTTTTCATTGAAATTCTGAATTTCAAAGTCTGTCTTTTCATTGAATCTCTGACTTTCAAAGTCTGTATTTTCATTGAATCTCTGAATTTCAATGTCTGTCTTTTCATTGAATCTCTGAATTTCAAAGTCTGTCTTTTCATTGAATCTCTGACTTTCAAAGTCTGACTTTTCATTAAATCTCTGAATTTCAATGTCTGTATTTTCATTGAATCTCTGAATTTCAATGTCTGTCTTTTCATTGAATCTCTGACTTTCAAAGTCTGTCTTTTCATTGAATCTCTGAATTTCAATGTCTGTCTTTTCATTGAATCTCTGACTTTCAAAGTCTGTCTTTTCATTGAATCTCTGACTTTCAATGTCTGTCTTTTCATTGAATCTCTGACTTTCAATGTCTGTCTTTTCATTGAATCTCTGACTTTCAATGTCTGTCTTTTCATTGAATCTTTGACTTTTGAAGTCTGACTTTGAAACACCATAAAGTTCAACTAGGACTTGATACTTCTCTAGTGCATTAAAAATACCCTATGTATTCATAACCTAACATTGTTGTGATCTTTAGATAGTAAATTTAGAAAGATGAAAGTGTATTTTGGATTACATTATTTATTTGGTATAGAATCAAGAATTAAGTGAAAACATCTGGTTTATACCTAATGATAAATATAAGATCAAATAATACTACTTATTAGGCCAGAATAGATACAAATTTTAGTGTAATGAAATATTTCAGTTCCCAGTAAAAAGTGAAATTAATTCTCATCTTTACTATGGGATTTTAAGCTTTTGACTTGAAAGTTTTAAAATGAACACTTTTGTTAAGGAACTACAAATCCTTAGACTAAATTTTAAAAATATTTGACCCCTAATCATCTTTGAGGTAAGAATGACAATGAAGTGATATTCCATGCATGATTTTTGAATTTATTGACTACAGATAAAGCTAATTTCTATTTGATTTTAAGCACAATTTAATGGTAGGAAATGACTCTTGAAGATTAGGGATAATACATTGCTATGAGCTATCTTATATTTCTGAGAAGCTAAAAGGGGCATTCCCCTTTTTTTTAAAAGATGTTTTCATTATCAAAAACATCTTAAATTAGCATATACCTGAAATGCTATTTATATATATATGTATCTACTTGATCAAACTGATTTTGTTTTAAAAGGGTTAATTAAAAACTGAGAATACTAATTGTTAATTAAGCAGTTTGATCTAGTTTCGGTGATTGGCTTTATGGCTCGTTATATAGATAAGTGACATATTTCTCTACAATTAGGCGCTTATTTTACTCAAATTTTTTTAGTTAAAACTTTCAGATATGTTATTGGATACATTTTTATAGATTTTGGTTTATAGCTTTCACAAATTTGAGCAGAAAAAAATTTCGACCTACTGAAAAACAGGAATGTCCCTTTAAAGTGAAGCAAGTTTTACCACCTATTTAGCAAGTTAGGCTTGGTATTTCATTTTATGGTCCGTTAAATGAAACTGTTTTGTCTTGGTCTAACTAGAGAACTCTGTACCTCATAAGAGTAAATTTTGTGTGTAATTAGTATAATTTGGAGGCTAAATACCATAAATTTCTGGTAGAATGTACTAAAGACTGGTGTCTGTTAGTGTTATTGCCAGTGTTTTTAGTACATCGTGTTTACACAACATTATATAATCACATCATTATATTGGTTTTATTATACTCTATTCTTATCTGTCAGTGACTTTTACCTCAGTTTCACAATACCTGTTGCATTTCTTTAAGTTGAACCGTTTCAAATATCAACAACATTTCTGTCTGATATTCAAAACAAAAACATTAAGTTAAATGGCAAGGTGGGATCAAGGTTAAAGAATGGCTTCCTTTGATCTTATTACATCCCCAGTCTTCTTTTTAATTTAAGACTTCTATGTAGCTATTCACAAACTCAAATGGTGAAATTTTCTAAAATAGAATATTAAATTAAATCATTGCTAATATAGAAAAACAAAACCGGTGGGTAAGATGGGTTCAACCTTGACTTGACATGGGGTTGCTCTTAATAGGGAGTGATGCCATCACTAGCTCAGTTTCATTATAAGATTTACAGCTTCAAACACTTAGTTTTAGTGGAATTGCAGGAACCACAGACTGGAAATCCTCCAACTGGAGTCCTGATAAACATGAAAAATTTAGGATCCCTTTATGCTCTTAGATATTACTAACTTTGAAATGAAGTTGATAAAATCACGAAAATATTGGTATAACATTAACAGAGCAACTGAACTTGAAAAGTACCCTAATTGAGTCAAATATCACATGAACTTCCATTTGAAAGAAGGGCAATTTGAAAGGGTCTGCTGCACTATCATCAGCTGAATCAATGTAGAACCATTATAGACATTTCTCACTTAACGCTTAAAGGGAGTGTAAAGAGGTTTTATAGCATTTTATGTGAATCGGGGACACCTTTGAGTTCTATTTGGGACATTCCAATTCTTCAAGAATGCATGTAGTTCCTGCAATTTCAGAAAGAGTTAACTGGAAATGATGCAGCTCCCACAAAAGAATTTGTAACCAGACTACCACCAGACCACAATAATATGATAATATATGTTTTCTCCCTTTGTCAGCTTTTTAACTAAAGATTTTCTGACTCACATTTTGCGTCACCATTGCTTTATAATTAATTAATAAAGAATTGTAATGTCCCAAATAGAAGTCAAATAAGTGCCTTATACAAAACCACTTACACTCCCTTTAATAGGCTTCAATACAATTCATCGAATATATGAAATTAAATGGCTAAATGGGTACTTGAATATAGATTGCACCTAACAAGATTGAGGGCGTTGACTGGTTTATTTCATCTTGTGAATATGTGCATGATTTCTTGAGAGTGGTTGTGCAATGATAATACAAAGAAAAATAGGTAGCTCTTTTTCTGGACTTTTTAAATCTTGGTGGTAACCATGGAAAAGTAAAAAATTTGAGTGAAAATTGGGCTAGACAATCTTGTGTCAACCAGGACACATTTTTCGATTGAAAACCAGATACTTATATTGTGGGATATTTTCGAAATTTTCGAAAATTCTAAAAACTTAATGATTGATTAATTAATTAACAGATGTGTTTGGTAACAGTTTAAACCACCCATGGTCTTGCAATATTTGATAATCTGATATTATATAAACTGAACTGAGAGATTTCCCTTTGATGAAATTGTGTTGATGAGGGCACCATTTGTATCCTGTTCAGTAACGTTTTGCTTCTATTTTCAATGATTTCTATAATGACTCTTTTTGAAGCTTGGTGAAATGACAGTCAGGTCATGGAGCAAAACTTCATTTAGAATGAATTATATGACTTTCTGTTTCTATTAATCACTGATATCTCTGGAACTAGAATACATAGGTTCAAAAGACCTTCTCATATTGTCTCCTCCCAATAAAGAACTCTGTTCATAATTATTTTTATACACCCACATTTCCATGTGGACAATTAATAATGACCATTAATAATGATTGAACATTCAAACCAATGAAAAAGATGATGGTGATCACAGTTTAAACAAATAAGCTGGACTCTAATGACAGGATACAAAGTGAGTCAAATACAATTACAAAACTCCCTCTAATACAAAAGCTTCCTCAAGGAGGACTAATTACAAAATAAAGAAATAAAGAAGAAGTCACAAAGGTTATGACATCATCAAGCTGATGTAGACATATATTGCTGTCACCCCTGTCCTTCACCCCTATCCGTCCGTCCGTGCTAGGCAACCACTTGTTCTCAAATGGCATTCTCAACAAAACTTCTATAGCATGGTCAGTTTATAATTTTACATATCCTCTGTCTATTTCAGAACGTGGACATTATGTGGAACACCAGAATATCTCGCTCCAGAAATTATACAGAGTAAAGGTCATAATAAAGCTGTTGATTGGTGGTCACTTGGTGTTCTTATATTTGAAATGTTAGTTGGGTAAGTCAAGGGTTTATAATGAATATAATTTGCATAGGAAGAAAATAGAATTTTACCAAAAATATAAGTAATATTTAAGGATCTTAGTAGCTAATACTTCGCCAAATTCCTTGAATTGTATCTTTCCTGGATTATTCATACCCATTTGAAACTGGGTCGACTGGAATAATGAGAAAAGATGACTTAATTTTTTTGCTAACAACCAATGTTATAACTCACTAACACTGAAATATTTAATTACACCTGAAAATCACCTTAGAGCACTGTGACCAACTTATCTATAACTCTTTGAAGTAGTTTCCATATATACGAAAAAGTCTTGGCTTGTTTCTTACTTTGTAATAATAATGAACGTTGGCACAAGGCTTACACATTAATGTTTAGAATTGATGTTATTCTTAACATCTGCATCAGGGCTGTTGAAATGGCTCTGTCAAATGGCCAACGGTCAATATCCTATACTGGACATCAAGCTATCAAGGCAGATCCATGGACATCCTGTTTATTTTCATGTATTCTTTATCATTGATATATTTGCAGGTATCCACCATTTTATGATGATAATCCATTTGGAATTTATAAGAAAATATTGGATGGGAAAATTTCCTGGCCAAAATTAATTGATCCTGTTGCCAAGTAAGACATTGTTGTTTGTGATTGTCATAAATTCATCATCCTGTAATTTTTCCAACAAAAAGTGTGTTTCTGTTGAATTAGTAGCAATAAGACTGATTTTACCATTCACTGGTGTGTTGGATATTTGTTCTGTAAGTCAAAAGATATCAATTTCCATCTTCACAATGTCAAGCTATGGTGAACTTTGTTTTATACATTGACTGCAATAGCCATCTTTCTTGTATCACAGAATGCAGCAATTTGATTGGATTGTACATAACCCATAACAGCCAATCATAGCCCTCGACATAAAGACTGTAAGCATTATGGGATTTTGTGACAGACTTTCTGTCGAGGACCCTGATTGGCTGTATTCACTTAATTACAATTCAACCAAAACTCTGCATTTACAAACTTCCTTAACATAAGAAAGGTGGCCATTTCAGTCAAGGTATAAGAAAAAGTTTGTGATATCATTGTGAAGATGGTGTATGAACCTAATGATGAAATGTTTAACTACATATGTCATGTCTATTATAGAGATTTAATAAAGAAATTACTGTGTCAAGATAGAACAAGAAGATTAGGCAATATGAGGGTAGGTATTCAAGTCACATTGACGCTTGCACCATTTCTGTTTGCACTTCGGCCAATGATTAAAGTCTTAGTGAACTAGCATGAGGTGTGTGAAAAGGGTTCATACCTGGCATAGACATAACCCATGCATGAACATGCAAGCGCCAAATCAGCACAAACACAGCCACCGCATGAATTCATTATTTAAATTAGGCGTACAGGTAGTGCACTTCAGTGAGGTGTCAATGTGGCATTACAGGATACACTTGCTCTGATATAACATCAGATAAATTATCTTTTCTGGAAAGTTTATCAATGATCAACAAGAACTGTGAATGTCCATATGCTTGTATTCCATTGTATATTTACCATGATGGCCAAGATTTAAGAGCCATGACCGAATATAAGATAAAAATTAGAGCATTGTTAAGATTCCCTATTTGTTTAGTGCATTTAAATAGGTGGTAGCCTATTGGGTTGACTTATACCATCATTGACCAAACTATGAACAATGTCATACTTTGTTTACAATATTAACATCAACTTCTGATACTTGACATATTTCCTAATAGGATATAACCGACATATTTTGCATTTAAAAGGATATGAATAAGGTTATAAATAATTAACATACCGGTAACATGATATGCATAATAAAGGGGCAACATGATTACCATTTCACTTGCCTAAGAGTATTTTTGCATTCTTTATGGTTTTTATAAATATTCCATTTGATTTAAACAATTTTTATTCATGATTTTTCAAGTTAATGTAAAATGGTTTCAGAAACGTTCAACAGCAGATAAGTTGAACTACATGAAAATTCTATAAATTTTGACTGAAAATTGTTTAATGTAAATTTAAAGATGGTTTTCCTTATTTTTTAGTGTAAAATTAAGCAAATTATTATTGGTGTTTCTAATGAATTATCATGAATTCTTAATCATATCATTATGTGTTTATTGCATATAATTAAGAGTTTTAACCAATCATAAATGTTCATGTATATACAGTCTGGATAAACATAAAAAGACTTTTTGACCTTTCTTGATCTGTCACTCATTTGAATTCTGCTGGTAATTCTCTTCTAATTTAGCTAATTATGAATTAATTATGGACATGTGAGACAAATTGGTATTTTTCCAAGTCATTAGAACACCTCTACTTTCTATTCATATTAGTGTAAGGATTTTCATTTCATAAATGAAAATGAGGGAACCTATCTTTAAGTTGATATTTTGATGAAAATACGATTAACAAACACCACTTTGTAGTCAAAAAAACACATTAAAAAAATTTGCATTTATCATTGTCTTCTGCCATTTGCAAGTTCTTGAAATAGCTGAAGTAGTTATTTTGTATAATGAAATTAGTAGACCTTATTCCTTTAAAGTGATACTACGTCTTAGAATGAACATAAAATTTAATTCTCAAGAATGGTCAATATGAGTATATATTCATCAATGAACTTACATGGTGTCATAAAGTTACAATAGAATCCTTGTGAAATCTAGAAAATTGGAAAATTCATAAAACCAAGTAATTATTGAAAAATTCTAAATCATAATATTAAGCCTTTTTCAATAGTTTATTGCATTCTTTATTAAGTTTTTTGGATTTATCGGATTATATAAGGATCCTGTTATGTTATTTATGACACCAGGTATATCTACTGATGAATATAATGCTCTTATTGGCCAAGTTTAAATTTTTAAATTTTATGTTTATACTAAGACGTAGTATCACTTTAATATGTTAATGTGACTTGTAAAGTAGAGGCGAGCAAAGTCCATGTTTAGACATCAGGATATTATTTTGCAAATAAATCTGTTTACTTATATCTAGTACATGTTGATCTTATTTATAGGGATATAGTCATTTCAATATTTGTTATATCATCTGATACAGAATGATTTCAATCATACAAAAATTTAAATAAGGTTTTTATTCTGACAAAATAATTATTAAGATGACTTTCTCTTGAAAGTTTTAGTGCCATTAAATTTGATGGAACCACAGAAATCAGAATAGTGTCAATAGAATATATTACATATTATGTTTCTTGATACACCTTTGCTTACAATCCATTCATGTTGTTGCTTATTTGAAACTATGGCAATCATGTCCACTCAAGAATTTTTAAGGTGATTTCTAAATTTTTTATGTGTATCGGTGACACTGATAGTATGAATTTGCACCATTCCAATTTTCAAATCTGTGGTTCCTGCAATTCCACTACAACTAAGTGTTTGATGATGTCACTAATCACATAGGGCCTTATGTGATGAAGCAGATCTTCAATAAGTGACGTTATCAAACATTAATTTTTACTGATCAACTTGATGTACAACCCTGTATTTTTCATTGTAAAAATTGACCAATATTTCACTATTATTGTAGAATGGTGCAGAAGATATTAAGAAACATAGATGGTTTAAAAGTATAGATTGGGAAGATGTTGTCAATAGAAAACTTAAGGTAAACAAATTATTGTGTCATAGTGATCAAGACTTGCTCTCTGACATCTGAAATCACTGCAAAATATTAGCTCCCTTCAGAAAATTTTCTTATAAATATTCTTTACATTCACTGATCCTGTTCAATGAGCTTCTGTCTTGACAAACAGTATTATGGATAGTAATCATTGTAATAGAGCTGAAAAGATTTTTAACTTGAACTTAGGCTTAGGTTTTGGAAAACTGGCAAAATTAAAAACATACTTAATTAAACCAGATTAGCCTAGTGGACTCCCTGAAAACAGTTTGACAGAAGTTTTAGAAATATAAGCATGTCATGCACTCACAAGCATGTGCCGTCGTTAATACCTTCAGCGGAGATGAAATTCAATAAACGACAATTTTTTTTCACCCTAATCATTTTTGATTTTCAGGCACCCATTGTTCCAGAATTAACCCATTCTGGCGACACGACCAATTTCGATTCCTACCCAGAAAATGATTGGATAAATTCTGAACCATGTAGTCCAGAAGAATTGGAAAACTTTCTGGACTTCTAAAAAAAAGAATACCCCACAAACTGTTTCGTTTGAAATAAATATCCAAGTGTTCCTTTTTGAAAATATATATAATTTCCAAATTTGCAATGTGGTATTTAAGTGATACTTGTGTGTGTGTGTATATGTAGATTAGTGAGTGAGTGAGTTTTGATATTGTATTGATTTTATGATCTGTTTTGTTGGTCGAGCCATTTTTTGGTATTAAGACCAACCTTATTTTATTAAATTATTGACCCTATTTTATGGGTAAGGTTTTGTCTTACTAACTTTTAATTTTGAATTAAAAAATGTTTTATGTTTGATTTGGAGAAATTGTTGATATTTTAGGATGTAAATTTATATGTCAAGCAAAGATATTAATGTACATGTCCTTTTACAATTCAAAATACAAGAATTCCAAATGCACAAATTCAAAATATAAGAATCCAAAATGCACAAATTCTAAATACAAGAATTCAAAATATAAGAATTCGAAATACAAGAATTCAAAATGCAGGAATTCAAAATATAAGAATTCAAAATGCACAAATTCAAATTACAAGAATTCAAAATACAAGAGTACAAGTACAAGAATTCAAAATACAAGAATTCAAAAAACTAGATTTCAAAATAAAGTAGTACAAATTAAATGACTTTTTGGGCACCATATTTTCAACACTTGCTTCAAAAATGTTGTTCCAAATATCGAAGTTTGATTTTTCTTCATTTTGCCAACTCTTGAATCAGTTAAAAGAAGATAAAATATTGTTTGAGACAAATTGAACATATAATCAAATGTGAAATAAGTTTAATTTTTTTTGGAACAAGATCTGACTCTTATTTCACTGTGATAGATTTTTATCATTTCTGTTTAAAAAAAAAAGAATTTGACAACTGATAACATTAGACATAATATATTCTTCAAATTATTTGGTTAATCAGGTGATAAAACTTGATTTTCAGATGGAAAATCCAAGGAAATTTACTATGTATATATAGAAATAATATAGTTGATTTATTGTGAACCAGATGTCAAAATTTCTTTCTGAAGGAGTGACATGGATAGCTGAATTTTTAAACTGAATAATTAAACGTTTGTATTCCTGTTAAAGGGTAATTATGTAACGAGATTGTAAAGAGGTTTTCTGAAATTTTATGTGAAATGGGGACAATGATAGCATTAATTAACACCATTCCAATTTTCAATCAGAGGTTTATGGTTCCTGCAATTCCACTTAAAATAACTTTTTGATGACATCACTAATCGCAAAAGGCCTTATGTGATAAAGCAATATTTTGCGATTAGTGACGTCATTAAACACTTATTATATTAAACATCTGACTGGAATTTGGAATGGTGCAAATTGATGCTATCAGCGTTCCTGATACACATAAAAAATTTAGAAAACATCTTTATAATACCTTTAATAATCACATGTATAATATATTGCTAGTCAAAGATAGTTTTTTTTATGTTTAATATGTTCAGTATATTATATGTATTTGTAAATGGATTAATTATACATGAATAATCAAATGAGTAGGTCAAATGGATTTATAATTTTGTTTTTCAAACCAAAACTTTGAATTGTTAAAAAGATGATCCAGAAAACATCCTGAAAAGATTTCCTGGATATATATTTATTGAAGAGAATTTAGCCTATGTGATGTATTCTTTCTTTTTGTTCAATTATTATATAAAAAGAACTTTGTAATCTGTCTCAGAATCTTGTGGAATCCAGATTCTGAATATCTATACTAAATAATTTTATTTTATTTATTTTTAAGATTGACACAATCCCACTATACCTTTATAGTTGACACAGTCACAACACCAAATGACTCTTTTACATTGTAGACACTAGACAGTAAATGCCTCTATTACAATGTAGTCAGAAGACAGTAAATGCCTCTATAACATTGTAGGCACACAACAGCAAATGCCTCTACTCTTTAGACACTCAACAGTTATTGCCTCAATTACATTGTTGGCACTCACTAAATGCCTCTATAACAGGTAGGTTCTCAACAGTAAATGCCTCCATAACTTTGTAGATGCTTCACAGTCATAGCCTCTATTACATTGTCAGCACTCACTAAATGTCTCTGTGGGCACTCATTAAATGCCTGTATATCATTGTAGGCAATCAAAAGTCAATGCCTCTATAACTTTGTAGCCACTCAACAATAAATGCCTGTATAATAACATTATTCTCTGTAAATGCCTTATTTACATTGTAGTCCCTCAGTAAATGTCTCATTTACATTGTAGCCCTTAATCAAATCATTCAGTGGGTTTTGTCTATGATTAATTTGTTTGTTTTGTTAAAGATTATTATTATTATTATTTGTATGTATTTTATCTGTATATTTTGAGTCTTAATAATGCTGGGTCATGTTGCATTGCTCTCAGCTACAAATTCATGGATGATACTGAGTTTCAAATCCTTCTATTCTGTTTCTGAATGGTCTGATGAGGAAGAACAATGAATGCAGTGTACAATGAGGGAAATTTCGCAAGGAATCCAACATGACTTAATATGTGTTTGATACAACTAGATGTGATATTAGGTTTTTAAACTGTTTTTACCATGTCAGCCAAATAAATACATTTTTTACCAACTTAGTCTATTATAATTTCTTTTCACATCACTTTTCAGATGTACAGCCTTGTGTCTTTTGATTCTTGATTTTTAAGATAACATCCTGTTAAAATCATATTCAATATGAAATGTCAAGTAATAGATTTAAACCCTTTCAACCCGAGCAAACCAGATTACTCAATATATATTCACATAACGTTAACATCATATGCTTTAACTTTACCTAAAGTTCAGTGTATATGATGGTTACACTCAGTTTTCAAAGAATTTAGGAGATTCAGTAATGGAGGACAAGGCTTATAACTCAGAATCTACTAATCAAACCGAAACGAGGTCTTCAAACCAAGTTTGATCAACACTATGCATTCTAGAAAATTTACCAAGAAATGTAAATCTCACTGACATACTAATGCAAAGATGAACGTGAAGGTCAACAATATACAACCACATGCACATTGTGTTTAAATTGGATGAATAAAATAAACCGAATATAAGATCTAACTTTTAACATGTTTTATTTGTTATACTTTGTGCAAACAAAATACAATTTTTTATATGCTTTCTTATTAAGGCCATAGAAGATTGATAACCATAAGCATAAGAAATTTAGCTAAATATTATTATCAAATTAAATAGATGTTAAAGTCCAAAGAAAAGAGGAGGAGATAATGTCACTCAATAATGTCACTCAATTTTAGCCATTGCACATCACTTTTCAAAATATAAATTTGACTGATCCCAGTAATATTTTCATATGAGAAGGTAAATACATTTGGATGTAAAGGGGTAAGATGTCAGATATATATTTTGAAAGGTGATACATACAGTTGAGATTGAACTCTATCATTTGGTAAACAAATATTTACACAGCTATATTCTGTTAATCTTATTTAAAGGGATCAAAAGAAATTATTGTCTTTGTATGTGTATTGGGGACAGTTCTAAATTCAAATTGTACTATTTTGAATTTCGCACAAATGGTTCCTGTAATTGCAGACAAACTTAACAGGATTATGATGTCATTATCATTAAATGAGCCCAGATACACATAACCTCTGGAAAACAATCTCTTTATTCCTGTTTAAGTGTATCAGGGACATGGATAGCATCAATTTGCACCATTCCAATTTTCAATCAGACGTCTGTGGTTCCTGCAATTCCACTTAAACTAAGTGTTTGATGACGTCAATAATTGCAAAATATGCTTTATCACATCAGGCCTTTCGCGATTAGTGACATCATCAAACAACTAGTTTTAGTTGAATTACAGGAACCACAGAAGTCTGATTGAAAAATGGAATGATGCAAATTGATGTATCAGTGTCAGCAACACACATAAAATTTTTTAAAAAACCCCTTTTCAATCCCTTCAAGGTTATGAATTTTATATGGCCTGATATAATATACAATAAGTAGAAACTTAAATAAATGTTATTTACATTTCAAAGCATGATAATAATAATAATAATAGTAAACAAACACAACCAATAACAAAAAAAAATTGATTTTCAAGCTGTAGCTAATATACATTTGAAATAATTTTTGTTTTTGTTTTTTAGACAAATCTATTTGATTATCATATGGATTGAATAATGTGTACTAGGTTCAGAATAAGATTGAATCGGACAATTTTTCATAGACATCCTTGAAATTTTCATGGTTAGGATTCAAGTGGCCCTCACTCCATAGGGATCACCAGTTATGTTTTAACATGAAAAAGAATAGCGGTCATAAGTGTTGAACGCGTTCAGACTTTGTCAATTACATTATTCGCATCCATATGCAACTGAGTAATTGCTATGGTTTGAGGGTACCTTTAGAACAAACAATGATCTAATATGCAGTTTGTTAAACTATCCCACCTCTTACATTTGATATTATTATGTATAAAGATCTGGTTGAAGATAAAATCTATGACATGAGCTATTATCTTATTAAAATGGAGATCTGCAAGTTACTACACTCTATCCATGATCTGACAATTTTTATTTTCAAATTTTGTTCGGTCAAATTTTAAACACATAGTATAAAAAACAGGTAAAAATGCAAATGGTATTTTCTAATTAAACATGGAATTTGATTGGTTGAGTATATTAATATCCTAGAATATGTGTTACATAAAAATAGCATCAGATCATGGACAGCAAGATGAATTCGCCAGAAAAAAAACTCCAAAAACAAAAATTCTACATATGTATTTCTAGATTTGGTATTAAATATTGTTTCAAATTAACTCAACAGTATAATTAAAGCACTTTAATGATTATAAATAATACAGTTATCACATAAACAAATAGCATAAAATAACATAACTTAAAGGTTCTATATATTTTGGTTGCCTTCAATATTTTGTAACTTTTGGTAGTTTCATCAAATTTTCGAAATCAAACATTCCCAGTTATCAACCAAGCCATAACCTTACTTTGGAAGCTTTTTAAAAAGAAATTCTGTCTAATGAATTTTTTTTCACCAAATATATTTATTTTGTAATTTTATTGCTAAGTGTGAGGGTACCTTTAATTCACATTTAGATAGATGTCGGTTGGTAGCTAGAGACTGACTAATGTTGCTTGTGCCTATATAACAATACATATTCGAACAGTAGCTTTGTTTTAACAGATATCCGTTAAAGTAATAGCTATGGATTTAAAAATTAAGAAAACAATGTTTTTTTCTAAAATTTGGCTTGCCATCATAAAATATTTATCAAGCTTGAACTACACAACCTTTAAGTATGTTATTAGCAAGAATTGTGGTTTATAAACTTAAATCTATTGTTTCTAGACCAATATTCAGTGTATCTTTATAGGCCCAGACTAAACAATAATGACTAAATAACTGTACCATTAACTCTCTTTCATCCATAAACTCTATCTTCTCTATCCTGTAAATGAATAATGAAATAAATAAAAATAAAAATTATTGAATAATGAATTAATTGAATAATGAAATAATTGAATAATGAAGTTAATAAATAATAAAGTTAATAAATACTGAAATAATTGAATTAATGAAGTTAATAAATAATGAAATTATTGAATAATGAAATATTTGAATAATCAAGTTAATAAATAATAAAGTTAAACACTAAAATAATTGAATAATGAAAATATTGAACAATGAAATTAATGCCAAATGAAATTGTTTGAAAACTACAGGAGGTACAGAATTTACAGAATTATGAATCACAGGTGTTAAATCTGCTTTAAATTTTGACAATTTCAATATAAGCTATACTGTTGGTATATATCAGAAGTTATTACCTCCGTAATTCATCTGTTGGTAGACAATTATAAACTTTATTCATTTCTAAAGCATCAGCGTCAGCCCAACCATTAGATGTAAACCTTAAAACAGAGAGTTTGACATTAGCAGAGCAGAATAAACTCAGTAGTAAATATCAACTCCATACAACTTTCACAGAATTTGGTTAAGATATCAATCACATCAACAAATAAATACAAAATCAATCACACCATTATTCCTCTTTTAATGAATGATAATATATAGGAATTTTAAGTTATAGCACGAAAGCACAGGCACAGGCAATATCATGAGTTGGATGAAAGGGAGTGACTGGCTGTTTGTCAGTCATGTCTGGTTGGAGTTTCAAAAATATATTTTTTGGATGAACATGTTTTGAAATTATAATTTATTCATAAGGAGAAATTCATACATCATAATGTCCAGCATTAAATATGTTCTTGCTTTAAATTTAATGCATACCTTTGCATTTGTGATTGTAAGTTAGCACAGGCTGAAACCCCTGTTAAATAGCAGTCTCTTGATCTTAAATTATCCATCATAACTTGACCAAACTTGTCTCCCATATTAACCTGAAAATATGATTAATCATTAACAAAAACAGACATTATAAAGGCGATTCCCCAGCATCAAAATAACTTGAATTGTGTTCAATTTCATTAGCCTTTCGTACGAAGATTCTTCATTTTTGTTAATTGTCAATAAAGTGAGTAAACTTATTCATCATTTTAATATTTTCACTTGCTTGTAGCTGTTTTAAAGGGACAGATAGGCCATTTTTTTTAACCAATCATACTTTAATCTTAGAAACTGAAATTTTTTAGCTGAGCTAATCAGTAATAGTGTTCACAGCTCACTGTCGAAATTTAAGCCTGCAAATCCATTTGTGTCAAGAATTATCTTTGTTTGAATGTTAAAATGACGACTTGTCAATTTAAGATACACTGCGATATACTGAAAAGACATATACAGAAATATTGATAAAATTGAAGTATTTTTGTAATAATTATGTGATTTTCATACATTTCTAGTACCTCTGAAGACTATTTACATCTATTCAAGACTAAAATCAACCCCCCTTTAAGGCTTTGAAATTTTTTTTACACAGTGATAAGCAGTTGAAGTTTAAACTCTGTTGCTTTGCAGAGGAAATACTATTGTGGTGTCTAGACTAAAGTAGGTGTGTATAATCCAACACAGTAAATTGTCCTATTTAATTTTAATAATCATAATTCTAGTATGTCTCATGATCCTATTACATATCTATTATAGTGACACAAAGATTATTGCATAATACTGTATGGTTTTTGTTACATTAAAGCTGAACACTACACAGTTCTTAACAATAGTAAACCATTAAAAGATTTATTACCCTATATATGGTAATATAAAGGACTTTCAAAGCATTAATGAAAATATGTGACAGGGTTAGATGTCAAATACCAACCTGTTCATAATTAATAAAGAAAGCAGTTGGGAAGTGATCAGAAATCCATTTGATTAAACGCCCACTTTTATTAGAGTCTATATACACAAGTACACATTCTGCTATAAATACAGTAGGTATACTTCTATCAATTCCTGATTCCTGCAACTTCTTCTCTATATCACCAAGTTCTGTCAGGTTGGCACCAACGATATGGTAGTTAGCTGAATGCAGGTCATATTTACTGAGCATAATATCATCATCTGAAACATATTACATAAAATTTTACAGTTACCAAGCTATGGTTAGGTACTCAAATAAATTTCATTGCAAGAGTTGTAATCTTGCAAAAGGTGCGGGCACACTAAACAGCCTTGGTTGGCGATTTTTATTGCTGACTAGAGTCTTGTCAAGAAATTCACCGACTGGCTGCGGGCACATTGGCGACAAAAATCTCCCACTGATAATGAATAGGAAAACAATCAGAGTTGGCCATTTGGGAAATCCACTATATAATTTGATATGTATTATTTTTTATGTTATCTTATCTAAAAATGGCAAAATATAAAAGAGACCTCAGGCCTTATTTTTCACCCGTGTTACTAAAGATTTAACTTCTCTGGCAAATAAGATATATAAGCTTATTGCATTACCTTCACTAGAAATTTTATCTAAAAGAGGTTTCTTGGATTTGATATGATGGCATTTCTTGGCAGTGACAACAGGAAAGTCAATCTCTACAAACTTCTGGGGCATCAAATGTGCATCTTTTAACCTCCAAAATGTTGTATCATAACCTGCTCCTAGATTAATCACCTGGCATTTCTTATTTGTAAGCTGAAAAAAATGATATTTTAATTAGTAGAATTGATAATGGTACCTCATAATAAAAACAAAGTAATAAGAGAAATTTTGCCAGGACAGTGCCAATTTACAACTGTTGAGGGATCTTTAACCTGCACAGCCTGTAGCACACAGTCCCATCCAAATGACTAGACGCTTTTTACTTGTCAGCCTCTCTTACCTGCATCACTGACAGGGGGAAACCGAGTTGAAAAATCTGAAGTTATTATCTCGACCTATGCCGGGATTGAACCCAGGTTAGCAAGCAAGGGTCTAACTCACTGAGTCACCATGGCTTCCAAATATTAAGTAAAGACATTCTTCAAATATTGACATTGACAAATTGAAAATGAAATGAATGGAGTTTTACAGCTGACTTTTCTGCACCTGATTGTAGTGCTTGCACTACAAATATTGTACCGGTATCGCGAGGTTGTGTATCGATACTTGACCCTGCATCTCATTTCATAAAAAAACAAGCTGGTGAATGAAAGCCTAATTTTTTAGCAATGACTTGACTGAAAAACGTGTAAACTAATTATAAGACAGTGAATGTTAACCAATCCTATCAACTATATTACCAAATATCACAGTTATGAATTAATAAAATAATACTGAAACGTTGAAGATAAATGTTAATTTTTATCCCATTACCCCATATTACGCTATACGTATTGTATCACTTGTATCGCAATTTGTAAAGTGTCGCAGCATGACTGGCGATACCCAGCACTACCTGATTGGGCTAATGAAGACAGAGAGTTAATCAAAAGATTGCTCACTACCGAAACCATGTTTAAATAAAGTTCTGATCGAGTATGAGCAAAATGAAAACGAAACCCCCACAAATTTATAAAAAGTAAAACAAAACAATGTTATTAAGAAACCATCTTTAATTCAATTTGTCGCCGAATTAATTAGAAATTATCGCAGAGTTAACTTGAGTATGTCAACAAGTTAACTCACTTTGTCACCGAGTTAACTGTATCTTAGTTGACATGTCACCGAGATGACTGGTATTCATCATATCAATAGCATTAAGAGTAAATGCTAGCAAGATAGATCTCTTGGCTCATTACTAAACTGAGTAGACTGTGTCAGTGTCACTGAATTTACAGATACCAAAAGAACTAAATAAAATGGTAATTAAATATCTGATTGCTGAGGCTGTGACTCACCTTGATGAATTTCTCAAGTAACAACCTGATACTAGAAATACGAGCAAAATATCCACGATTTATTTCTGGAGCATGTCGAGCTGAGCCTTTTGGTATCATCAATGAAATGTATGGGTCATTCCAATATCCCTTTTCAACAGCATATCTTTTACATTGAGCAGCATCATCATTTGTTGCAATAACAGCATCTTCTGTGGCCATTTTGAAAGTTTACTATTGGTTTTAAAATACAAAATGTAAACAAACAACAAAACAGAAACTTATGGGCGCAGACATCTTGGGTTTTTAAAAACACAACGAAATATAACGAAACGAAAACTCTCAAATTAGATTTTCACTTTTGAGATCTAGATTTAGATCTATTTACTAATACTATAAGACTATTCTAAAAGACATATTCTTTATTTCAAAGCTTTTAGTATAGTGAAGAACGTCTTGGAACTTTTTTTCATAATATCATTCACTTTCTTTTTAATAATCTAAGTTGAAATTTGTGTGTAATTTTTCCCGCGGTAATCAAGTCGAAACTGATAGTAATAGAAAATTGTCCGGTACCGTACTTAGACTTATACCAAAATCGTTTGTCTCTCTGACGATAGATTGAAAGTTTCTATTCAATGATTAACTTGTGTTATTTAGTTAATGATATCAAAACACTAATTAAGTGAGTAAGTAGGTCTATTAATTATCTTTCATCTGATCAACTGTCTAGCCTTCTGCTGGAAATTATTATTAGGTTAGGAATGCGTAATTATTATTATGTAATCTTATTTCTCTCACACTCTGCTGAATTTGTATTGAAATATCATTATTTATATATAGGTATAGGTATTTGGTGAACATTAGGCTAAACATGAATAGGAGCGTGAAACCATTACTGTGGTAGATCTAGTCATCATAATCATATAAAATTTGTTTATGCTTAGATTTTGTGAATATTTGTAATAATTTAGTTAACAAAAGAGACAATATGATAAATGAAATAATTTGCTTACATTTTCAGGAAATAAAATCATGGCAGGAGATGCTGGTGCCAATTTGTTATATTTAGAGAATCTTGATGAATATGTTAATGATGAAAATAAAATTGTAAGTACCGGTACCAGTACTCATTTTAAAGGCAAAACACCTTGTCTTAATTGGGATCAGCTTTCTATTTGCATTCAGCAATATATGGCTTGATTAGTGTAGTCTCTTCACACACCTAACCATGCAACCGAGCCATTATAAGTCTTACTGGTTAATATGAATATACTCTAATTTGAAACTATACAACTTAGGATGATCAATCGCCTAATTCTTCACGATAATAATCATGTCTTTTATTTTGTAGGTGACATATAAATGGTTAAGTTGTACCTTACAAATTCATGTTAATTTGGCCAAGAGGTAAGTTAAGAATTTGAACTATTTTATTTACAGATTTTATAGGAATTGTTGATGTTACTCCCAATCTTAGTTTTACAGGTAAAATGGGTAGGGGTAATCCAGGAAAGATCAATGCCGAAAGGTTTTGCAAAGAATCAGCTGGTGGATCCTTATGAACCCTAAAGTCTTTTTATACGTCCATATGAAATGGAGGACATATATTGCCGTCACCCATGTCCGTCAGTCGGTCTGTCTGTCAACATTTGCTCGTAAACACTCTATAAGACACAATTCTTGACGGATTTTGTTCTTGAAAACGCGTTCAATTTTTAGCTCGTAAACACTCTAGAAGGCATATTTCTTGATGGATTTTAACGAAACTTGGCATGAGTGTTTCTATTGACCCAAGGATAAACCCTATTGAAAATCAGAAAAATCGAAAAATATTCAGTATGAGTTATTGCCCTTGTTCTTGAAAATGCTTAAATTTTTAGCTCGTATACACTCTAGAAGGGACAGTTGATTGTTACTGTACTGTTAAATATTTCTATTCAAAATCAAAGCTGCCAAGTGGGCGTATATTACCTTTCCTGGCAAGCTAACTTTTTTCTTCCTATGAGTAACATATAAATGAATAAAACAAGCCAGTGATATGATTCAGAAATTGTTGAAGATCGTAAAGCGTGAAACTCTGAGTAACAACATGTTAATCTGTTTCTAATCTATAAAACATATCGAAAACAAGATTTTCTGAATTGTTTGCATTGAGCACTATTATAACAGTGAAAATATTTTATTAATGTATTTTATAGATTATTATATTTATTTCTACAACAAGAAAGAAATGAGAAAGATAATGATTTATCTGTGACATATTTTGTAGCTGGTCAACATAAAGATAACAATGGTAACCAGGTAAGAGATTCATTTCTGTTACTTTGTCTTTTTCTAATATTTAGATATTAACAAAGTCCAATAATCAGCTACCCTATTAGACTGTACTTACATGTAAACAAAGTTTTGAGTTTCCATTTTACAATAGGCCTTTTATCCCAATTTGGAATTTTATTGTCATTTTGTATCCACCAGCCCATATTTACTTGAAACCCTGATCAATATTTCGATTGTTGTGGGTGAAACTCTGTATGCTCTCTCTGTGTATAATATATTGGTGAGATCTTGGACCAGTTTGATACTCATTAGTATTCAGTAAATTGTCAAGATACATAAAAAATCAAACATGAATAATTATGGATACACATGGATTTGAAGGCTCAAATTTCGACGATGAGCTGTGAACACTATTACTGATAATGTAAACTAAAAAAATTCCTGTTTCTAAAATTAAGGTATGATTGGTCGAACAGATAGTGAAGGTGCTTCTTTAGATTGATGTGTTTATTAAATTAATGGTTAAATCAAGGGGATTAGAGTATTGGAACATTTAAGTGACTCCAGACAATTAGCACAAAAAAAAATAATGATTACGTTTTGGGGAAAAATTCCTTGAATTTCTGTACTGGAAATATGCTTCTGAAAACAAATTCACAAATTTTATGCCATTGAAAATGATTGAGTTCATTATTTGACAAATATGAAGTATTCTGTCATATATTATATTATAATTGGTTGTATTGTAGAAACATATTTGTTGTGTAGTACCAGAGACTGAACTATCTACAGTTAAATCAAGGTTATCACCAGTTACTAGCTGTCATATCTATAGTGTACACAAAGTTAAACTCAAGGTAAATAAGGCCATACAAAATAAATAGTTTGTTTTACAGGCCCAAAAATGCCGATTGTTGCCTTAATATTAAATGTACATTAGATATGTGGAAATAAATAATAAATGCTTTAGCCCGCTCCGATTTATTCTACTTGAAAATCTAAAAAAGTGTTTATAAATAATAAATAATAGATTGGCCCTCTCGCACTGATTTTTGAAAAAAAAGGCCTGTAAAACGGACTATTTATTTTGTATGGCCTAAACTAAATTCAATTGTGATATATAGGAACCTTTTGGTAATGTTGAGAAACAGACATCTTGTTTCTCTTTTCATCCACCCCTGGTTTCCTAGATAGAGGGCAAAATGAAAATTCAGCAATTGTTGAGAAATTTGAATCACACCATAACCAGGGCACTTAATGCACATTATTCAGCACTCCCAAAGAATATCATATGCCAAAAGTTTGATACCATTAGATTGAGTTAAAAGTTGTATTTCCATGTGAGAAACTCTGTGAATGACCTTCGTTTAGGAGTTATTATTACATAACAATGTGGTACCAGTACCCAATCTTGATTATTCAATAAACACATTTGGATGTAATATTATGCAAATAATATGTGAAATTTCACTGGTATCAATTTGTAGGTAGTCATCCCTTTAAAGGTGTAATAATTGGGTGAGAATCACAAGGAGAACACTGACATTTAACTATGCAAATCAGAATCAGCATGTCTACAAGCAGACAAAATGAATTTTTTGATTTTGAGTACTACAATTGAAAGTATCAAATTTTGATTTGGTTATAAGTGAAGCATTATTTTTGTTTTTTTTTTGGTATTTTCTAGGACACTAATGCCTTGTATACCACTGATTATGAAAAAATAAAAGAAGATATATACAATGCTTGCAGGTATATTTTGTGTTTTTATGATTGTGGGACTTTGCTTTCAGCAAAAGTTTGTTATCGAAATGTCCATTCTTTTTTTTTTTTTTTTTTTTTTTTCGAAATTTACACACCTTCCTGAGCCTAGACTGCAGTAGTTGCAGCAACCATTCAACTTCTCTAGACCTTCTATAGTGGCAACGTGTTCCAATATATATTGGAACATTTTTGCAAAACCGGAAGTGCCACAGTTCAATATGTGCAAAAAGTCGAAAATCGGCTCTAGAAGGCGCATTTTTGCATCGATTTTCTTCGGGTTTTCATTTTTATAATCTACCTGTAATTTCTGACCTGATAGCACTTGAAAAATTATGAAATTCGAAAATTCGTCGCTCACTTTTTTCGATCAAATTTTTCGATTTTTTTGCAACTTTTTTGCTTTTGCATCGATTGATCTGAAATTTTAAATGCAAAGAGACTTCACTAATGTTAATAATATGATAAAGTCAAATTTTGTACGTCATTTCCGATTTTCAACAGGAAAGCGACTGAACTTCAAATCTACTTCCGGTTGAATAACTTCCGGTGTAATTTATGTAGGTCAACAAAATTTGGCTGATCTTTGGCAAATAAAATTTTATGGCCGATTTTAAAATAAAATTCAGACCGGAAGTGATACTTTGGCCGCCATATTGAAAAAACACACTTTTGTAAAACTCAAAATGGGGCCTCAGGGTAAAAGTTGATATGCTCAAATTTGATGTGAATGTATTCTGCAATCGATTGCGCAAAAAACATTGGGAGCTGAATTTTGAATTTCGCTTTTGCTTTTTTGCAACTTCCGGTTGAAATTTTTTAAAGCTTTAAACGATCACACCATGTGACCTTGACCTTTGTTGACCTTGACCTTCATAGGGTCCAAGGTCATTGACCTTGGCTATCATTTGATATTTTGACCTTTGACCTCCGACATGTACTTCCGGTTTTATAGCTATCCGTAAAAAGCCAAATTCGCAACTTTGGACTGCTCTAGCATGTGACCTAATTAACCTAGAGGGTTAATTTTTTCGGTTTCCTAATGTGCTTTTCATGCACTTAACATAGATATAGAACAATTGCTTTTTTAAAGCAAAATTGAAATTGGTGATTTTTTCAAATTTGAGTTTTGTTTTACCATATTTGTGTCATTTTGATCTTGGTGTATATATATCTTATGACCTAATCTATGTAGAACCTTGATATTTGGAATACAACTAGACACTTCGAATATGAATTCATCTATGACAAAAAAATGGGGGTGGGCGTGGCACATCCGAATTGAATTACTAATTGTTTACATTTTGGGGCTGGGGCATAACTCGCATAGGATACGTTTGTTAAAAAAAGCTCTTTGCACACAATTACTTCATCCTTTTGGCCACTTTGTGTTAACAGCTCAGTTGTTTCAGCTTTATAGTTCCAAAAAAGGAACGGGTTTTAACATTTGGATATTTTCATTTTTCGATTTTGACCTTTGTTGACATTTGTTGACCTATATCTTTTGACCTGAATAATATAGAAGCTTGACATTTAAAACACAACATAACATTTGGAATATCAATTAACCTATGCAAAAAAAATTAAGGTGGGCGTGGCACATTTGGGTTAAATTATTCATTATTGACATTTTTGGCCAAAGGCATAACTCGCAAAGAATACATTTGTTCAAAATGGAACTTTGCTCACAATTACGTCATCCTTTGAGCCACTTTGTCTTAGAAGGTCAGTTAGTTCAGCTTCATAATTCAAAAAACGGAACAGGTTTTGGAAATTGACAATTTTCAATTTTTGACCTTGACCTTTGATGACATTGACCTTTATTGGGTCAAAGGTCATTGACCTTGTCTATTAGTTTATGCTTTCATATTTGACCTCAGACGTCTACTTCCGCTTTTATAGCTGTCCAAAAACATCCAAATTCGCAAATTTGGACTACTCTAGCTCGTGACCTAATTAACTTTAAGGGTAAATTTTTGTGGATTCTGAATGTGCTCATCGTGCTCTTTCCAGTGATATATAATGCAAAATTGAAATTTCTGAATTTTTTTTTACAATATGTTAGCTTCCTTGAGCTAGTTCTATGTATTTCTTATGACCTATTTTCTGTAAAAGATTGGAATTTGGAACACAATGAGACATATTAAATATAAATTGACGTATGACAAAAAAGTTGAGGTGGGCGTGGCACATTAGGCTTAAATTACTTATTATTTACATTTTTATCAGGGGTATAACTTGTATGAAATACATTTGTTCAAAACAGGACCATGCACACAATTACTTCACCCCTTTGGCCATCTCGTGTGAAAAGGTCAGTTGTTTCCGCTTCGTAGTTCAAAAAAAATAACAGGGTTTAAATTTTGCATATTTTCAACTTTTGACCTTTACCATTGATGACCTTGACCTTTGTAGGATCGAAGTTCATTGACCTTGGCTGAAGATTTATTCCTTCATACTTGATATTCATCGTCAACTTCCGGTTTTATAATGTTTGTATTTTCAAAGTTTGATGACTCATATCTAGTGACGTTGACCTTGAATGACCTTCCCCTTAACATGGTCAAAGGTCATTGACCTTGGAAATCTAATCATACTTTCATATTTTATGTCTGGCTTCAACTTCCGCTTTAACAACCTTCCAAAAAAGCGAAATTTTCAAAATTTTTAACTGCTTTAGCACGTGACCTAATTGGCTAAGAACGTTGTTTTTTTCAGATTCTCTAGCAAATATATTATAGTATTATAATTTATAAGCTTTTATTTTATAGTTATAGTACTATAATTTATAAGCTTTTATTTTATAGTTATAGTACTATAATTTATAAGCTTTTATTTTATAGTTATAGTGCTATAATTTATAAGCTTATATTTGTTTATTGAGATTATAGTGCTATAATTTATAAGCTTTTATTTATAGTTATAGTACTATAATTTATAAGCTTTTATTTTATAGTTATAGTGCTATAATTTATAAGCTTATATTTGTTTATTGAGATTATAGTGCTATGATTTATAAGCTTTTTTTCTTTTTTTAGTTATAGTGCTATGATTTATAAGCTTATATGTACTTATTTTAGTGATAGTGCTATAATTTATAAGCTTATATGTACTTATTTTAGTTAATAGTGCTATAATTTATAAGCTTATATGTATTTATTTTAGTGATAGTGCTATAATTTATAAGCTTATACGTACTTATTTTAGTGATAGTGCTATAATTTATAAGCTTATGTGTATTTATTTTAGTTAATAGTGCTATGATTTATAAGCTTATATGTACTTATTTTAGTTAATAGTGCTATAATTTATAAGCTTATATGTATTAATTTTAGTTATAGTGCTATGATTTATAAGCTTATATGTATTAATTTTAGTTATAGTGCTATGATTTATAAGCTTATATGTACTTATTTTAGTGATAGTGCTATAATTTATAAGCTTATGTGTATTTATTTTAGTGATAGTGCTATGATTTATAAGCTTATATGTATTAATTTTAGTTAATAGTGCTATGATTTATAAGCTTATATGTATTTATTTTAGTGATAGTGCTATAATTTATAAGCTTATGTGTATTTATTTTAGTGATAGTGCTATAATTTATAAGCTTATGTGTATTAATTTTAGTTATAGTGCTTGACTCAAAGCATGTAACAATGTAATGGTAGTAGTCTGGTGTTATAGAGCTTTTAGATTCTTCTTTAAATATTTATCAAAAGCAAATATTTCTCTATGATGTTATCTTATGATCATGATATTTGATGTATAGAAAGAAAATGTGACGGCACCACCATCCAATATGACCAATATAAAAAAGAAACCAGAACCAAAAGGAAGTATAGCAACTATGTTTGGTAATACTAATAAAAAGACCACAGTTAAATCAGAAATTGAAGAAACATCTTCACAAAATAAAACAGAAAAACCTAAAACTCAGGTATTCATGTCTTGGTTTTTTATTCAATATCTATCTTAAAGAGACAGGTAGGTCATTTTTTGACCAATCATACTTTAGTCTCAGAAACTGGAATTTTTAGCTGAGCCTTCAAATCTATTGACGACTCATCAATTTAAGATAATCTGTGATATAAAGAATAGTTATTTATAGAAATAATGAGTAAAATTCCTAGTTTGAGATATTTTTAAAGGAATTATGTGATTTTTGTACATTTCTAATACTTCTGAAGACTATTTACATATATTCAAGACTAAAATCAACCCCTCCAAAATGGCGCACCTAGCCTTTTAAAAAGACATACAAAAGTCAATTTTTTGGTAGCTGCTTTACGATTTTTCCAAACTATTTTGAGAAATTGAGAAATAAGAAAACAATCAATGTGTTTAATTATATATATCAAATGTTTAATTTTTTGCGCCGTCGTATATTGCCATCACCAATTTCTGTCCGTCCACAATTGCTCGTTAACACTCTAGAAGGCACAATTCTTGACAGATTTTGACGAAACTTGATGTGAATCTTCGTTTTCACCCAAGGATGATCCCTATCCAAAATCAGAAAAGTCGAAAAATATTTTGTATGAGTTATTGCCCTTGTTCCTGAAAAAATGTTAAATTTTTAGCTTGTAAACAGTCTGAAGGTTGAATATTTCATACTGGTGATTGTTACTGTACTGCCAAATATTTTTATTTAAAATAAAAGCTGCTAGTGGGCGTATATTACCTTGTCTGGCAAGCTATCTTTGTATTCTAGGAGAAAACAAACAATAAAAAAGATGGAATGAAGGCTTTCTTTAAACCTGGAGGTAAGTTCTTAGAATTGAGAATTTCGAGTGATAGACCATCTATACTCTGTACAGAATGTAAAACCTTTGTTTGGCGGGATTTTGTTCAAATGACTTTTGTCCTGTGGGCCTTTGTCAGACATTCATAAAATATACTCATTTTCTTAAGTGTGCATACATTTGTTAGGGATGTAAAGTGTTACTAAATGCTACTAAATTGAAGGAAAAGTTATCAATTACTGATTGATGTTTTAATAATTTTAGAAAAGAAAGGCGATGATTCATTTTTAGATGAAAAACCTAAAGAAGACAAGAAATCTCCAATAAAAAATCAGACCCAAATTCAGAAAGACACAAATAAAAGGTACTACTTATTTTCTTTTGTCTTACTGAAAGAAGTTTCTTACCCCATCATATCAATGAAGAAAATTCCAAAAAGCATAAATACTCGGCTTATTTGAAGCTTTTTGTTCGCATATTTTCAGTGCATAAATTTCTATACAGTGGTGTAACCTATTTTCGTGGATATAAGGATTCAACACCGACTTTGTCGAAGTTAAAAAAACGAATTTTTATTTTTATGTCTTAGATGTTTCCTCAGATATTCTACAAAATAATTAAAATTGGTTTATTTCGATTTTCTTTATGAATCCTTCCCTTTGACCCATATTTCAGTAGCGTGATTTATAGCTAAAAGTCACTGAAACAACATAAGATTATGGTCCACTTGTTCCCTAGAATTTCCTGCTGACATGGAATCTGCTAGTTGATCACGTGACTTCATTCGTTGGACTACATTCTAGCAGACGACACTTGGAATTCCGATTACCGCTTGGGATTATAAGGAAATTCGGCCGGTGAAAAATGGTGACGTTTGGTAATAAGTGAAATCCGCCATTTTGTATTTGTCAGAGTATACATTAGTACATTTTACCTTGAAACTACTGATATTGTAGAGAAAACCCATGTTTATCAAAACAAGCTAATGCGGAGGTCGCACAAGGTCGCTCATGTAAATTATTAAACATTTCCAGAAATCCACGAAAAATAGGTTACCACGAAATTATGTTACTTGACTGTATACACGGTAATTTCACTTTGGTATCTTAGTATTTAAAACTCAAGTTCAGGAATCTGTATAGGAAATAAAATACAGTCTATAACCTGTATGAATATACTTATTAATTTTTTATTAATAAAAACTCACAAAATGTGTCAATTTGAGATTTGAATACTATATAATGTGGCATTTATTGATTGCATTTCATCTCAGTAGAAATGGTAAAAAGAAAGCTAGTAGTGATGCAGAAGATAATAGAAAGAATCAAACTAAAAGACGTAGAATAAAGGCTGATTTATTTGACAGTAGTTCTGAAGAAGGTAGGATATGATTATGTGTTCAAATGATCTAAATAAAGGAATAAGTAAGGTAGAGCTTATGGTTAATAGATGAAAAGTGGACATACTCAAGTGGACACTATTGGATCATCAACATGATTGAGGCTACTAGACTAGACTGCTGACAAGAATTACTGTCCTTGATATACTGAAAATAATGAAAATGAATTGAAAGTGGCTTGTCAATATCCTATTTGCCAAAGTTGCCATATACTACATTATAGGTGACTTGTGAACATGATCAGTTTTTGTACGTCCACATTATAATGTGTTCGTATATTGTCGTCGCCCCTGTCCGTCCATGGGTCTGTCCATCCACAATTGGCTTGTGAACGCAATAGAGACAACAGTTTTAATCTGATTTCAATGAAATTTGATGTGATCATTTATCATGATGAGATCTTGGTCAGGTTCAAATTTTACAATTTTTCGATGAATGGAATTTGAGTTATTGCCCTTGACCTAGTAAAAATGCATCACAATTTTTTAACAGTTTATGCCCATAATTTATGAAATTTTGTGTTTGAGTAAATCAACAACATCTTGTACAAATTAGATTTTTGGAATGATTTGACATAGATTAGTGACCGCCCTTAATATACAATATGTATCAGGAAAGTGGGCATATCTAGACAACCTCTTGTTTCAGATTTTTGTCAAATTTGGTTTGTAGCTTTATATCCAGAATATCTTGAACAAGTTTGAATTTTTGTACGATTAAACACACATTGACAGAGTTACAGCCCTTGATATACTAAAAATACATAGTAGGTAAATATAATTTTGTGTGTAGCTTTAAATCCACAATATTCAGGTACAAATATTTCATGAGTTACAGCCCTTGATGATATTCTCTGTAGAAATGGTTATATCAGATGAGGAGGAGTTAATACCACCAACACCACCTAGAGAAGCTAGTCCAGTTCCCTCACCCAGATCACCATCACCAGTTAAACAATTACCAGATAAACAATCACCCAAGAAACAGAATGGTGAGAAAAGAGCTGCCAATAATAATAGTGGTGAGAGAAAAAGAAAGCGTATCAAAAGATTAGTTAATAAAACATATAAGGATGAAGATGGCTTTATGAGTAAGTAATGAACCGTTTATCAGAACGAAAACCCCATGTTCACAATGGTCAAGGTATAACGTCTTCAACACACCTTGACTGCAAAGTCCCACTTTCTTATTTCATGGAAATTTGTGAATGCAGGAATTTGATTGGATTGTATGCCAGCAGATGCAGCCAATCTGAGTCCTTGACAGAAAGACTATTAGAAAATATTTGGAAATCAAGGGCTCTGATTGGCTGTGTCTACTGGTGTATTATCCAATAAAATCGCTGGCTGTGGAAAAAGAAATTGGGCCATTGCCATCCAGGTATAAGATGGAGAAAATTTATTTTGACCGTTGTGATGGATGAACCCATAGTTTCTTGCATTTTTCAACCTTGTTTCCCTGCAGTTCTGGAAATATCAAAAGGGACTAGGGGTTTGAGCTGCAGTCTGTGAATGTTGAACATCTCTCAACAGTTTTTGGGCAAAACGATCCTATGAATGCTTATTCAATTTAGTTTGTTTTGTACTGGTTTGAGTCCCTCTAGTTTAATCTGCTATCTTGGAGGATACAGAGCACTTGATTTTGTCATTTTTGTCTATCTTGAATGCGTAGTAGTGCTCTTGGACTATTTCATGGTTACCTTATTTATTTTATCTGCTACAGAGCTTATTAGTTAGAATTTGTAAAATATGTTTAGTTTTCTCTTGGAGGTTTTTTATGAGCTTGATGACCAATTGACTCATATTTAATTTTACAGCTACAGAGAAAGTATATGAAACAGATTCTACTGATGTATCTGATGAAGAAGAACCAATACCAAGTAAAACTCAACAGAAAACACCAGCTGATACTTCTTCTAAACATGAGGTAGGGTTTTTTTAAATGATGTACATTTAAAGGGACAGGTTAGCCATTTTCAGGGGTTTCTTTCAATCATGGATAATTCAAGACATGCACTGTTAAGACTCAAATTTCGACAGTGTTGTCAAAAGTTAGTCACATCTTTGGTCAATTGTGAAGTTGGATGAACCCATAGTTCCTTGCATTTTTCAACCTTGTTTTCCCTGGAGTTCTGGAAATGGCAAAAGTGTCTAGTGGTTTGAGCTGCAGTCTGTAAACGTTGAAAAAGTATATGAAAGTATATGATTGTGTACACAATGCATAGGCTCATACAGAAGCTGGAAATCCATTCCTTAACTTAAATTAAGTGTTGTTTTTTATTTCAGGCACAGAAAAAGAAATCACCACCCAATAAAAAACAGTCACCAGTTAAAGGCAAACAGATGTCCTTAACATCATTTTTTACAAAAAAATAAAAACTTTATTAAATCTCTACAGTATACATAATTATTATAAATAAAAGTAATTGGTATTTACAGTCTTGTATTGTTGAGACAGAAACATATTACAGATAAAGAGGTATTTCTTTTGCCATTTTTTTAAATATTGCTCAAAGTTCTGAGGATTTCGTTTGTTGTATTTGGGGCATGTGGTACCTTTGTTTATTTATATTTCTGCAGACCAAACTTGACCAAGCCAAAATGTTTATGTGCATAGGTTTCAAAGGTTGTGAATGCTGGCCCATACTAAACTATGTATGGTTCTTACATGGAAATAACACAGACGAACATAGTTCACACCGGCTTTGAATTTCCAATCTAGTATCCAAAAAAGCCTTCAAATCACAAGCAAAGCCATTTCTTCACCTTTACAGAAAAGTAAAGTTTGAGTAAAATGAATACTACTAATTTATTATTACTTCCAAAATATACAAATAAATATGATGAGAGAACCGGTACTGTTAATTCCTTATGAAATAATGCCATTTGCGACTGTTGTGGTTTTACAGTGTGTGATAAATTCATGGCCAAAATATTATCTCAATGAGTAGCCTACCAACAAATTCACACAGAATGGACCCTGTCTTATTATATTTTCCCCCAAAAAATCTTACAAAAGATAAACAAGATGAAAATAAACAATTTACATATAAGTTAAAACAAAATATCTAGACACCCCTTTCTTAGTGTTCCAAATATATTTGTATTTGACTCTAAATTGATACTTAAATGTTTCCTGTGTTCATCATGGGTATTTTGAACATCCATTCAGATTTCATGTATGATGTGTAAAACCCAACAAATAAGATAAAATCAGTTAAAAGCGCCTCATAAATTACTTCAAAATTATTCTCCCTTAGTCTCAAAATCAATCAGTAATAGTGTTTACAGCTCACCGTCTTCAAATGCATATGAGTCCAGAATGTTTGATTGTTAAAAAAATAACGAAACACTGCCATATAAAACATATATAAAGAAATAGGAAAAGAACTGATAATTTCTAATACTTCTGAAGACTATTTACATATATTCAAGACCCAAATCAACCCCCGAAAATGACAAACCTGTCCCTTTAAATTTATCACAACTCTTTCAAAATGTTAAAAAACTAGTGAAACAAGAAGAAAACTAGTGATAGAAATATAACAGCTATATTGCACTGGAATGATATAGAGGAACTAGGATAGGGTGTTGCTGGTTCTTCATCACCATGATACTGGTAGTTACCACATGTTGGAAATCCTTTAGGTCTTTTAGGCATATCATCTTTAGAACCAACTTGTATTAATAAACCCATACCAATTTCTACATGGAATTCTATATGACAGTGGAAGAACCACATTCCTGCAATAAAAGATACAGTTTTAAACCCTAAAAGGAGCAATTCTAGCAAAGTATTTGTAAAACTTCATTTTGCACAATGGTTAAGAGTGCTGGTTATTTACTTTACGCTATTTGTTTGGTTAAACATTTGGTAGTTGTTGGTTCTAATCTCAGTCAGCGTCTGAAAGTCTGATGACCTTTAATTAGTCATCTTCACTCATAATTCTAGTCAACCCAGCTGTAAATGTGTAGGGATAATCCGAGAAATACCAATGCCAAGAGGTTTGGCTTAGGACAAGTTGGTAGAAAAGATCCTTTAAAAGCTGGTTTCACTCTTTTACGATTTCTTTCCTCACTTGTGAGCTGTTACTGATTTCTTATGTCTTTTTTAGAATATGATATAGCAATTACTGTACAAGTACTGTTAGGTTTGAATGATATTTTGGGTAGTGATTGGATGTGAAACTGTAAATCAGAAAGGTGTAAACAGAAGCTATATGTACAAGAGAGAGAGAGAGCATCTTTTCTGTTCTTTTTATGACAGCATTACTGGCTGAAATGTACCCATTGTCCAGAGCTGAAATGGTAACGTTTTCTTGGGATGTAATGTTCAAGTTATGATATTACGCTTAAAACTCTCTGCTACGTCTGCAGTAGCTAAATGAGAAGGCAGATGTCTGAAGATGAGATTTACCTGGATTATTGGCATGGAATCTAATAACTGTATAACCACCATCTGGTACAGTCACAGTATCTTTAGCTACTGCCTTACTTAATTTACGTTCTATTAATCCTTCTCTGTCTAATCTCATCACTTCTTCCAAACTGGTTGATACATTCAACTGAAATATAAAAAATGAAAGATGAAAGCGCTGTGGAAGGTATGGTTTTGAGACACCAGCTTAATTACCAAAGTACTGTGGAAGTCATATTTTGAGACACCAGCATAATTCCAAGAAGTTTTGATACTCGAGCATTATTTCAAAAAGTGCTGAGGAAGGCATGTTTTTGAGTGACCTGACAAAACAATTTCACAAAGTGCTGGAGAAGGTATGTTTTGAGACTCGAGCATAATTTCACGCAGTGCTGGAGAAGGCATGTTTTGAGACTCAAGCATAATTTCACGCAGTGCTGGAGAAGGCATGTTTTGAGACTCGAGCATAATTTCACGCAGTGCCGGAGAAGGCATGTTTTGAGACTCGAGCATAATTTCACGCAGTGCTGGAGAAGGCATGTTTCAGGACTCGAGCATAATTTACGCAGTGCTGGAGAAGGCATGTTTTGAGACTCGAGCATAATTTCACGAAGTGCTGAGGAAAGCATGTTTATCAAAAATAAGTCCTCCGAGGTAGAATGATCTTCCCTTATGAAACTGCCATATTGACTTACCTTGCCCATACCTACTACCCTAAAAGTATGACCATGTAAATGTGTCGGATGGTTGGCATTAAATGTTACTCCTTCATCTATTAGTATAATTTCTACCACATCATTTAAATCTACCACTAATCTATGTACACATTGACAGAATTCTCGACTACAGTTCTTGTTCTTCACAGTATCAACATTACAGTACATTTCCTAAATACAAAATATATAACGTCTATACAATAATGTTATCATGGACACCTTTTCCGTTTGAATTGACGGAACAATATCTTTACATCCGTCATGACATTATAATCAACGCCTTCCTTTTAAAAGTAGAACGTCGTGTCATATAGAGCTCGAGCCCTCCACCTTCCCTCGTTACTATAGTCACTTTAGTCTTAAGTGTTAACATATTGTATTGAACGCCTCCCTACCTATCATGGAACGTCATCATAGTCAACACCTTCCTTTGGTGATCTTGTCAGTCCTCGTCTTTTGTGTCAATATTGCGAAGAACACGAGGGAGCTCCTCTTTATATTGTACTTACCTCTGAAATGTCATCAAATTGAGTTAATGGTGGAGATGAAGGGAGATGATTTGATATACCATTCATCTGTGGTGAGTACAGATGCTTGTTTTTGTTGATGGATTGAAGAGGATATAACTCCGGATGGTTGAAATGAAAATTGTCTAGTTTATTGAAGTCGAAGGTCACATAAAATTTCTTATCTGGAGTCCCGTCCATTCCATCAAAATCTTCTATTAAAGCATTTAATTTGGTAACTGGTAGTTTAGTCTCTGTTGCTTTTTCATTCCATGGATTTAGAAGCTGAAATACAAGTGAAGTTAAATTGGTCTCAATTATTAGTTATGTTAAAATATAAGCAAACTATCCAGGTAAGTGCTCATGACTGAAAAGTGTTGCCAAAGGTAATATCAATTCCAATATTTTCAGTTACTTGTCAAATGAATACTTTTTCTGAACTTCGACCTTCTTTTTTGTATTCCTGAGTAGTGACCGCAACACTATAAGGGGTCTCTGAAGTCTAGTTTTGGAACCAGGTGATTCCGGGAATGCTATTTATGCTAGTCTAGGAATTGACATTGTCAAACGACATTCAACCTGCTAATAATGGCTGAGTGGTGACAGTAAAACTTAAGGTGGTCTCTAAAGTTTATCATAGTTTTGGAATCAGGTGCTTCAGGAAATTGACATCTATTTAAGCTAGTCTAGGAATTGACATCTATTATTGTTACTTTTGGGATCTTGTCAAATTCAAAAGGGACTGCCATATTCAAACCTACCATTCCTCCGCGCTTCGAATCCAAATAATTTGACGAAGCTGACGGTTGTTCTTCGGAAGCACCTTCATATCTGATGATAGCAAAAGCCTGACCTTGTTTCTGTGATTCACCACAATCAGCCATACCACGGACTCTAAACCAATAATTTCCAGGATCTTGGGTGGCATGGAGCACAAAATCAAACCTTTCACCAGCAAAGATATTGAAGGAATCGACTACAACTGGATCGAATGGACTACCATCACTTGCTATCACCGTCATGGTGTGATCATCTATAGATATTTGTAGTGGACAATTGAAGATAGCGTTACTGGCCACTCTAAATCTGTAGGTCTCATTCATTTTAACTTTGAAAACTTCATTTGGTGTCTTGAATATTTGATCAGGAGTATCATCGTATTTAAACTCTTTATAATTATTCCTGCCTGAAAAGCATCAAAGCGATGAAATTGGAATGCCATAAATTGTCCAAACAACCAATAGGACAAGGATCAGGTTGATATAAGGCATCCTAGAGCTCCGGAGTACCTTTGCAGATTTAAGAGTGCACTAGTCATGGTGGAAATATTCTAATGTGGGATACATTTTACACGATTTTGGAAGTAAAGGTCTTCATTTTTTATAGCCCGAGGGTGGGGGAATGGTGGCATGGCCCAAAATTACCGGATAGATACGCCACTGTGCTTTACCAAATACAAATGGTTAATAAGATATTGTATTTTATGATCATAAATTCATATCCATATCTGAAAGTTTATTCAATCGACTGTAAGGAATTCTATATTTGTGAAAAAGGACCATTTCGGCGTTGTTAGATACATTAATAAAGTCCTAATGATCAGAACCGCAAAACGAAACCTGAAATCTAAAACAACATTTTGACTAAACACAGTTAATGCATTCACATGAGAAAGTATATTAATCATTAGTGAGTAAGTAATTTATACTAAAAAGTGGTATACATACCATTTATTAACATCAGACGCGGCTTATTATCACCATCATTATGATGATGCGCAGCAAATCTATCAATAGTCAGCTGATTTAACCAGTCGTTCACCACCATCGTATGTTCTGGCAAGTCATGATCATATAGCGACCAGTGTACGTCTGATTTGGGTGGTTGTCGTACTACCAGATTACCGTAAACCCCATCAGCTCTCTGCACACCAGTATGAGCATGCCAGAAGTGCGTTCCTGGATTGCTAGCTCGGAACCTAGAACAGAAGTGAGTAAATGAGAAACAGCTTATGCAAATTGTCGTTTTAGTTTCCGCCACATATGAAGCCATTTGTAAAAGTGAACCACAGTCCCAACTTTTTATTAATAATGGGATGTGGTATAAGCTATGGGTAAGGCATATTGCCCGGAGAAACGTCAGAATGAGCTTGCTAGAAGTGCGTTCTAGGATTGCTAGCTCGGAATCTGGAACAGCCAAAAGTATGTTAAGATTGTTGATTGCTTTAAATCCATCGTCTCATACCAAGCCATTGAAAAAAGTGAACCACGATCTCATTTAAAGAGCGTGGATTAAACGGTGTTGTATTCTAGCGTATTGCCTGGAAACTTACTTGTACTGGAAGGTAGTGCGAGAAACAATGGGACACTGTGTAACCATAGGAACTCCATCATTCCATTGTGAATCTATCTGCAATATACCATGCCAATGAATGGTTGTTCCTTCACCAGTTTCTAAGTTGTTGTGGACGTTCACAACTATCTCATCATTCTCACACACCTACAAAATATATCTGAATTTGTATTGTGAGCCAACGAATGTGATCAGGTTTTATCATGACATCGGTAAAAGTGGTTTTCGCTGAGAGAGTTTCTTGTTAATAGCTGTCTTCCCGAACATTACCACCCAACGCCTGCACATCTTGAGGCAGGCTTTCTCTTCCTTGCAATTCAATCTATCTAGTTGATTACCACGTCCACAAGAACAATGGCGTCTTAAATTATTTCCTTAAAGAAGGTTTTCTCCCCAAAATTTTAAATTGTGTTTTACCATATCATGTCGAGACACCTATACCTCGGTCGACAAGGGATTACAGGGCTATGTCTACTAAGAGTCTGAAAGGAATTACAATGTAATCTTTGTCATCCGACATGCAAGTGGGTAATATAAATATGTCGGATTACGGAGAGTTTCGTAGTACCCAAAGTTCGGTATTTTTAACATTTATCGACTATGAAACATTTGAAAGACAATATAGTATTCACTTACATGTATACCAGGACCAGGTAGCATGCGGTTTACTGTTATAATAGATCTAGAAACACCATCAGCTGGTACACAATGCGGTCTGTAACAATCAGTTATATTTCTAGGACAGTCATAGCAAGCTTTAGATAAGGTATAGTAATATTCTAATGTAAAATCATAGACACAAGTCATTGGTTTTCCATCATCTTGGCACTCTCTCTTACAAGGATGATCGTTATAATCTGAAACGAGAATGAACCGTTATACCCTCAAAATCAATACATACACATACTTATCGAAAGTTCGGATAGATAGATCATAGATCAAGCAACATTCAGATAGCCCCAGACAGCTCATCATCGAAATTTGAGCCTTCAAATCCATGTGTGTCAATATACATGTATAGATCTAGTCAATCAAATCTCTACAAATGGGTGCAGGGTATTAACCCACAGGCTTTATTTGATTATTGACTAACTGTTATTGTCTCCTCTCTTTTTGTTGGATCGTTAATTCAGTTAATGTACTAGTTTAACTAGAGTTTTGTCATTGAGTCTTGCGAACACTGATGAATGAAAAAATATTTGAAACGTGTTGATCTTACAGTGTTTTGAGTCAGAAAACACGAACTGTCCTTTTTGTACGCCCACAAGAAATGGTGGGGGGGGGGGGGGGGGGGGCGTATATTGCCATCCCATCACCCATGTCCGTCCGTCCGTCCGTCCGTCTACTCTACAAGACACGATTCTTGTCGGATTTCGACAAAACTTGGTGTGAGTGTTCGTAATCACCCAAGGATGAACCCTATTGAAAATCAGAAGACTCGAAAAATGTTTAGTATAAGTCATTGCCCTTGTTGTTGAAAAGCGTTCAATATTTAGCTCGTAAACACTCTAGAAGGCACAATTCTTGACAAACATTGACGAAACTTGTTGTGAGTGTTCGTTATCACCCAAGGATGAACCGTATCGAAAATCAGTTACTACCCTTGTTGTTGAAAAGCGTTTAATATTTAGCTCGTAAACACAGACAGATTTTGAGGAAACTTGGTGAAATTGTTCATTATCACCCATAGATGAATCCTATTTAAAATCGAAAAATGTTTCACAGGAGTTATTGGTCTCGTTCTTGAAAACGCTTTAAAATTTTATCTCCCGAACACTAAAAGGCATGATTCTTGCCGGATTTTGGCAAACCTTGGTTTTATTATTCAGTACCGCGCTGAAGGTTGAATATTTGCCTTCACGTTTTCAATAACTCAATAGTATTCAGTATTGCCCCAGAAAGTTGAAAAGAAGTGTATGACTGAAGGTTGAATGTTTTATACTGATGATTGTTCCCTTATTCTAATCAAAATCAAAGCTGCCAGTAGGCGTATATTACCTTTCCTGGCAAACTATCTTGATAAAAAGCAGCAACTTCTACATTTTTCACCCTTTATATTCATTAATAAGAACATGTTTTCTCGCGTTGTCTTTCGTTTTTCTTGGAATTAGGAGGTATAATCAAAGTTTTTAAAGAGACAGATTCGTCATCCGTTTAAGCTAAGCTAATCAGTGACTAGTGTCAAGAATTATCCCCGTTTGAATGCTAAAAAGACGACTCGTCAATTTTTTAGACTCTGTCATATATAGAAAAGACATTATAGAATTCCTTTTTTTTTGAAGAAATTATGCCATTTTCGTTCATTGCTAATACTTCTGAAGACTATATTCATATATTCAAGACTCAAATCCACCTAAAGAAAATAAGACGAATCTGTCCCTTTAATAGCAAGTGTTAAGGAGATTAAATTTGACTCAAGTCGGTGTAGATGTTATTGTACTCTGATACTAAATTCTAACTTTCTAAATAACGGAACACACTTTTATGGTATACTACTCCTTATTAGTCACCTGAAGATGACAATGTCGATTGTTGAAACGTCGTGTGTAATAAAACTAAGAAGTAGTATACTATAAAATTGTGTTCCGTTATTTTATGTGATCTCTACCCCTAAATGTCGCTATAGGATTATTAACTTTCTAAAGTTCGACTTTAGTCAAGGTAAGAGCGCTGCATGTGTCATCTTGATCTTTGGGATGAATTTAATTATTTGATGTTAGATTAAATGAAAAATAATGAAGATTAACAGAAGAAAACTACTCAGCAGATCTAGATACCCTACTCCAAATTCTCAGTAAAGTATGTGTTCCACCCTAGGCATCTACGGTGTATTTAGACTATTGGGCTATGTCCTCCTCGTCAGGCCTCTGAAAAGTCTTTTTTTATACGCCCACATGAAATGGGGGGCATATATTGCCGTCCCCCATGTCCGTCCGTTAGTCCACAATTGCATGTAAACACTCTACAAGACACAATTTTTGACGGAATGAACCCTATTGAAAATCCGAAGAATCGAAAAATATTAAGTGTGAGTTATTGCCCTTGTTCTTAAAAAGTCCTTCAATGTTTAGCTCGTAAACATTCTAGAAGGCCCAATTCTTGACAAATTTTGACGAAACTGGATGAAATTGTTTATTATTACCCATGGATGAAACATCGAAAATCAAAAAAAACAAAATATGATTCATAGGAGTTATTGACCTCGTTCTTCAAAATGCATTAGCATTTTAGCTCTTAAACACTAAAAGGCATGATTCTTGCAGAATATTGACAAAACATGGTTTTATTATTAAGTCTCGCGCTGAAGATTGAATATTTGCTTTCTAGAGTTTTCACGATCTTAAAAATTGAACACGTTTTCAAGAACAAGGGCAATAACTCATACTCATTATTATTCAGTATCGCCCTAAAGAGTTCAAAAGAAGTGCATGACTGAAGGTTGAATATTTCATACTGGTGATTGTTACTGTACTGCTAAAACATTTTTATTCAAAATCAAAGCTGCCAGTGGGCGTATATCTTAATTATTGTTCCGAAGACCAATGCACTTTATCAGATGAAAATAATCGCCAAATTTTACCATTACCAATTCTAGATACCTATAACTGTACGTTAAAATAACCATTTTTAATCACATTACTTAAAATTATGATGTCAATAAAGCCAAACTTGTTCGCAAATTTTGTTATTTTGTCTTAATATATTTTCACAATGCTAATATTTGTTGCAATATGTGTTAACTATTGCGTTTGTGTTTGAAATCTAAAAACAGAATTTACCTGAAAATTTGGAAGAATCGGCTGTTACTCCAGTCATAAAGCAAATAAATAGTAAGTAAAATAGCACATCCATATTCTATCCAGTTGGCAAACCTCTGGTCCGTTGATTGTGCTTTACATAAACTTCTATATTTTTATATGAATTTTACCACCTATAACCGTCTTAGCTTAGCACAACTACGAAACATAGCTTAGGGCTACCCCTAGAAAGACATATAGCCCGAAATCTCGTCCATGTTTCAAAGAAAATTCATTATTGCCAAAAAAACATATCGGGGATAACACGTTGTAAACGAATCACATTTTTGCAAGAGGAGACTTTGCAAGAGAAAAGTTTTAGTTTGTTTCATGTTTCCGATTTCTGCATTATCAGTTAACTCTCCGAATACATTGACATTGTTATCATCTGCAACAACAAGAACAGATGAACCTAAGTTTCTCCAATGTTTGAAATTATACCTGGTCGCGTTACGTTACCTATTTAGTTACCTACTCAACAAGGTTCGTTTTTTTTTTACTCCCTAAGCTTTTGTTCAAAATATTGGTATAAATGTAAAAACTATCACTCTGCCCAGTAACCATAACGACTCAATAAACTGTTAAGACATCAAGGGGTTCGACTCGATCCCATAAAGTCCCTCCCCCCTTCCGACACACACACATCCGCGTAAGGAAGCGTTGTGGTCGGGGGAGGGTTGTATGGCCGGCACAATTTCGGATTATATACAGGAATGATGAGGATGTTGTGATATGGAAGATGAGATATTTAAAGTCTGGCTATGCGCGAATGCACTTAATGAATACTATGCGTAAATGCACATAATGAATATACGGGGTAAACAATAATTGTTATGTTGGAGATAGGGGTATAAACCATACACCGTCTTGCGTATGTGGTTAATAAGATATTAACAAAAGCTTCAAAATGTAACCGAAATTTGACTGATAATTTGACCAAAATATCATTAAACAGGGGGAACAATATTGAAACATTGATCTTTCCTGGATTAACCGTACCCATTTACAGCTGCGTCGACTGGAGTTATGGATGAAGATGACGTATGCAAGGTCATCGGACTTTCACAATTCAATTGAAATTATAATAGAACCCATAACCGCGATTTTGTTCGTCAACTATGCAAATGACGTAATGTTAAGAACCAATTATGCTCTAACCGACTGCGCAACAGAACCCAATAATGGGGAAGAATGGGGATTGTCCAAAGCGTGGGTTTCGGACTTTTACTGTTTACCCATTATTTTAATGATATTCTGAGCACGTCCTTGGGTATATCATATTCATATTAGTAAACATCCAGATCTTAAAGTTGTTGTCCTTTGTTTGTTTATATTTATAGATATTCGAGTATTTCTAATAAACACATCTCAATAGAAAAAAAAATTATGAAACCCCTGCTTGGATGAACTTCAGACTTTAAAACTTCATTAAACTTAATGCATGATATGTCAGATTCATGCATGATAGGTGTCGAAAAGAAAAATGAATAAGGACGATGATTAAGCTTCTGACCAACGAGTGACCGATATGTTATAAAACCATCCACAATGACCTGTGTGGTCAAGTCAGGTTGTAAAAAAATAACGTGGCCATGCCCCCATGACGGTCACAATTCTATTATTATCCGATCAAAAAGTCATTGGTATTTCTCTAATAAATCAATGACCGTTTTTCTCACCGAAAAAAATACAGACGTATAGTACGTCTCCCCATCAAATTCAAAAACATTAAGGCTATATAGCTAAACAGTGTCAGTCGACTTCTAGATAGATCCATGAAGAATGTATAATGCCAGTCGAAATCTAGATACATAATTTGTAGATCCATCAAAACTGTGGAATATTAGCCGACTTGTAGCTGGATCCATCATTGCTATACAAAGTCAGTGGAGAATGTGAGTCGGAATTCCAGAAAGATCCAACAAAGCTATACAATGTCACTTGATCTATCAGATCTGTAGAATGTCAACATCTAGATCGATCCACAAATGCTAGACAATTTCAGTAAATATCTAAATAGATCCAACAATGCTGGAGAATTATCAATATCAGTTGACATCTAGATTGATCCACCAATGCTATACGATATCTATACTATTCTATTCTAACTATTCGCGAAGTCCTTATGTGACACAGCATATTTTGTGATTAGTGACGTTTGGTTTAAGTGGAATTGCAGGAACCACAGACTTCTGATTGAAAATTGGAATGGTACAAATTGATGCTATCAGTCTCCCTGATACACATAAAAATTTGCTGATATGGTCTTTTCTGAAATAATGACGCTCTAAACAGACGTCCAGCTGCCCTGGGTTGTGAGGGTAGTCCCCAAAGTCTCTAGAGAAATTAATGGGTTAGATCTACTCAAGGCAAGTAAACACGGGAAGTCAAAAAGGAACCGTGGATATCAAAACAAAAGGGTACCAAATAGTGCAAAGAGAAAGAAACAAAACAAAGAAATTACAAGAAATTGATAAACTTTACTATTATTCAGAATGTTCATATAATGTCTTCCTGTAAGCACTTAATTCGAACGCAGTATCTCCTGGAGAAGCTATATTAAATTGACGAAAAGCCGACTTGATGAGTTCGATATTCATATCCATTCCGAACATAATACCTGATGTGGCAAAGCTTTTAGTGATTGTGGAAATCTTTTTAAAATGCAAACATAAATGAGCATGAAAATCTTCTATTTTGTCACCGAATATATCAATCTGATAAGCTGTTCCAACTTTACATGGAAAAAAGCTGGCAAGAGTCAATAATCGGATGCTTTCGGGCCTCCTCTGTTTTTCACCGTAGCTTCCGACAACGTATCTTTCTTCGTTGAGAAAATGTTCCAAATTTTCCATTGAAGGTCTATACAATACACAATGAATCCGTACAAATTTCTCCGGAAATAAATAATCACGTGACGGCTTGCAATTCAAGATGGTGGCGAAAAGATCGCGGTCTATTTCCGTTATAACGATGTTGTTTACTGGAGATGATGTGACTTGCAAGTCGCTTATGTTATAATTTACAAGCATTATCATCTGGAATATAAAAGAGGGACAACAATTAATTAAAAAGGCTAAAACACTGTAATCAAAATTTAATGGTCAGAAATATGTACTATTGTATAAAGTTATATATTATCAAAATTCGCATAGTTTGCAACAAACTATGATACCTCAAATCTCGACCAACCGAATTCATAATTTCTAGGCTAATGTACCGTATGTGTACAATCGAAGAGGAAGGTTATGTTAGACAGTTTTCGGGAACGTCCGCATTCAGGAACGTAACTAAATCTAGGCAATTTTACAAAAGAAATGATTAAAAACATGATATTCGCTAAATATATTTGATGTCTACGGTAAAGGCGGTAATCGTTTGCAGTCTACCGAGAGCGTTTCAGTGAAAGGCCTAGCTAACGACAGAAATTTTGTCTCATAGAAAAAAGAGCCTAGGTTTTTAAGATGTACAAACTCCGTAGATTAGACTTCTTAAGAAAATTTCCACGGACAACCAATAGAAAAATAGTTTCTCATTCAATTCAGGGGAGGTAACATAAAATACCATGCAACCGTCAAAACCTCATACCGTTTACACTACAAGATTTTATCTGTTCTAAAAACTGTCCCGAGACCACCTCGCCTCGGTAGTCTCGAATTGGAACTATTCTGAGAACGATCGACCGTTTTCAGTAAAAGGTTTCCATCCGTTCCGTTCTCGGAACTGTTCTGAGAACAGATAGTTTTTATACGCCCCCATTATTGCTCTCACCCATGTTCTTCGGTCCGTCCACAGATCCGTCCACAATTGCTCGTAAACACTCTACAACACACAATTCTTGACGGATTTCGTGAGTTGTTAATAATCGCCCAAGGATGAAGCCTATTGAAAATCAGAAGAATCGAAAAATATTGAGTTATGAGTTATTGCCCTTGTTCTTGAAAACGCGTTCAATTTTCTAGAAGACACAATTCTTGACGGATTTTGATGAAACTTGGTGTGAAAGTTCGTAATCACCCAAGAATGAATCCTATCGAAAATCAGAAAAACATTAAGATGAGTTATTGCCCTTGTTCTTGAAAACACGTTCAATACTATAGCTCGTAAACACTCTTGAAGGCACAATTCTTTACAAATTTTGATGAAACTTTGTGTGAATGTTCGTTTTCACCAAAAGATGAACCCTATCGAAAATCAGAAGAATCGAGAAATATTAAGTATGATTTACTGCCCCTGTTCTTGAGAACGCGTTCAATTTTAAGCTCGTAAACATTCTAAAAGGAATGATCCTTGCCGGATTTTGACAAAACTTGGTTTTATTATTCAGTACCGCACTGAAGGTTGAATATTTGCCTTCTAAAGTTTTCATAAGTTAACAATTGAACACGTTTTCAAAAACAAGAGAAATAACTCATACTCAATATGATACAGTATCGCCCCAAAGAGTTCAAAAGAAGTGTATGACTGAAGGTTGAATATTTCATACTGGTAATTGTTACTGTACTGCTAAATAATTTTATTTAAAATCAAAACTGACAGGGGGGGGGGTATATTACATTGCCTGGCAAGCTTTCTTTATAATGAAAACTGGGTTAATGATTATTATACTTACAATTTTCATGACCAATTTATAGTTTTCTCTGTTAATGTAACTTCTTGACAAGTCGAAATGCTTTTTGTTGATAGTCATTGTTGAATATTTCATGTTCGGTATGGTATAGAGGTCACGCGTCATGTAATCTGAAAGGTCACGGAATACACCTTGACCTTGATGACTTTCTAAAACTCTTCCACCACGTCTCGTAGCTGTTTCTCCACCATCAACTATACTAATCATACCAAAACCGATCTGAAAATACTAAGTTCAATTTAGCATCTTCACAATGTCAAGTTATTACGAACTTCGACTTATATCTTGACTACAATAGCCACCTTTCTTGTATCAGGAAGTTTGTAAATGCAGCGATTTTATTGAATTGCACGTTATCGAATACAGCTAATGGGGGTCCTCGACAGAAAATCTGTAAACCTTAAGCCTTAATGTCGAGAGCTCTGATTGGTTGTATTCCCTAACGTACAATCCAATCAAATCGCTACATTTCGTGATACAAGAAAGGTGGCTATCGCAGATAACGTGTTAGCCAAACAATTAGCTCTAATGTTTAGCGCAGATGTAAAATCTTGAGCGGCATTTTAAAAGATTGGTAGGTATATTATGTGGTCGTGAAAATGTGTAATTCAGTTTTAAGTTGAGAGATCGCTGATAGTGTGTTCCTTACGCTGAACCTCAAACATTGAAAGGTGCAAATCACACTCCGGAGCTCTGTTTCATTCTAAACTCACCAATCGTTTAAGTTGAAATGATTGACCTCATATTACAAGTGGTCTATAAAGCTCTTAAACATATTGACAGGTATATTTTCAAAGATAGTCTAACAAGTTATGACTAGTTATAGTAAAACTATACTGTAACAACTGATAATACATAGGTTATTTTTAGTGTACTGGAAAAAGAGTCTAGTCGTTCGGATGAGACAATAAACCGTGGTCACGTGTGCTACGTTCAAAGATCCCCCGGCAGTTGGAAATCAAAACAGAGCAGGCTTATGCCACTGTCCTGGCAAAATTTCCCCCATAACACCCCCAACGGTGTTTAGTTATTAGGGGCCCGCAACTCTCTGGCGAAGCCAGATTCTTAACTCATTTGTGGTAAATTCATACAACAAAAAGTATACATGTACTTACTATTGTACCATTTTCTTCGCAAACATACCCTCGATATTCTCGAATAACAGAGTCATACATGTGTGGTAAATAGTCTCTGCCGAAGTACAAGTCTGGGGAAAGTGACAAAACACCTTCTCGATCTTCTAGTGTTGCTCTTCTGAATATTTTCTCCATTTTGATAATTTAGTTAATATCAATATCAACTAGTTTTGTTTTCATCAAACCGGATCTGTAGATAACAAAGGCATAAGTGTTTTAGCCTCTTTAAGAGGTGGTTTTCTGGGTAAGTCCAAAAGATAATTGCCTTCTTATCTACAGGCTTCTACAGATGATTTCAATTGATTGTCACAATGGAAAGAGAAAATATACAATTTTCATGGAAAACCTTGTTCTCAAAATTAAAATACGCTCAATTGTCAACTCGAGTAAATCAAACCTATCGAATCACTCCTGCATGGCATCGATTTTGGGAGATACCAGATTTAAAGCTTTGTGCTGAATTTGAATTTGCTTGAGTTTTTTCGACAACTATGATACATTATCTCTTTGATCCTCTTCCAGGCAGATAAATATCAACTTCAAGATCATCTGTCTGAAACTGTAGACAGGGTCAGAAAAAACAAACCAAGTACTAACGATCCGAACAGCAAAACAAAACCCGAAATCCAAAACATCATTTTGACAAAACATTGGTAACAGCAACTGAACTTTTCTCGGAGATTTTCGAACCCTTTGAATGCTCGCTATCGATTCAAAAAGTTGTTTTTTAGTATATTTATATCGAGGATACGAAAAACATCCATTTTCTCCATTCTGACTTCTAGTTTGACGAATACGATTTCTTGACAGGCCGGTCAATGACTATGACGCCAATATAAAGTATGCCATTCAAATCAAATCGTATTTGCGATAGTGGCGTCATAATCCGTGAAGTGGTATCAGTAACTGTTCTACTCTGACGCTTTGAGTTTTCTGTGGGAGTAGATGACAATATGGGCTGCATTATGGGATTTTAATTTGGAAGCGGGAATATAATTTTTGGCCATACCTTACTCTCTTAACCATTGCTTTCTATCATAGTTTACAGGTTCATTTAATCTCTATAGTCGGATTATTTGATAAATAAACATCGAATACAAAAATTATGGTCCAAGTTGGCCACCGTATATGTATATTATATTCTGACCTAAATATGTTTAAAGTCGTCATTGATGCCCCAGTAAAGCTAGTAGGGTAGTAGTGTGCAGTATGTACTCAAGTGTCTGTACACATTATTAGAGAATATTCAGTCTCTACCTACCTTTTTGAATTATTATTGCCTGTTTGAAACACCAGAACTGAGCTTCAACTGTAGGCCTATATTTTTTTTTATCTTAGCTTACTTCCCTAAACAAATATATACGGTTGTTTAATCTATATATAACCTACTGTAGCGTTAACTGAGTCACCTTACGACTCTCAAATAAATGAGGTACAAATGAAATGAAATAAATGGAGTTCTACGTCCTACTTTTCTGCATCATATGGGCTAATGAAGACGGGCAACGCCATGTAGGGTACAATGAGGGAAATTTTGAGCCTTGAAAATGCCTTGGAATGCAGAGATTTGATTGGATTGTACGCCAATGAAATAATAAAACCCTCAACAAAACATCCACTCAAATCTCTACATTTCATACTACAAGAATGGTGGCCATAGCAGTCAAGGTATAAGACGAAGTTCGTAATGCCGAGAAATTGTGAAGTTAAATTTCCAAATGAGACTAAATAGGCGTTTGAAAAAAGTAAGCAGACTCACTGAAAAGGAGCAAGATGTCACCGGAACCAGATACTGATAGCATCAATCAGACGTCTAGGGTTCTTGACGTTATTAATTGCAAAATGTGCTTTATCACATAAGAGATTAATGAAATCATCAAACACCAAGTTTTAGTGGAATTACAGGAAACACAGACGTCTGATTGCAAATTGGAATGGTGCAAATTGATACTGATACTGATACTCTCAGTGTCCCCAATACACAATTTTTTTCAGAAAACCTCTTTACAATCACTTTTAGATCAAAACATCATTTAAGAACCAATGATACTGCGACGATGTTGTTTGATAAACGACAACACAACTTTACTATAATAGAAGGATGGTCATTGTTAGGCCCACTATATCCTTTCAACACCATTATACTGAATAGCAATTGACTAGTTTTGTTTAATTTCTGGGTAGAATCTATTCATAATGTCAACAATTTTTATAGATTTTCAATTTTGCTCATTTCGCTAGCATTATATGTGTATCACATGACACGTTATGTATATTAATGACGCGAGACAGAGATGTATAGATGTGAAGAATGAATTCTGTAATTGTTTTATTTTCGCTGTTAATTTTTAGAGTATATTTTAGTGAAGGTAAGTGTGAACTCTATTTTTCTTGCTATATACAGGAATTTTCATTTACTTAAGGTGTGGGCACACGAGCGGTCTTGGTCGGAAATATTTGTCGCCGAGTAGAGTCTTGAGTAAATTCTCGTTTGTGCCCATGCTTTCACGACAAGATAATCGCATCCCCGACAGGATTTATAATATCAAACATATTAGATAATTGTCTCCGATAGTTTTATCGTCTGCAAAATAGACCGTACATCCAATCAGATTCATTTTCCTTTCTAGTGCATGCTTCGCACGTGATTACCGACACGGTGGAAAACGGCCGACTGGAGATTTTTGTCTCCTCGTGTGCCCGTGATAGTCGGCGAAACTCCTGACAAGGCTCTAGTCGGCAACAAAAATCTCCGACCAAGGCGCTCGTGTGCCGGAACTTTTATCAAAAAACTGAACTGAACTGAGTAGTTCGCATCCAAAATTTGGCGATGATACATGTATTTAAAATTGCCAAAACTGGATTTATCCAAAATATTTGGCATCATGACAATGAAATATATTAAAACATCAAAAGTTTGGAAAAATATGTAGAAAAGAATTATAAAGCTTACAAACCACGGTGGAAAGGTTCCGTGGGGCATTGAAAAGCTAATTCAGGCATTGTTAAAAGGATAGAATGGACATAAAATTTAAAGTCTAAAACTCGGTCAATACGTTTATATATTCATCAGTAGACTTACCAAGTGCCATGACTAAAAAATAGAATCTCTATATAAGACTATATATCCATTAAACTTATAAATTTGTTGAAACAAGCTTCTAATTTTACTGAATTATTACTTAATTAGATTATACTGGGATTCTTTTGTATAGTTTTGACACCAGGTAAGTCCACTGATGATAACAAAGTTTTTAGAGGGAGAGGTGCGACATTTTGAGGATTTTACGAAAATCGCATAATTCCTTTAAAAATACTTCAAACTAGGAATTTCACTCACTTTTCTATGTCTTTTCTATATATCACAGAGTATTTTAAATTCACGAATCGTCATTTTAAAATTCATTCGCGAATAATTCTCGACACATGGATTTGATGGTTCAAATTTCGACGGTGAGCTGTGAACACTTATTGATTCCCCTTTCCGACACTAAAGTATAATTGGTCAAAAAATGCATCTGTCTCTTTATTTGTTTGGTCATTCGTGAGGTAGTATAACTTTAAGGTAAACAAAATTGACTAGAGTTATTTAAAAATAAAAGAAAAACCTAGATAACTAGAAATTCAATGGTCATTATTTAGTGTTTACCAATTTCGTGTCACCGACAACTTGACATTTTGTGAATGTAAATAGTTAGACAACACCATAGCCACGTGAACTTATGTGTTTTTTTTTTAACCCTTTTGATAGACACGTACTATCTCCTTTAATTTTTCAACAGAGTGCGTATTAGCACATAAAATATTCTGTAACAAAATATGCCCTAACAATATTACAGCTATGAGGAACATCGAATAAAAAGTCATTCTGCCTTCCATATTAATTATCCGTCCTGTTTTTCTATATATCTATCGGAGACATCCGTTACCTATGATTATGTGATCATTCCATCATTGTTAAGATTTATGCTGAAGCGGCTTTAGCGTTATTTCTGAATATATTCAAGATGGCTGCGAAAATGGACGAAAACAATCCTGCATGTTATCGTAGATAGTGAACTTGCTTTGAAACATTGTAACTTTATTTTGTAGTATACTACTCCTGAGTTTTATTGTACACTGTTTCAACCATCTACATTGTCATCATCAAGTCGTTTTTAAATAAGTCTCAAAACATTTGTAACACTTATTTTACGCAAAGTCATACAACTAAATATTTACTTGTTTTATTTATTTAACCCCGCCTAATGTCTAATCTTTTTTTAGCAGGCTAATGCCGCTGTCCTGACAAAATTTCCCTCATTGCACCCTGCATGGCGTCGCCCGTCTTCATTAGCCCACATGGTGCAGAAAAGTAGGACGTAAAACTCCATTCATTTCATTTCATTTTTTTCCGCTCATTATTTTGGCGACATTCCCTTGCTTTCATAAATTAATTCTCATGATGATATAATAAACAGACCAAGTAAACATTTAAAGCTATGTGGACCCTCCAAAAAGAATGCCGAGTTCAGTTGCAGAGTGGCACCAGGTGTTTCATGCATGCTTTGTACTTATCAAATAGATTATATAGAGATTGCTTTGTACTTATCAAATAGCTTATATAGAGATTGTTAAGAAGTTTTCTAAATCTTATATCGGTTATACAGATAGCATTATTTTCCACCATTCCAATTTTATATCAGATGTATGTGGTTCTTGCAATTTCACTTAAACTAAACATTTGATGACATCACTAATCGCTAGAAACCTTATGTGTAAAAGCATATTTAGCGATTAGTGACGTCATAAATCGCTTAGTTTTAATGGAATTGCCGGAATCACAGACGTCTGATTGAAAATTGGAATAGTGCAAATCGATGCCATTCATGTCCCAATAAACATTTTAATTTAATTAATACACATAATAGAAAGTCTCTTTACAATCTATTTAAAGGTGGCGTCCTTGATAAAAGTATAATATGATACATAATAATATATGTAGGAAATATCCCATAAAGTTGTTAAGTTTTCAAAAACTTACAAAAATTTCAATTTCAATTTGATAGTATTTTTACGTGAGACTGCATAACTTGAATTAATTTGAATAAGATAAATAGACTCGAATAATGAGATATTGTGAAATTTGTCACTCTATCGAGTTATGACTTAAAATTAAGAACCTCTTTTTATTTGGTGCATACGTTATCTTTGTATTTTAGACTTAGTATATAGAAATTAACCAATCTTTCGTTTTTTATTAGCTTTTATTTCTGATATAGCCACTTCAGTTGGGATCTAACCACATCCCTCTTGAAATTAATCTTTTGACCTCACTCGATGACATCTGCTTTCACCAATCAAATTTCTACCTCTAATTGAAAATCTTAGATGCCTACGTCAATGTCACAATGTCAAGCGAACTTGGTCTTATACAATGACTGCAAAAGCAATCATATTTGTATCACAGAATGTAGCCATTTGATTGGATTGCACTTCAGCGAATACAGCCACCATAGACCTTGACAGACAGACTGTAAATAATATGGTTTCTTGGTTACGGACAAGTTTACTATCGAGGACTGAATTCTCTAACGTACACTCCAGCTAATTCGCTGTATTTACGAACTTTCGTGATACAAGAAAGGTAGCCGTCAAGGTAGAAGACGAAGTTCCTAATAGCTTGCCATTATGAAGATGACCTACGAAAGATTTAGCAAAGTCTATAAACTTCGATTTTATCATATTCATTCATTTTCAGCCCTGAGGTGTTACGATTGCCAGAGTCATAATACAGACGACGAACCCAGTGGATTTTGCCCAAGAAATGGAACAGTTGATGCAACTAAGGCTTATGTAAATGATAAGTGTGATGGTAAATGTTTTACGAAAGGGAACGATATATATAATGATCGTGAGTACAATAAAGGCCATGATTAGCCATTTTCTGGGGTTGATTTCGGCCTTGGAATTTCAAATTGATCTTGGGATATTTGGTTTTATGATGAAATATATTATGGTTTGATCATGCCATGATTGGTTTGGTCATATTGAATTGATCATTGATCGTAACATGATTGGTATAATAAATATTTTACATTGATCATGGGATATTCGGTTTGATCTTTGGTTTTTGGATTGATCTTGGGATCTTGGATTGATCATGGGATCTTATTTTTATCGTGGGTTCTTGGATTGATCATGGGATCTTGGATTGATCATGAGGTCTTTGTTGATCATGGGATCTTGGATTGATCATGGGATCTCGGATTGATCATGGGATCTTATTTTGATCGTGGTATCTTGGATTGATAATGGGATCTTTGTTTGATCATGGGATCTTTGTTTGATCATGGGATCTTATTTTGATCGTGGGATCTCGGATTGATCATGGGATATTATTTTAATCGTAGTATCTTTGATTGATCATGGAATCTTATTTTGATCATGGGATCTTGGTTTGATCATGGGATCTTGGTTTGATCATGGGATCTTGGTTTGATCGTGGGATCTTATTTTGATCATGGGATCTTGGTTTGATCATGGGATCTTGGTTTGATCATGGGATCTTGGTTTGATCATTTGTCTTAATATTGAGATATTTGGTTGGCCGATATAACCTGATAATGGGATATTTTGTTTTCGAAGAAGGAAGGGTTTGATTCTCCCAAATGTACAGGCCTAGGATGGAACCAATGCTTCATTAAGTAATTAGAATAATCGGTCTGGGCTTGATTCTAGAGTTTGGTAGTGGGATAATTTCTTTAATCAGTAAGAATGACCATGATATATTTGGTTTTTAAGACGCTGGACGTGGTTGTACAACGGGTTTCTCTCTACCAAGTCCCTTACCAGATGATGGTTGTTATATATATGGTCTTGATACATGGTGTATATGCAGCAATGATACATGTAATGGACAGCCTATGGGTAAGAAATAATCATGATCAAACATGATTTAAATGCGTAATGTCCCTATGACACTTGAACAATTTTTGTCGCCGAAATTCCGCGCAATTGGTCGTAGTGATATCGATGCAGCGCAGCGCAGCGTTGTGGCTTGTTCGCACACTGTACACGAATAAGTAAGGCATTGTGTACACAATGCAAAACCAACAAATATCCTGCATTGGCACAAACTGCGACAATTTTTGCGCCGAGTTTGCGCAGTGTTTACGAATAGGTCATATCGCTCTAGGTTTAAGCATCCCACAATTCAAAGTCGATATTTAGACGGGGATTGTGGTTGAAATAAACTTCAGCTGTACCCGAACTAGTTATAAATCTTTTTAGATTACCGATCGACCAAAAATATAACGGAACGAAATACAATTTTAATTATTATGATATCAACTTTTTCATATATACAGGAGAAGGGTCGGAAGAACTGGATGCCCACCTTCGGAAAGCAATCCTAAGTCAAGGTAAGGTAGTTACTTCATTGTCTAGTGGTGAAATACCAAGTCTTTTTCATCCAGTCGGTTTTCAAGTTCGGTTTTGTTTGTAGCCTAACTAAATATACGATTGAAGTCATTGAAGGTGTCAATAATCTTTCCAATTCTAGTGCACATTGTGATGGAAATGTTATTGAAGATAGCAGCAATATTTGTGTTGAATTTCAATTTCGAATTTTGAAATAGTCAAAGCTACCTAGATTTGAGTACCAGGATTATAAAGCACATATTGAGTGCACTACTATTAAATGTCTACAAGAGTTCGGTGCAGTATTTCATTTTACCAATCAAGTAGGCCTATACTTATATTATTTCAAAGGTACCCCAAAGATATTTTGTAACTCTAGAAGATTTTGTTGATTATTCTGATTGAGGTGTACCCAATATACGAATTCGTATTTCAGGTGCCAAAGACGGGATTATGAAATGTTTTAATTGTATAAATTACGATGCTAAAGGTCAACATTACAGTCAATGTCCGAAATATGGCACTGTTAGTTTGAGTGCTTGGAAGATGAACTGTACTGGACATTGTTACACTAGAAGTGATGACCTGGATCCAAGAAGTAGGTAGATCTACTGGAATCCTGGAAGTGAAATCTGGAATACTCCAAAGTCATAACTATTGTATTCTCATTGTAGTCTGTGTCACCGAGTTTACACAGCTGCAACGAAAGCACTTGTGTCAACTTTGGGACAAGAATTCTGCTAGTTACACTCACGGAAATTAACGAACATTAGCGAAGGCTCAACTCACGGAAACAACCGAACATTGACAAAGGTTGAGCCAAATGCGACGAAAGATGTATCCATAGCCTAAACTGTTGATACCTTCTGTCCTTTTGTCCTACCACAGGGGCTAGCTGCATTAACCGACCCAATGTAAAATTGGTATTGCTGTATACTTGTTTTTTTTTATCTCGTCTTTGCCAGTAAATTTCAACTAAATCATTCTTTTCTAGAGGTGTATAGAGGTTGTACAGATACATTACCATCTCTGGCTTCCATGCCTCCTGTCGATGGTTGCTATACATACTATCTAGAAACTTGGTGTGTCTGTAAAACATATTTGTGTAATGGCGGTCCAATTGGTAAGTAACCGTTTATAGAGACAAAGGTGGTTCGTCGGCCTTTTTGTCATTGGTTTAAAAAAAAGGAGGGGGGGGGGGGAGATATCGAAACTATTTACATCATATATCATATATACATCATTTCAAGTGTCAGACGTCAATGTTTCCTGCAATTCCACAACACTTAGGTTTATGGGAATTGCAGGACCCACAGACGTCTGATTGAAAATTGGAATGGTGCAAATTGATGCTATCAGTATCCCTTATGCACATAAAACTTTAGAAAGCCTCTTTAAAATTCCTTTACAATCCCTTTAATTTGTTAGTCGTTCTATTACAGGAGTTGGTACTGTCGAGTTGGATGCTCATATTGTAGAAAACGCAATGTCTGTGATTACTGTAAATAGTTTGTTTTTGAAATGTTTGGGTGTTATTGTATTCGTACTGCGTTGGGCTTTTTAACCCTGAAATCTGATTTTATACTTCATGTATTTCGAATAGAGAATGAATTGTGTATCTGAAAGTGAACACCAGAACAAACAAGACAACCTTAGTCAAATCTGGGGAAACATCTTGACAATTCAGGATCCCAAAGAATGGTTAAGGCAAGTGTGTTTGTGTGGTGAAACATGTCCTCTGTTCGCAAGGTCAGCCTGAATGTGTATGGGGATGTTTAGCGTTTTGATTTCTATAGACTAATTCTCCTGATATATAATTTATCTCGGCGCGTTTGATTAAGTTTGGATAAAACAGCTCATATGGAATGGAGGTTTTCAATGGGAGTACAAATATGGAACAGATTAAAAAGCAGTTGTGTTAATGAGGAATATATCCGAATTAATCCGATTAACATATGTCAATAACATAGGATGGTATCATATGGTTTTGAATTTTATACAACTAAACCCATGCTCGTCCTGTTAGGAACTGGAAACAACAAACGGTAATGGGATCATTATGGGTTTAAGCATAAAGTACAATTTCATTTTAATGCGTTCCATTCGTGGAATAATTTGGAATCAAATGTCCTCCGAAATTGCAGGATTTATACGAGAAAAAACATTTTACAATCAAAACCCATTAGTGTTTAATGTACCAAGCGCATAAAACAATGGACAAATATTTAGAATTTTTTAATATAAGAATATTTGTACAGCTTTAACGTATTAAGATTCAAAAGCATTATTGATCACATAAAAAAATACTATAAAAATATATAGAAATATGATAGTATCTTCAGCTTTTGGTTTTGTTTTGGTTCAGCAAAGTCATTTCTTCAGGCATGATTATCTTGGGCGGTTTTTCATTGACGATAACTTCAGCTTCCCTCGTGTACATTATTTTCTTTTCTCGCTGAAGATACAAAAATGCATGTTCATGTTTCTTAGCATCTTCACAATGTCAAGCTATAACGAACTTATACCTTGACTGCAAAACTCAACTTTCTTTTGTCACAGACGTATGTAAAGGCGCCCATTTGATTGGATTTACGCCAATAAGAGCCCTCGACAGAAAATCAGTAAAAACTAAGCCATAATATTTTCAGTCTTTCTGTTGTTACACCGTAAACGTATAATAAGAAGGAATGAAAGAAGCAACCATTTTTTTCCACAAGAATAACAATTTAGGTTCACCCAAAGCCCTATATACTTTTTGACCTTTATAAGTCAACTGGAATAATTGGAATAAGTGACTTACTCAAGGTCACTAGAATGTGAACCCACGACCATCATCTATTCGGCATAACCAAGTAAATGAAATAATGTATAGGCCTTGTGTCCTAGCCTCTAACCGACTGTGCATATAGAGCCCCAACAACAAACATTAGGGTTCATACTATTCAAATGTGTATTACCTTCTTTGTCAGGTCTAAGTCAAATCTTAAGAATCTCTTTACAGATTTTGGTAGACAGGAACCTAATTTAATCAATATTGGCACCATTAATCTTGGATCTATGTCTTCTTTATCCATAGAGCCTGAAGTACAATGCCATGAAAGACAATCATTCAAAACATTAACTTAACCTGAAGGTCCTGGGTTCAATCCTGGCTATGTCGAGATAAAACCTTCACAGTTTTCAACCCGGTTTCCCCTGTCAGTGATGCAGGTAAGAGGGGCTGACATGAAAAAAGCGTCTAGTCGTTCGGTTGGGACAGTTGGAAATCGAAAAAGAGCAGGCTAATGCCGCTGTCCTGGCAAAATATCCCTCATTGCATCCTGCCCGTCTTCATTAGCCCACATGGTGCAGAAAAGTAGGACGTAAAACTCCATTCATTTCATTAACTGCAATAGCCACCTTTCTTGTATCTGCATCGATTTGATTGGATTGTACGTTAGCGAATACTGTCAATCAGAGTCCTCGCCAGAAATTCTGTCAATGTAAACAATAAGCCCAAATCAAATCCAATCAAATCGTTGCACACCGTGATACAATTATAGCGACTATTGCAATCAAGGTATCAGACTAATTTAAATTTGTGCAATATACCTCTAACCATACCTTATAAATAAATAAATATAAATGGATGCATCAAAGCTACAGAGAAACAGCGAGGATGGATGTTTTGTGGATTTGCGTTTTTTTTTGCAAAGGGGAAAGGAGTTTTGTATATTGTAAACGATTAATAAAGAGAAATTGGTTACCAGTCAACAAGCTAATAATAGCACCAGCTACAAAAGCTAATATAACACCTATAGCACCAAACCATGTATAAGATATAGCATACATTCTATCTAAACCTTGTCTGAAGCGAAAAAAACCTATTATTAAATGTATTTAACTGCATGCTATAATAGAAAGATTACTTGAGAGAGGCGATTTGATTTAAGCCTCGTTTCGATGACTGTGGCGATGTAAACCACAGACAATCATGAATGTTATAAAACTCATTTTAACTTTATTAAGTTTGGAAGGGTATATTAATTATCATTACTCCGCCTCAGAGAACCAAACTAGTTCGTCCTGGGTACAGCTTCACAACGTCAAGCTTACAAATTTTCTCTTAAATCTTGACTGCAATAGCCACCTTTTTGTATCGCGGGGGTTTTGAAATGCAACGATATGGTTGGAATGTGCGTTAGCGGATACAGCCAATCAGAGTGCTCGAGAGAGAATTGGTAAACAATAAACCATAATGTTGCTGCATAATTGCTGCATACCGTTGGTAATAACGTAACATTGTGAATATGTGGTTAAGATGCGTTTATAAGATCTAGTGGGCTCTTCTACTAAATGAAACTTAATTGCTTTGACTTTTTCAGAAGAAAATGACGTACAAATAATTAAACAAGTAAGGAATTCTACAGCACAGTGATGCAAATTAAAAAATTCTAGAGCGAAATATAGGGACAAGCAGTGGCGAATTTTGGACTTGTTGGGCCGTAGGTAAACGAACGGTAGAGGGTCTAATTTCTCATTTTAGGGAGAACGCATGGTGTGATTACAACTTTATGACAGGAAGTTTGCGATCTTTTATTTTTCAGGATCAGATCAGTCAGCTCACCAGCATCAATCGTATGCACGATATCGGCATTCATCACCAATAGGCTCAAACAATTTAGTCGATTTTCACACATCACGCTCCTGGTGGGACAATTTTCAATGGGCCTGTGGAAATTTATTAACTGTTTTATTTTCACTGTTACAGAATTTATCGTGGGCCGAATTTTCCATGGGCCGAAAGGCAGCTGCCTTGTTCGCCTATAGGTTAATCCGCCGATGCACGATATCGGCATTCATCACCAATAGGCTCAAACAATTTAGTCGATTTTCACACATCACGCTCCTGGTGGGACAATTTTCAATGAGCCTGTGGAAATTTCTTAACTGTTTTATTTTCACAGTTACAGAATTTATCGTGGGCCGAATTTTCCATGGGCCGAAAGGCAGCTGCCTTGTTCGCCTATAGGTTAATCCGCCTCTGGGGATAATATTAACTTACGGTTCGGGTAATTCTGTGGCATATACCTCCGTTACGTTCACCGTGGGATTATACATATATGGTGAAGTCATATTATACTCTATAAACGTTGAATTATCTACTGGGCAGTGGTCAATCGGTGCTAGCGGCAACCATGGAGTTTTCCGTAAAGTTCTGGAAAAACTCGATCCCATTCCAAGCCATGAGCAAAATACCATGCTAATCATCGACCCGGCTACAGCGCCCTGTAAAACATTTGTATGTAATCGGAATCATTTTACTTACTAGTCATTCTCTGTATCACTTTACAGAGTCAAGCCTACGCCTGATTTTTCTACAATTAGATACACGTGAATCATTTGTTTATCTTAAATTTGGGCCCTTTTTTTTTTATCCCATTTCAGGATATGTAATTGAAATCTTTTCCGATGACGGCCATGTAAATGGCTCACTTCCATCGTCTCACAATTTATAAGCTAGTGTTGGACGCGATATTTTTTTTATGGGGAATGCATGCGACTTTAACGTGAATCGGATAGACACCCAAATGTAAAAAAGAGAAACATCATGTACACACAAACCTTTGAGTTTGCCCAAGGACAAAGAACACCCAGTAAAAATAATCCTGTTAAAGGACCAGAAAATGCAGAAATTACTGAACCAGATATCTACAAAGTAAAATAATACAAATTGATCTATTATGACAAATGTGATTATAATGCACAACTTGATATTTGGTTTCGATATTTGGATTGTAGTAACTCCAGTTGCTATCCTTGATCTGACGATATTGTTATTCAACACGTGTTCTATGTCATTAAAATAAAAAAAAACAATCTATTTTTTCTGACTGGAAGACATTCACTTAGTTTTATAAGTCAGCAAGGTCTTAAAAATAGTTGAAAATAGTAACCTGTCATAAGAAACTTCGTGTGCAGACACGAACATGCGCCAAAATTAGTCGATCATTAAGAAAAATCACGAATATTTCAACTAAAACTTCGAATCACATGGCGGTCAAATATGTTCGTGATCTGATTCAGGTAACTAGGTCAGGCTCGTAGTTCCGTTTAGGCATAACTCACCTGTATCATAGTTCCACCTATTTCACCAATAACTATAGCTATTCCAGATGCTAAGACGGCAGATATTATGACTACAAGACACAGAAATCATACAATATCTACATTCTGAATAAAAGGAAATGCAGTTTTCTGCTTTAGATGGGACTAATAAGGAAGGCCAACGCCGTGCAGTGGGCTATAACAGAAGGGTTTTCAGGTTAGCGGATTTGGCCTCCCCCTTTTCGATGTATATTTAAGTGCACAACCGACTTCACACGGGTCCGTTTTATTGACTGGATTAGATTTTCCAATGTCCCTTGCACGACTGACTAAGGGTGCAGGCACACGAACAGTCATAGACGCCGATTTTTGTCGCTGACTCGAATCTTCCGTAAAATCTCACGTGTGCCCGCGCTTCCACGACAAGATTACCGCGTTGCCGACAGGATTTGACGCCAATTGTTTCATCGTCTGCAATCGGAGCTTCCTCATCCAATCAGATTCATTCCCTTTCAATTAAATGATCCGCACGAGATTATCGACATAGTAGAAAACGATCGACTGGAGATTTTTTGTCTCCTTGTGTGCCCGCAAGCGGTCGGTGAAACTCTTGACATGGCTCCAGTCGGCGAGCAAGACCGTTCGAGTGCCTGCAGCATTAGGGAAATTGTGTTGATAATCTGATCGTGAGATATATATCTTAGCCAGAAAGAAGGTAGTACATATAAAACAATAGATCTGTAATCTGGCTGCATGGTATTGAAGAGAAACAAGCAAAACGGCTATACCTGATATTTTGGCTACAAGAGTACTTCTAAATTCGGATAAAGTTTTAAACTTTTCTTTGACAATATCTTGTAGAAAAATAGCTGATAGTCCACTTAAACCAGTTGATAGTGTACTGTAAAATGATGATATGAAATGCAATTATCTACATGAAGCTTGAAATATTGAACCATTTTGGACTAATATACGCAGCGAATTCGGCGTCGACGTCATAGTTTCGCATTACTTATAGTCATTTCGAAACATTAAGGGGTACTTTTGGAATGGATGTTAAGTTTTTTTAAATACGGTGCGTCCTTTCGCCGATTATGGACCACCAAACGACATTTATACTCCTATTTGTATAATTAGAACTGGCTGGCATTTGGGTGAATCAGCGTATTGGATAGTTTTCGGCTATCTTCGATGGTCCTCGGTGGTGAAAAGAAGTACCATCTTTATTCGATCAGTATTATTTGATAATGAAAGAATAGAACTAATGGTTTTAATCGGAAGAAAGTTTGCATATTCCTATTTCTTACCTTAAAGAAGCACTGAACAGAGATGCTAAAAATAATCCAGGCATTCCTGGCAATGACCTGAATATATCCATAACCATATAAGGAATGATCTGCAAATACATTAATAGAGCGTTTTAGTTAACTTTGGGTTAATTCCCAATGTGTCCTATTATGCAATCGGTAATTTTTAATGTATGATTTTGTATATGCTGACCGATTATGGCGTCACTGTAGCGAATGTCAATTGGATTTGAATGTATTTCTGATATTAAAACATAATTAAGACAAGTTCTTGTCTCTGAAACTACAAGCACCTGTAGTATGGGGATATCGGAGTGAAGCAATAGAAGCTTATAAGTGTTTTCGTATTACGCCAAAAAGACATTATGACGTCACTATAGCAAATATCATTTGGCTTGAATGATAAACCTGTAATTTTACAATGGTAATTTGAAAATAGACGACAATCAAAATACATACCATAGAGTAAAAAAATGTATTTACCTGATTAGGATTTGTGATCTGTCCAGATTCTAGGGGGTCACATCTAACTGTGGTATAATAAGCGAATGCTACAATACCTTCATAAGCTGCTAGGGATAAGGCCACAATGTGTAGTGGTGACGTAATGAACAAAACTCTGAAATTCCGAGGAACTATGGTCACAGTAACCTTACACACTTAATTGGTCATTGGTTACAAAGTTGCAGTAACATGGACACAAGGTCAATATTAATCACAGTAATATAGTCACAAACTAAATTAGTCACAGGGTCAATTGTCATCATGGAATTGCTCACAAGGACGGTGATAAGGTCACGTTATTTGTGCTTTGTAAAATAATAATAATAATAATAATAATAATAACCAGCATGACCATTCGACGTCAGCAAGAAAGTGGCGTCAAATTTTAACCGACTATAGAGTACAAGTCCGTATAAATGGTTAATGTCCACAGGTTAACCCACGGGTTAGCTGGTTTTTTTTTTTTTGGTTTTTTTTACCTGTAAGCGGCCCTCAACGTTGGGGTTGACGTGATTCTTTGACAAGTTGATTGGTTAAATACCATTCCCATTCCACGTAATAGAGACCCAAAATATAGTCCCCAAAATGTATGACGTACTGTAAAATCTGTATCAAACCTGAAATAGCGTAAACAGATGACGTCGCAATTCAACATCAATTTTGTTTTCATTGAGATATAGCTCTAGATCTTTCATTGAGGTATAAATCTAGATCTTTCATAGAGATATAGCTCTGGATATTTTCATTGAGATATAGATCTAGATATTCTATTGAGATATAGCTCTAGATCTTTCATTGAGATATAAATCTAGATCTTTCATAGAGATATAGCTCTGGATGTTTTCATTGAGATAAAGCTCTAGATCTTTCATTGAGTTATAAATCTAGATCTTTCATAGAGATATAGCTCTAGATCTTTCATTGAGATATAGATCTAGATATTATATTGAGATATAGCTCTGGATATTTTCATTGAGATATAAATCTAGATCTTTCATAGAGATATAGCTCTGGATGTTTTCATTGAGATAAAGCTCTAGATCTTTCATTGAGTTATAAATCTAGATCTTTCATAGAGATATAGCTCTAGATCTTTCATTGAGATATAGATCTAGATATTATATTGAGATATAGCTCGGGATATTTTCATTCAGATATAAATCTAGATCTTTCATAGAGATATAGCTCTGGATATTTTCATTGAGATATAGCTCTAGATCTTTCATTGAGATATAGCTCTAGATCTTTCATTGAGATATAAATCTAGATCTTTCATAGAGATATAGCTCTGGATATTTTCATTGAGATATAGATCTAAATATTATATTGAGATATAGCTCTGGATATTTTATTGAGATAGCTCTAGTTATTTCATTGAGAGATAGCTCTAGATCTTTCATTGAGATATAGATCTAGATATTTTATTGAGATAGCTCTAGTTATTTCATTGAGATATAGCTCAAGATCTTTCATTGAGATATAGATCTTTCATAGAGATATAGCTCTAGATCTTTCATTGAGATATAAATCTAGATCTTTCATAGAGATATAGCTCTAGATCTTTCATAGAGATATAGTTCTGGATATTTTCATTGAGATACAGCTCAAGAGTGATTTTGGCATTGGTTCGAATTGTCAATAACAAAAAGATCACTTGACATAAATCGGTTGTTGGAGAGTACTTAATATATTCGTTGGTATTGGTATTGGTATTAGTCGCTCTTTCCAAATAACCATGGCGGATATATTGGGCGTTCACGAGATGGAAATGAATAATAACAATACAAAGAGGCTTTAACGATATTGCGTAGTTTTCGGGGATAATTGGAACAATTGACTGTACGCGGGTTCCCATACAATGTCCGAAGGGTGATCAAGCTGAATTATTTCGCAATTGAAAAGAATTGTACTCCATTGATATGCAGGTAATATTTACAGGTCCATATTCTCATAATAAGGGACATGGTTGCAAGATGGTCCCGTTTTTACCCACGAAACGAGGATCTGAAGTTGGTTGCCAAACCAGATACATTTTGAGCGATGCTGGATAACCATGTCGGGTCGGCCTTATCTTTATAACCCTATTACCAATTCAGAGAGACGTTACAATCTTTTCACATTCACGAAATATTATTATAGAAAGGCTGTAAGGTGTTTATGGATACCAATACGGACTATCTGGATACAACATATAATAAAAATCATTCATTAACAAAGTCTGACTAAACCTAAAGCCTGACTTAGCCTTAAGTCCAAGCGCAGCATACGGCCCAAAGTATCTACTGCTCATAGTGGGTACAAAGGGTTACCACAGACGTTTAAAAATAGATAATAAAAAACCAAGGCTCTAGATAGAATGAATCAACTTGTCAACTTACACGAAAAAATTAAACCTTCCACCAGCTTCTCCTTTCTCCCATACAGCTGTCGGTCCACCAGCATAAATTGTTGCCTAAAGAAGAGAGGGGGCGCAAAAGATAAAAGTCTTTCAAAGAGTCGCTTTGGACGCATGGATGGGAAAATGAACTACATTTTTGTTTTGCGTGTAGAAGAGTTCCAACAGTTATTAAAACTCGTAAAGTACAAGAATATTTTTGAGGTGGTCTTCACGATGTCAAGCTATTACGAACTGCGTCTAATACTTTGACTGCAATAGCCACCTTTTAGAATCACAGAGGTTAGTAAACGGTGTGAATTGATTGGATGGTACTATGGCGAATATACCAAATCAGACCCTTCAATAACAACAGTCAACAGTCTTTCTGTCAAGGGCTCTGATTAGCTGTATTGATTAGTGTGCGAATCGTTGCATTGACAATCTAGATGGGTATTGCAGTCAAGGTATTAGACGCAGTTCGCAATAGCTTGATATTAAGATGATTTGGGGTGGACAGGTATTGAAGTATATTGAAGTTTACCATATTGATACATACCTTTATCAGTAAAGCAAAACAACCACAAAACATGACTACAGCTTGAAATACATCCGTCCATATTACAGCTTTCAGACCACCCTATATATACAGAAATACACAATGACAATATCCTTTAGTGAAATGAATACATGGTCAAACAAATTACACTTTAATATAAGAGTTGGGTGAAGTAGGCTACTTTCTTGGTTAGATAAGACTAAAAGAAGTCATGCTTAAAGGGATTGTAAAGAGGTTTTTCATTTTTAATGTGTATCGGGGGATACTGATAACATCAATTTGCGCCAATCCGATATTCAATTTGTGGTTCCTGCAATTTCACAAAACAAGAGGAAGTGGAAGCGTCTTTCGACAGCTGATCGTAACCATAATTGCCGAGAAGACACAGAAAGTACCCACCTAGTTATAATTCTGTATCTTAAAACATTGAAAAGAGACTTACAATTGATGTATATATGGCAGCAGCTAATGCAATTAAACATATAGACGCCCATTTCGGAAAGCCAGTTACTGAAAGTAAAAGATAAATCGCATCTTAATCATTATTTCCAATTGTATAGAAACCGAACCGAAACTGACATCCGCGTATCACGCCTGAGACACTGGTGGGCCAGATTTGTCAGTCTGGATGTCCATACTATATAAAGTACTACGAGTGGCTGATATTTGTGTTCTATGGCTGATAAAGCAGATTTTGTTTTTAAAGAAATCTAAGTAATCACAACAGGCTTCCGTAGCTAATTATCAAGAACAAGCAATAAAAAGTATATTTACCAGCTTCTAGTGCAATTCCAGGACCAAATAAAACTACCCCCATGTACCATAACTAGGAAGATAAATTGAGAAATATATTAGTTGTACCGGCAGGGTGGGCATGTCCTGTCTTGCCCTAAGAAATATTAAATTTTCTTGTTGTAGGTATGGCCTTATATACTTATACCGTAGTACTGAAAATGTATATTGAAAGTATGGCTGTCTGAAATGATGATATCTTTTGAGACAGCAGATGGTGTGTAACACAATCAACGGGTGAAAGCTCAGAAACGAGTTTCTCTTCAGATGTCTTCTCACAAGCACAATAGTCAATATTAAGAAATCTTTACTTATGCTGGAATAATTTATCTGATAGGTTAATTTTGAAGCCTGTTAGCCAATGGATCATTGTTTTTCCTAATATCTGAACTCAATATATAATCAAGGAATACAAACGGTATACCCAAATAGTTGTGCTTGCGCTTTGCAACAAATCACAGTGATGAATGGCAGACATTATTTACCGAGCATATTGTGTGTAGATTGTCACGTGATTACGTGATGCTGGTGGTTCAATTAAATGTTTTATCGGTAAAACAATAGTCATAAGTAGAAGCTATACGGGCTGTTTTCAAGTCGCAATACTCCTAACGCTGCACAAATCTTTGTGAAATGTCGGATTAAAACCTACCATTCATTACCGAGACAGATGCAGCTTTACGGCAACGGCTGTGGATTGCCGAATGCAAGGAATACTTACTGTGGATAAAATCCCTAGTATAGTTCCCATTATTCTTGGTGCCTTGGACTTGAATCTTATTTCTAGATACTACAATACAGGAAACAACATTGATCATAACGTCAATACAGATATAAACAAGCGGTATAGTTTAGATTACAATTTCGTTTTTTTAAAAAGCGTGTCATAGATGGACTACAAACGAAATTGCTATGGTTCTTACATTGAAATAACAAAAGTTCACAACCATTTTGAATCTCTTCTCGACTTAATAAGCCGAATTTTGAAAAAGGCTATAATATTTCAACGAAGCCTTCATATCACATTTAAAGCCATTTCTTAACCTTTAAATGTGATTTGAAGGTTTAGTTGAAATATCATAACCTCTTTTGAAAGTCGTCTCATTAAGTCGAGGAAGAGATTCAAAATGGTTGTTAACTGCGTTTGTGTGTTTATTTTCACGAAACTCCATTTCAAACCTTATTGATTAAGATATTATGTTGACTGACAATATGCCACTTGGAACTCCAAGTGAAACAACAAAATATAGGACGTAAAACTCCGTCCATTCACTTCCAAAACATCAAACGCACCTACCTCATATACACTAGTTAAACCAAGGGGATGGAGAATAGGAACCACCAGAAAAATTCCACAAATATTGGCGGTAAAAAATCCAAGACAGGCAATCCACCATTGAATACCGAAGACATAAACTTCAGCAGGAACACCCAGCATCATTATGGACGATTCAAATGACACCATTAATGATATAGCTACTGGTATGAAGCTCATCTTCCGACCACCAACCAGGTATTCCGAGGTGGTTCGCTGACGACCACCACTGAAGGCATGGTAAATACCGATGCCAATCGAAATGACTATGGTCAATCCGAAGAGTATCAAATCTGCTAAGTGAAATTTGTGATCTGGATTCACCATTTTGAATGAATGACAATGCGCATTTCTTGGGAACTTGTGAACTTTCTTACTTTTATCTTAATTTCGAGCGCATGCATAATTCTTTGTTTTAATAAGCATGATGTATTCGTCCGCACGATGTTAATATTATATTATAATATATAAAGTCGCTTTGTTAATAATTATCAATCAGTTGTATAAATGGTCAAATGGTCATTCAAAATGTATATACAAGCTCATACAATCATTCTCAGACCACAATATAAAATAGGAAAATAGCCAGACTTCATTGTTCGGAGGGGCAAGTAATATTATCCGGAAGGGCAATGGCGTTTCTAGGAAAGTTGAGCTGAGGGGGCAGAGCAGGGACCACAAAATTTTCCAGGGGGGCACAGGCTATTCTTCCACTATGTAAAATGGTGTATGGTGTTTAATGTTAAACTTTTAATTTCCCAGTGGGAAAATCCATTTGTGCTATACCAGTAAAACTTATTTCAAAATCCATTGGTTCGTTCGCCCGTCCATATTTCTACTATGGAGATCTGATCTTGATGAAACTTTGTAGACTCTATATAATGTGCCTACATCAGAGTCCGTGGTAATCTATTGATGAACGGTTTCAAGTCATTGACATGTACTTTGAATGGGCTAGTTAAGATAGATTATATTTCATAAAAGTGGGTATGCAACTGCATGGTATATAGGTCGTGGTAAAGGGGACAGTATACAAAATTTTCATTATATATGAATTGTCATTAAATATACCTGAAAAGATTTCTACAATATGCTATTTATATCTATGTATCTACTTGATCAATCTGACTGTGTTTCAGAAGGGGGCGTCTTCCCGGGAAGTCTACGTTTTGTTTTCTTTGATGATTTGAGTTAAATGCCGAGATTAAAGGTGTTAAGACCTCATTAACGGTGACAAAAATTCATGAAAATTTTTCACTTACATTAGTTACTATTTAACGATGTCACTCACTGTTTTGGCATCTGTGATTAAAATATTGAAGGGTTAATTAAAAACAGAGAGTATTAATTGCTAATTAATCAGTTTGACCTAGTTTTGGTGTTTGGCTTTATAACGGCTTAATATTATTAGTTGAAACCTTCAGAAAACGTAGGCTAGACACATTTCTCAACAACTATAGGTGTTTATTTTACTCAGATCCGTACAGTAGTTTTTTTAATTGCTACCAAAGAGAATAACTTTAAAACCCTGCGTAATGTTTTTAAATAGTTTGGCGTTAAAAAAATGACACGTTTTCCAGATTTTGGTGTATAGTTTTCATAAATATTCGACCTACAAAAAAAGCTATAAAGGATGATGGTCGAAAAATTTAAAATATAAAAACCTTTGGAATACAGTGAATAATTCATATAATATAATAACACCATGTAATGAAAATATTAATGCTATAATTCTTTTCCCAAAGCCTAAGCAACTATAAAACCGGCAAATATTTGCTAACAGTAATTCTATCATGACCAAATGTATAAACAATATGGATTCGCGTTATCTAATCGTACGATGAGATAATTTGGCCCTATATGGTACAAAATTAATGGCAAAGATGAAGAAAATTTAGACGTTGACCTATAAAGCCAATAATCGCCTTATCTTTAACCAGTCAAAGCGTATCATATTATAGGAACCACAATGACGAATTGTTAAATTGGTTAATGCTTATGTCAATAGACTAGAACTAGTTTAGATTACAATGGAGGCGAAAATATCGGGGAAAAAAGCAAAATTGTAGCCTAATCTAGTATAGTCTAAATAGATTGGTGATTTGGCTGATTAAAATTTACACAAACATATCGGCTCTTCTAAAAATTTTATTTCGCACATCCACTCAAGATACCTTCATATTAAAGGATTTATGTGAAATAGTTTTTAACCTTAAACAAAAAATCCAGCGATTTTGTCGGTCGCAGCGATATCAATGGTGGTGAACTGTCTTTGTGTCTGTTTCGGCATGTAGTGGTTTTCTCCCTTTACAAGTTCCTCCCTAGTGGTTTCCCCCCAGTGGTTTCCACCTCTTTTTAATCCTAGTGGTTTCCACCTCTATTCTAAGAGGTTTCCTCCCTTATCAACATGAAATAAACTAATTAATTGTTATTCTTAGATAGATATAACATTTTATCTAACTCTATTCAAATTTGACTTGTTCAACATTGCTGAATTGTGTTTAAATTGCAATATTCTTGGAAGACCAAGGCATGCCATGATTTGAGGTGAACAAAAGTCATAGGAAATGTGAAACAGGTGTATTAATTATAGTAATTTATCTTATATACTTTCGATATAATCTAATACCGCTTTGCAAGAAAATTGAATCTTTTCATTAAATTAGTTTAATTCATCACAAATTAGTATGACCTGTTATGTGGTGGCATTTCAATAATCCAGTTTTAAAATCCTTGTTTGTTAATAATTTTGTTGAGTGAACGTTTTCTATGTAGGTCTAAATTGTGGATAGAGATAGTTTCGTTTTGTTGTTACTATTGTCATTGATTACAGTCAAAATTTGATCGAAGCCATTTCCGTTGGCAGCGCCATCTGTCTTCAAAGTTTCTGAAAGTAATCACTGAATTTGTTCCACTTATTTAAAACTACTGAACCTCAAATAATTCTTAGGTTCAAAATGAGTGGGGCTGTAAATAAAGTGGATATGTCCTTAGGTAATTGTACAGGCCATCTTTTATTTCATTTTCTCAAAGATTGTTTTTGTGAAGCTATAAAATGAATTACTTTGAAAACAACTCCAAAAGTCCAAGACAACAAGCAACAGGTTTTGGATTTAGAAGACGTGTACTGTGTGCTTTCTCAAGCTGTTGTCACCTTGTATATTGTATATTGTAAAGTTGTATTGGGTTGTATTTATCAGTTCTATTTTTATTAAAGATGACATTCTCTAGGACTTGCAATCTACTTTCTGACTATGTTGAGCTCTGAATTGAATTTTTCTCTCATTTTTTAAATATTCAAAATAAAATTTTCAATCGTAAGCCATTTGACTTAGAATTTCTTTTGGTCCATAGAAAGATTCAGTGATTTTACATTTAAAATGGACACGCTTTCCTCCAAGAAAATTCATGTGAAAATGACTCAACTTTTCGGACTGAAAATTCCCCTCTGTAAAATCATGTTTACAAACAATAACTTCTCCAGTGGTTAACATTTTCATCAACCCAAAAACAATATAAGACTCTCTGTAATATATTTTAGTTAATATTTCAATTCATTCGAAAATGATTGGCGAAATTCAATTCAGAAATCATTGTAGTGAGTTGAGATTGGGTTCATAATTTGTGTAAAAAAATTATTACTTAAGTTAGTCTTGTCCACTGTCGATCTTTACCAAAGGCTCCAGGGCATTAAGATAGTCACCAACAAGAACATGTTTAAACTCAAGGAACAGTTTTCCTTTAATTGTCTTGATATTGCATTCAAAATAGCTTGTATTGGTATCACAGAAACATCAAACATCTAAAAATCATGAGACATTATTGATGGGGGGGATGCGTTTATCTAACATAACACATTGTAATTAGCCTGAACATGATGGTATTTATGAAGATCATGAACATGTTCTTGAAAGTTCTTAAAATGACTGACAAAATTGAGTTTAATGAATGAATGACTGTTTTTAATTGTGATTTTGCAGATGACATTATTAAATTAAACAAGAAAAATAAGAAAGGAGTCAGCCCTATGAATAGGGCACAACAGGTAAGCATAATATATATTTTAAAGATATTTTTATTCCAGTATTCAAACAGTAACCTGACATTATGTTATATGCTTAGTGGATTGAGTTATAGTCTACATGGCATCTAACCAAACTTGCACCAAATTTGATCTAAATGGACCCTTGAAATGGTCAAAATGGCCCTTTGAAAAAGTCAATATGCTGCAAAAATAATATTTTATATATTTAATTTCATTGGTAATAAATATCCATAAGCTTATTTTATAAACAAAAAACAACATTATTTCAATATGAAAAACTAGTACTCTAGTCTCTATGAAAACCAGGACTTTTTGGCAGAAATCAATAGTGCTCGGCTCAGACCCATATTGGTATTTTGAAGACATATTACCTCAGAAAAGTGTAATAATTATATACGGTATTTTTTCAATGAACTGTAATTTTGTGTAGAAATCTTTTCATCCATCTTTTGGTTTTTCAGGGTAATGCCAGAAACTCAAGAAAAGGAAACACATTAAAAAATTTGAACAATGATAAAATTCCTGGAAGATATTCGGGTGTCAATAAAAAAGCTGGTGCTGGTGGTGTTACTAAAAATAACAATAATGCTATACTACAGAGAAAGAGGTTGAATGCCCTAAAGAAGTTACGTGAAGCCAAGCAGGCTTTAGCTTTAATAGATGCAAAGAAGAAAACATATGGTAAACTGAGAAACCAGGTATTTCTAAATGAATTTTTACAGAATTATGTTACTGACACTGTGTTGCAGTTGTTATTTCTTATAGACATGATATTGGTTTTTTTGATCTCCATGAAACTTGGATTATGTCAGCATACTTCTTCTGGGCCGTGGTAATACAAGTGAGAAAAAATATGTATTCATAGATATTGTCCAATCAAAATTGGCCCTGGAATCTCAGCCAATCAAATTAAATCACTGAAGATCTGTTTGTGAAAGTAAACAAAAACGAAAGCAGTGTGTCATTAAGTAAGATGTTCGGTAAAGAATTGAAGTTGATAGAAAATCAATATTTACTGTGGAAAGAATGTATTCTTAATATCTTCAAACGAGTGATGGCAAATCAATTTTGTGTTTTCTTTTCCAGACAACATTTCCCTTCTATCAATCTGATTGGTCAGATTTTAATAGCTCCAATCTAATTACCATGCCCACAAAACGAAATGTAGTGGGCTTAGTTTAATGACCTTAGTGCAAAACAAGATCATTAATTCTGATAGTTATTTTGACTATTCTTAAATATTTTGATGTTTGAGTTTGAGTGCACATGCACAATTGAATTGATTCTTGTTTTTGACAAATTTAATCAAGGCTTTAGAAATTCTGGAGACAAATTGATTTGTTACTCATAAACTCTTTCAAATGCTTAACTCATGGCAAAGTTATTGATGACTAAAGCTCCAGAATGAACTAATGCTGAGTATTGGCAAACACGCACAATAGATAAGCTTATTATCTGTATCGCGATAATGGATAAAAATTAACATTTTATCTTCAAAAAGAAATGATGGAGTTTTACATCCTACTTTTTTGCACTATGTGGGCTATTGAAGACGGGCAACTCCATGCAGGGTGCAATGAGGGACAGCGCCAGCTCTTTTCAATTTTCAACTGTCGAGGGATCTTTAACGTGCGTAGCCTGTAGCACAGAGGGCCTCAGTTTATTATCCTATCCGAACGACTAGATGATTTTTCCATGTCAGCCCCTCTTACCTGCATCACTGACAGGGGAAAACCGGGTTGAAAAATCCGAAGGTATTATCTCGACCTATACCCTGATTGAACCCTGGACCTTCAGGTTAGCGAGCATTTTATCTTCAAAGTTTCAATATATATTAATTCATTTCTTTATAACTGTGATATTTGGTGATGTAGTTGATCGTTTTGTGTGACATGTTAGCGTTTTACATCCATTTACTGATATATATCTTGCCAGCACTAGAAGGAACTCTTAAGTGAAATTGAGGAAAATGGGACAGTTGTGTATTATGATCAATGGTTTTCAAAATCTATTTCAATTATCAAACCTTAAAAAGGTTTCAACAGAATAAATTCGTTGACAGAAATCATTTTTACATGCCCACATGAAATGGGGGGCGTATATTGCCGTCACCCATGTCCGTCCGTCAGTCCGCCTGTCCACAATTGCATGTAAACAAGTATGAGTTATTGCCTGGCAAGCTATCTTTTGTTATTTGTTTTGATTGTTGTGATTTAGCCAATAAGAGGAATTGAACCATTCTTTTGTCATTTCAGCCTCAAAAGAGACTTCCACCACAAAACAGACAACAGAATAATAAAAGAAATTTTAACACACTTTCTCCAAACCAAGGTCAAAAACGTCCAAGAATTAACAGAAACTATGGTAGTCAGGCATCATTGAATCAGTTTAATAGTCCAATGAAGAAGAAGAAGTTTACAGCAAGTACCATATCACTTGGACCTGTAGGCAGTACTAACAAGGGTGGCTATCAACGACAGTCTCGAAACAATCAGACTAATAATACACGCAGACTACCAAGACAAAACAGTCAAAATCAGTAAGTGAATCATTCATGGGGTCTTATTGTCAGAAAAATTGAAAGTTAAAATTTTTATATCAGCCACATACTTGACCAATGTTGTTTAATCACAAAATTTCTCTCATTGTACACTACATGGTATTGCCTATTTACACCATTTCATTTTTTTTTGTTATGAAATTTATTCAATTTTGTTAATAATTGGTTACAATATATTTTGTAGGTGGAAAAAACAATCTATAGATAATGGTTTAACAGTACAGGTCAATAATAACAGGTAAAGATTTACTTGTTTCCATCCATCTTATAATATACTTCACAGTCAGGGGAGATAACTATGTTTCAACTACTAAATGAAAACTAAAGACATACTGTGGACTCACTCCACTAATTCATTTGCCATCTCTTCCCAAGTTAAAACATGAAATTCAACCTTCTACAACTTTTTCCAGAAATCTTGTTGAAAGCTTTCCAATATGTTGAATGAAAGCCTGACCAATCCTTAATGTCTCCTAAAAAATTCATTATATGATGACCATGAAAATTTTTAGCTACTAAAATTGAAAGTAGACTATTACCGGTTATACTCATCCGCTAGAGTTTGGCAGTTCACAAAACGACTATTTTTAGAATTAGCCTTCCACCAAATCTTAAAGATAATGCAATTTCAGACATCAAATCCCAAATCTAGACCAAAAATTACCCAAAAATAGGCATGCAAAAACCCCAAAGGGAGAGAGAAAGAAGATTTCTAAAAATAGCCTGGACTACATTTGTATACAATCATTTGCATAAAATGTTTTAGTGGAGTGAGTCCATACTGTACTGTGGTTAAAAGAAAGCGGTAGGGCTGATGAAGTAATTCAGGGATTTTCAACTTTTTCTTTCTATTTCAAGTTTTGGATCCTTGATCGATTGAATAATCCCACCCACCCCCTTAGAATCCTTAATATTTCATTATTTTTTCCTATGTGTCATTAAGCCCAAAAATTACAATCCAGTCAAATAATAATAAAAGGTTATATAAGGATATTTTAATACTACACAGTGATTGATGACTTTGTTTCCCCGCAGTCATTTTTCATTCATTTTAGATGCCCTGCTACTAGCAGGCTGCTAGTAATTTTTGGAAAAGGGGCTTGGAAACTTGCAGATTTTGATCAATACAAACCAGACCGGTAGCCCAATAATGAAAATAAAATTAGCCCTAATTATGCAAGATGTCTTGTAAATATTTGTTTTTTTTTTTTTCAGAATAAGGCAGAATAGAAATAGAAGGAATAATAACAATAAATTTGTAAGTTTGTTTAAATTTAATGTTTGAGAGTGCCATTGAAACCAAAAAATAGGGGAAATGGTCATAGTCCACTACAAACATTTTAGTTGAAAGATAAGCTAAATGAACAATCTGTTAAAATAAAAACAAAAAATGTCTTTAGAATAAGTTTTCAGCGTCACTTAGCCATTAAAGGGACAGGTGCACCATATTTGGGTTGATTTGTGTCTTGAATATATATGTAAATAGTTTTCAGAAGTACTAGATATTAACAAAAATTGCATAATTCCTTTAAAAATATCTCAAACTCTTGTCCTATTTCTATAGACGACTTCTCTATAGTTGGCATTGTCTCTAGACATCATTTCAAACATGGATAATTCTGAAAACACATGGATTTGAAGGCTCACATTTTGACTGTGAGATTTGAACACATTACTGATTGGCTTACCTTAAAAAATTCCTGTTTTTGAGACTATGGTACGAAAAGTAAAAAGAAAATGACACACATGGCCCTTTAATAATACCAAAGGTAGCAGATGTTAAAAAAACAGAGCTGCAGTACTCTGACACTCTGATTTACAGTCCCAGTGCATGTTGGAATACACTGAATACTGTATACCATACTGTGATCCATCTAGAATTTTTAAAGTCAATTTTCTATTTTAGAATACTAGGAACCTCAAAGTACAGCAAGGCAAACATAGAAATTATGATTTTGATACTAATGTATTTTCAAATGTAGGGGTAAGTACATGGAAATTTAAGAACATCAAGTTTTACTGTTTATAATTGTTTTGTTAACAAAAGCTTTCATGCTGGAGAATATTCTCTTAGTTGACTCCTTGTTCCCGGTTACCAAGCTAACCTGCTTTGCTTACACATTGGGAAACCCAGTTTTTAGACTTACTCTTGGCTTTTCGCTAGGACGTCTGTATTGTTAGTATCAGTTCATTAGTGTTGCATTAAAATTTTAGGTTTTTATGTGCCTATTTAGTGCCTTAAGAATAATTAAGATGTTTTTATATTACATAGATATTAAATCACATATTCGAGATGATTTAATGTGGACGTATATTGTCAACCATGCCCGTCGGTCCATCTGTCCACAATTGGCTTGTGAACGCAATAGAGACTACAGTTTTCATCTGATTTGAATGAAATTTGGTGTGATCATTTATATTGATGAGATCTTGGACAAGTTCAATATTCACGTGTGTCAAAAATTATCCGCGTTTGAAAGCTAAAAAGTTGAGTCATTTTCTCTGAGACACTGCCTTATATAGAAAAGACATCTATAGAATGAGGAAAAGAAATTCTTAGTTTGAGATATTTTTGAAGGAATTTTGTGATTTTAGTACATTTCTGGTTCTTCTGAAGACTATTTACATATATATATTTAAGATGCAAATCAAGCCCCCAAAATGGAGCCCTTGTCCCTTTAAAATCACTTAAATATGATTTTAAGGATACATGTTTTATAGAAACAAGCCCCTTTATTTTTATTAGATGAAATATGTTGCATCTTGTGTGAAAACCAGACATGACTGGCAAATACAGCTTATACACTGTCTTATATATAACATCCCTTTTTTCATTGTAGACTTCTGTACCACTAAATGAAAGATTCAGTAATAAAGGACAGAAGCAATATCAGGGCAATAACAAAGGCAGACAAGTGTATTACTAGTGAAAATATTTCACCTCATCAATTGTGAAATCTCATATAAACAATGACAGTATTTTATCATTTGTATAGCTGATCAGTGCCTTTTTTTTAGATTCTAAGAGGAATTTAAGAATTCTTCATTTTTGACTGCAGATGACTGCCAAATTTTTTTATTTTTCTTATTACTGCATAAGGATTGTACTTAAGTCATAAATAGGTAAAGAGTACCTTTGAATAAATCTTCGCAATTACAAACTATGTCTAATACCTTGACATCATTAAACACTTTTCTGATATCATTTGATTTGATTGTACACTAGCCATTTATCAAAGTCACATGCACAGTCATGAAATAGACAAATTTTATACGCAGCCTTGATGTTTACAGTCTGTCTGTCGAGGGATTTCATTTGTTGTATTTGCTAGGTGACAATCCAATCAAATTGTTACATTCACACATCTTCATGATTCATTTAAAGTGTCAAATGATGTCAGGGTATAAGACACATTTGTAAATGCTTGACATTGTGAAATATCCTTTGAATGATTCTATCATGTATAGTTGTTGCTTATCTTGTGTAGTCTTCTATGGTATAAAATTATTGTGATCTTTATTCCTCTAAATGTAATAAGTTTAAACTTGACTACGTGGTAATGAATATTGCTAAGAAACTCTGTTATTATATATACATTTAACTGCATTATATCAATGGCGTTAAATGAAATCTTACTGAAAATTCCTTTGCCATGCCTTTTATGCTTTTAATATAACTAATGTGTGATTTGCCAATTATTTACAATTAGTCAATTTTTTTCCAACCCATAAAAAAAATCTCCTCAAATAATTAATTGTTTTCTGGACCTAAAAAAATCTCCACTAATAGTTCTGAACCTGAAAAAAATCTCCACTAATAGCTCTGAACCTGAAAAAAATCTCCACTAATAGTTCTGAACCTGAAAAAAATCTCCACTAATAGTCAATAGTTTTCCAAGCCCAAAAAAAATCCAGCATTAAACAATCTCACCAAATATTTGATAGTTTTCTGAACCTGAAAAAAATCTCACATATTATTGGATAGTTTTACACACCCGAAGAAAATCTCACCAAATAGTCAATAGTTTTCCAACCCTAAAAAAATCTCTCCAAATAGTTAAACCTATTTCCCCAAATAGTTGATAGTTTTTTTTTTTAAACTTTTTATCTTTGACAGTTTAAGGGACAGATGCACAATATTTTGACCAATCATATTTCGAGTCATAAGCGAATCAATAAGAGTGTTCATAGCTCACACTCAAAATTTGATCCTTCAAATCCATATGGGTCCAGAATTATCTATGTTTGAATTTTTAAAATTAGCACTGGTCATTTTAAGATACTCTGTGATATATAGAAAAGACATATAAAGAAAGAGTGAGTAAAATTCATACTTTGAAGTAGTTTATAGGAATTAAGTAATCTATTACTTGTAAAGACTATTTACATATTTCAAAATCAACCCCAAAAATAGAGCATCTGTCCCTTTTACATTTGAAATACCACAGAAAAACTGTCGTTTTGATCAATATTATCAGAATTTTGATGGAAAATGGCTCTCTGTCAAATAAATGCTTGATGGGTACTATTTAAAATCCTTAAAATATAATTTTTCAAAGATTATCAAATGGTAAGAGAAAGATAGAATTATGAAATGAAATATTAAATTGATTCATGTTTTTTTTCAAACAAAACCAAGTATAATATGGATATACTATATATTATCTTCAATCATAAAGTTTTTTTTTTTTATATATGTTATATTATAGTGTACCAGGAGTACTCCAGCAAATCATTTCGTTTTTAAGTTTTTTTTATCACCCATTCTTTAATATTTATTTGTATTTAATAGTAGAAATACAATTGCATTATCAAATAAACATTTAGTTTTTTTTGTTATGAATCATTGTTATGTCATTGTAATATAATGTCAATATATTTATGATACTTAGATGCTAGACAAGTACTATAGTATAGTGATCAAAGCGATACCTCGATGATTTTGGGTTCTAATTTCGGTCCGTGTGTGAAAGTCCGCCGATTTTGAATAAATCATTACTGTGATTTCAGTCAATCCAGCTGTAAATGGGTACAGATAAGTCGGGAAAGGACCAGCTGGTAGAAAGGATCCCTTTGTGAACCTATGTTATCCTTGTAAAATGTAGTTCTTTCTTTCCTTACCGTCAACAAAATAATTTTTTTTTGCAACAGCCATAATCAAATAATGAGACCCCTTAACCATGGAAGTAAAAACAGTGCTAGTAGAAGCTAAACGTCCCCAGTAAATTGGTACACAAGGTCAGAAAAAACATTCTTTTTATCACTTTATGTTGAATGAGTTTTGTGTCATAGGCCAAATCTGGCTTGTGGACACGATGCATGTTATAATTTTCGTTATTATCTACATATATATGCATAGGCATGATGACAGTATCTTAGTCAAGTTCGAAGTATTTCATTATTTTGTTCAACATTTTTTAAATTATATCTTTAAATGAAATGTGCAGCGTATTATGCGTATATTGGCGTCACCCATTTTCTCGTGAACACTCTTGAAGGCACAATTTTTGACGCGTGTGTTTGACAATTTTTTGTTATCACCCAAGGATAAACCCCATTTAAAATCACTAAATCGAAATATATTTAGTATGAGTTATTGCCCTTGTTATTGAAAACCCGTTCAGTTTTAAGCTCGTAAATATTTTAGAAAACACAATTCTTGACGGACGGATTTTGACAAAACTTGGCTTGTGTGTTTGTAATCACCCAAGAATGAACCATATTGAAGAAAAATGGAAAAATGTTTTATATGAGTTATTGATTCATTCAATTGTTTGTAAATACTAAAGGCCGGATTTGAAATTGGCAATATTGTAAGAAACATCCCTAAAAGTTCAAAAGAAGTGTATGACTGAAGGATGAATATTTCATACTGGTGATTGTTACTGTACTGCCAAATATTTGTATTCAAAATCAAAACTGTCACTGGGCGTAAATTACTTTGCCTGGCAAGCTATCTTCTGATAATTGGGTGAATTTTGGTTATTGTTACATTACTTGTAAATTGATGAGATATTTATAATATTCAAATAGTTTAGCTACGGTGCAAATTTAATTTGATAAAACACCGTTATCTATTCCTACAGCTGCCAGTGGTCGTATGTTACCCTGCCTGATAGGTTGTTTTTTTAAAAAAAAATAACAATTTTAGATGATTAATTATGGGTCTAAATCTTTATTTTGAATCTGTTTCAAAATCTTTGAAATGAAATCAATGATGTGCGTCAAACTGCTTTTCACTATTTAGCATCAATATGTTTTGTCCGTCTGCACAATGAAACGTAGTTCAAGTTTAATGAATAAAACATCAAAAACAACCTTAAAGGGATAGATTCTCCATTTTGGGGGGGTTGATTTGGGTATTGAATGTAAATAGTCTTCAGAAGTAATAGAAATGTACGAAAATCGCATACTTCCTTAAAGTAGGAATTTCAATTTCTATTTCTATAGATGTCTTTTCTAGATGGCAGAGTCACAAGAAAAAAGGGGTCGTCTTTATAACTTTTATTACGGATAATTCTGGAAACACATGGATTTTGAAGGCTCAAACTTCGACGGCAAGTTGTGATCACTTGTAGGCCTACTTAGCTCAGAATTAGCACCATTTGGTCAAACGGATGGCGAACCTGTACCTTTAAACATTTCAAAAATTGTTTTTCACCAATTACGTTCAAGGCTATTTTAAATAGGTCTAGCCCTTATTATGTGCCTTTAGGTCAATAAATTTCAAAGCGTTTCATAGTGTTTTGTTATTTTCTACTGAACGAATCGTGTCATATCAATAGTCAATAGGTTACACAAGAGAAGACCCGAATTTCTGTGAGAATAAGATAAAACTTACTGAACGCGAGGCCGATTACAAAATATAATAATTGTGAAGGATACCTTGTAGCTACGTGTCTGAGTCAGACGAGCGTATTTTTTGCCCGCTAACGTCTATAACAGCCACTGGCGAATTTTTACGCCCGATCACTAAAACTAATGATCTTATAAGAGCGTATATCACTGAGCGAAATTTTGATTTCGATCACACGAGGGAAAAAAATCAGCATCAAAGGTCTGGACAAAAACCAGATTTTGATTAAAGTAGGTTTTTGAGAACATACAATGTTTTATTGTTTTCTTCTGCTTGAGCTACTAAATTCAAAATGACCGCCATCCTCTATATTCTGAATACTATTTCTGTTATAGCTATGCTTTTAGGGCATCAATAGACATAATTTTGGTGTGAAAATATATGTTTTCAAGTAATTGAATCGCTTCAGAATTATCGAAACCAACTAAATGCACCGGACCCCGACAGGCGAAAATAATCGGCCAAAAATATCAAATGCTGGTGACAGACGAGCGTATTTTATTGCCCAATCGCTCAACAAATTCGCTAACTTTTCGTTACGTACACAAGTACATGTGTATGAATTGTTTTATAGAACGGGAAAAAAATGGTTAAATTAAATTTTAAATTGTTTCGTAATTTGTACTGAATACAACGTAGCCTATCCCATGCGAATAGAATTAAAGAAAATCGTTCGACCTCAATTAAAAGATATGAGATCAGAATATTATTAATTACATATGGTGGCATGCCACTTACAATACTAGCGCTTTATACAGGAAAAAATCGTTTAACTACTCCTATTGTATTATAATGATATAGTAAATCGGGCATTATTGTGAGTTTCAACTACTTCAGCCCTTTTCAGAACAGACCTTACTCAACTGACCCCTAAACCTGATTCGATCCACCCCTAACCCACATTTTGATGAAAAAAATAAGATAAACGAATCTTTTACAGATTCTGACATTTTTGACATATGAATGAAAGTGGTACTCAACCATGAAGGCAAAGGTATAAAAAAGCACAACACGTCGAGGTTGGGAGAATATTTTTTTTCTGACCAGCTACTGACAAGTTTATTGAAGCAATTGAGAACTTACATCAGTACAAAACTAACAAAATGAGAATTATTTTAGTTATCGCACTCATTTTGGCCATCGTCGCAGTTTCTTCAGCACAAAAAAGAAGATTTTCAAGAAGATGTAAATTCTGCAATAGAATGAAGAGTTTCGCTGAGAGAAATCCACATCGACGCTTGTTCATTCATCTGATTAAAAGAATGTGGTTCTGTAAAGGCTGTGATCCCATTGAGGGTAAGTACATATAACATTTTGAACTTTCATGTACGTAGATTTCATCTTTTGGGTTGATTTGGGCCTCGTACATAATGTAAATAGTCTTCAAAAGTACTGGAAATATACTAAAAACTTAACTCAAACTAGGAATTTCCCTTATATTGCTGTATATCCCTTTTTCTATATAAATGGCACAGTCTTAAATCGTCTTTTGAACTTTCAAATGAGGAGAATTCTAACCATATGGATCTGATGGATCAAATTTCAATTGGGAGCTATGAACACTATTACTTGGCTTAAATATTACCGTTTCTGAGACTAAGGTATGATTAGTTAAACAGATGGCGAAACTGATTCTTTAAGACTTATTTGTGAAACCATGGACCTGATGGACACAAACTGCCGACGATTATCGACATTTTATTTTAGAATAACAAAAAGTCAATGTGTTCGTCCAATATTTTGTGATGAGTTTTAAAGTGTCTAATTTTTTGTTCTTGAATTTTATGAAATATGCACCAAAATCTAGAGAATTTTGTCCCTTACCTTACCTGAAGGTTTTAACAAAACAAAAAAATTAACGCCAAAACTATTTAAACGGTTGAAAATCTTAAGTTAATTATGCTTTTTGGTAGGTGTAAGAAAACTAATTTAATTAAAATAAACGCTGAATTGTATAGACATATGTTCCCTGTGTATTGTATAGGTTTCAACTTTGCATATCGAGACTTTATGAGGTTCAACACCATAACTAGTTTAAGCTGCTGAATACGCAACGTTTTTAATCAATGATTTTAAAACAAATCTAGATACCTAGATGTGAATAATATATAAGAAATAATTTCAGATAAAATTTAAAACGCTTTTGATAATATTGCATACTGCCTTCTTCCGGAACATATTTAGTGTATAGTTTTCATAAATTTCATAAAAATGTTCGACCTACTATAAAAGGCAGACTGCTCCTTTAATTAGTTTAAACAAGTTAAAAGCGATGGTATTGTTCTGAGTAATCTTGAAGGATTTGTCTACTGTCCCCTCATTGCATACTGCATGGCGTTTCCCATCATCATTACCATTATCTGAAATATAAAAGTAAAACGAAATTCTGTTCATTCTAGACGTAATGAAATGCGTCAAAATCAATAGTAGGCCTACCATTGTAATACGGTTTATGTATATAGCCACATAAAATATTTGATGTACCAACTGATCCAACACATTCTGAGTCATCAGTGTCATTATTTTGGTTGAATCGCATCATCACATATCGCATCACATACCAAGTTCAAATAGGACGTCAATTACATACATTTATATCAAAATATAAGTAGTGAATAAAGGGTTAAAGAGTTATAACAGTAAAAAAGTGATTTTCAAAGTTATACATACTCCAGCGTCAATTGGACTGGACTGGAAGGCTGGGAGAAAGTTGGTAGGGGGTGTTTGTGCCACACCTTCACGATTTCGGGCATTATGACAAATAACGGGAAGATATCCCTTACCTTCCATAAAGTTGAGACTCTTGAGACGGCGTTTATATAATGATATGTGTGGCTTCGGTGGATTCGGTTGAATCTTTGATAAAATGAAAAATAAAAAAAAGAGAAATATGAAATGCTAATATTATTTAGATAGATAGGACTGGTGTTATTCGTACCTTTAAAGACAGAATCTGCAGAATTATCACCAAAAGTTGTAATGAAGATTGTCCATCCATGCGTATCAATAAAATAACATTGCTCATATTACCACATGCCTGATCGCATCCTTATAAGTAATCAATGTTAGCATTCAATGTTTTTTTGTGCTTCGACTCTTAAAAGTAAGCAGCCAACCATTGCATATTTTAAGTTTTTTTTGTGTATTTTTTTTTAAAGAATGTAATTATGTTGTTGTCGTACAGTGTTAAGGTCTTCCACCAAAACTGTTTTATCTGATGTTATTGAAACTCTGTGAGCACTTAACTGTTATAATATCGACATTGAGTGAAATCACACATGTGGTAGACGAATTTTCACATTGGTTAACGCGGAATTTTGCACCGCCATAAAACACGCACTAGAACGGAACTTTACACGAAATCGCGCGGGTATTAACGCGAAAACAAACACGTGACCACTGAATTCGGGTCATATGACGTTTTGTTCCACATGATGGACGTAGAAGAAATTCCGTCATCGCAGCTCACGTGATGAACAATCGCTCTCAGATTGAATAATATGTCAGTTTTGCTGCCTAGCGAAATTCCACCATGTAAATATCGCCGCACTGCCACAAGTGCGTCACCGCCAATTTATTTTCATTGAAACATGTACATGTGGCGATTTATTTTAGCATCTTTAAGTATTTGTCACTTTTGAACATTTCACCCTAATGAAATTAATGAAGTTATAACTAGGACGATGTCCGTCAATGATAGTTACATACCATAAGTTCACACTATTGGTTATTCTACTTCCAGTTGAAGATAAATGTACACCAGATCCTTGTAAAAACGATGGTGAATGCCAGTCTGAAAATGGTTCCTGCATTTGTCCTCCGGAATTTTCAGGGCCTACATGCGAAGGTGGGTAAAAGGGAGCGCTCTCATTAAATGTTCCTTATTACATGCCTGGAATTCTTTCAATCCGATTCCGTCGTGCATATTTGACAATGATGTGTGGTGTTTAGCTGCAACAATGAAATGGTCAAAGGTTGTCAGAACTTTTTCAAATCCATTATTTTAGTCACGGGTTTGGGCCCCGTTCCACAAAAAATCTTTATCTCGAGTATATTTACAATGCGAAACTCTACACTAATCATAAATTCTTATCTTTTTGAGGAACGGGGCCCTGTTGGAAATTGAGAAAATGGGCTTTCCCGTCGGTAATCCATGAATCACAATGTGATGTTCAGAGAACGGTACAACAATCAATCCTTCTGGTTTGACGCGTAACACATTCTTCGACAGTTTGTATTTGAAAAGAAAGTCTAATTTGGATCTCCTTATAAAAAAAATGCTACAGCTCGTCTTTGGTAACTCAGCAAACGTTAAAAACAAAAGGTAAAAACTAGTATGAATTAAATATTATTCACTGTATTTTAGATCCAGTACCATGTCTTTCAAATGACGAACCGGAGCGATCTTGTACCAGTAATTGTTTTGGAACCGAGGTCAACCTGTTTTGTGATGGAAATGAAGTCTGTTGTGATTTGAAGGGTGTAAGTAGAAATTTTGATTTCAAGACGACCGGCAATATTCTAGGATTCTAACTAACGTTACGATCGCCTTGCTGATGATAAACCCACGGCCTTAGAAAATATACTGCCCACATTATATTACTAGTCGGATTAAGTCCGCGGTTGGAGACGGTGAATTGTTACCGGTATGATACTCATTGGTAACGGCGTTGTCGTCTTGGCTTAATCCTCTATTTTGTTTCATATATACCGGTTTCTCAGATTTTTGTTTCGTGATCATACCTATAGACAATCTCCATTCGCCATATACCAACAAATTTAGACCAAATAGCACCAAAAGTTTTCATAGTTTCTGCAAACTAATCTATAACCCCGGGAAAAGGGAGACAACAATTATTCAAGTCCATTATTTTCAATTTATATCCCATAAATCCTCATATTAAATAAAGGAAAACAATATTATGACATTCTTCTGGATTTACCGCAACATTATCTGTGTTTCCACTGAGGCTAGCTTTCGTATGATTTCACGTGGCAAACTGACCGACCGTTCGTTTCGGGAACCAAAAACCTCTCATTTTTTGTTCAACAATTTATTGTATCGGGAGCCAAATGAATGCTAGCTTTAAGGCACAGATGCTTTATTCTTGGGGATGGATTTGAAAATATGTAAATAGGCTTCAGAAGAAATAAAATGTACGTACGTAAATCGCATAATTCCTTCAAAAATATCTCAAACTTGGAATTTTACCCACAATTTCCATATGTGTCCTTTCTATATACCGCAAAGTATCTTGACGAGACGTCATTGAAACGCGGCTATTTCTGGACATACATGGATTTCGTCAAATTTCGACGGTGAGCTGTGGACACTATTACTGATTGCCTAGCTAAAATATTTCCGTTTCTGAGACTAAAGTTTGGTCAAAAAGAATGGCAAACTTGTCCCTTTAATAAAGCCGGATTTCACTTTACTCAATGGAAACGCAAAAAGGCAGCTTTATCTCGTTTGGCAATAGGGGGCGTACTTTCCTATCTATTGCATTTCTTACTGGTATAAACGGTAGTCGTGTACAATACGACTTGTCAATAATGTGTAACTTTGTGATCAAGGCTAATATCGTTTGGGGACCACTTAAACTCGCTACGCATTCGGCAATAAAGCAATGGAAAAGAAATTGTGTTCCGTTGTTTGATGTTGGTATCGCTCGATTCGTCTTTTCCAATTGTGGCCTCAATCGAACAGAACGGAATATGTAACATTAAATTTGTTTCCCTTCTGTTCCTTTCTCCGCAAATCTGTTTTTATTTTCGGCACATGTGGAACGCGTTCTGAAACCTTGATTGATTCTACGAATCCCGAACTTGCAGAATTCACCAATGAAACGACCCCGGCTCTACACCTCAATGTCTTTGATTTAACTCTTGCATGTAGTTTATAAATTGAAAATAGGCTTATAAGAAGTTGAAGAATTTAATGACTTTGAACGTGAACGTTAAATTTATAATAAAAAAAAGATACGAATCGTCAACATCTGCTTACAGATGATGTCCAAGATGCCTGGCTAGAAAAGAGGCAGCAGACACCTGTGTGTATAAGAAAACTGATTTTGAGTTGGTTTTATGTTTACCGCCCATATAAAGGTGTGTTGAATGATTTTTTCTTTTTCTATTCCAGCTGTGAAGAAGTTGCAGATGTGAGATGTTATACTAACTATAAAATACTAGTTCTAATATTAATATTCATCATAAAATACATATGCCTTAAGTAACATCACAGTAACACGTTGCTTTTTCTGATAAAAAAAAATTAAATTTCGATCCACTGAAGAAAGGGATTACTATTGCTCTTCGGAATAATAAAGTTCACTTCCAGCTATTTTAATCACTTTAAGAAATGAAAATTGGTTGACAATTGGGAAAACAAATATTTAAACGTTGAGCCTTATGAGTAATGCATCATTTAATTGTCAAGTGAAATTATCTAATCTAGATTCTGAAATTCAATGAAATTAAAAAATTGAAATGTTTAAAAGTCCCCTTTACTAAAACTGATTAATATTGAAAACGAGGTTATATTTATTATGATTATCCTGTAATTTGTTCTAATGCCGGTGACTAAATAAAAGCTTCTAAGCCATTCTGTTTTTCTCTACTATTCAGTTCAATAAAGGCGCCTAATCAGTAGCGGCGCCAGTGGGTGGTACAGGTGAGGGGGGAGGGGGAGTTTGGGGCGGAAGCAAATTTTGCCTCCCTTGAAAAGTGGTTTGCACCCCCACTTTATTTTTCAACAAATGTGACTTTCTACAATTTTTCTCCGAAATATGTGTCAGAATGCACAATTCACTTTTTCTAGAATTATCTTCAGAGAACACTCTATGAGAGGCTTGTGACTATGACACCACCACAGAGTAGCCAAAATTTGAAAGCCTCAGCAGTTGCCCCCCATTGTATCAGTCTGCCCCTATTTGTACCCCAAGACTCGGAAGGATGGCGCCGCCAATGCCCCTAATACCCTCATTTCAACAAGCACTATTTTGGAATCAATAGTACCTGTTCAGTTTTTTGAGTTGATCGGCTGTATTGTTGTAAAACAGTCGGAAATCTGCGAGGACCATCGAGCATGACTATTTACCCTCTGGGGAGGATCTGGTGCGTGACCACTCAGTTTCCCGATGGTCGGTTACTGACAAAGTAATCATTTTTTGAATGACCCGTTGTTGGCTAGAGTCGTGATTTAACCAGATTAAGTCCCGACCATAGAAGTTGATGAATGGGTACGAATAACGGAAATTCTTCGAGCGATTGATACGATTCGGGGCAAATAATACAAAATTAGGAGCAAGTACCTGAAGGTACCCGCTCCCGATACCTGTCGTTTTCCGCGCGAGAGGTACCGAATGTAGGCGTATGTTGATGCAACCAGTCACCAGAATTTTCTCCCTGAAATTCAACTATCCGTATTCGTATGTCCATCTGGTGTCAATATCGGGTCAGTGAGATACATGAGCATTGGCGGTGAAATGAAATGCCTCGCGGTGGGTGGTTCAAGCATATTAGAACTAGAACATCATATCAGTGTTCTGTTAGTTCGATTGATGCGTTTTGTCTGTGGTAATTGGGATTTCAACAGTTGTCGAATATCGAATTCCGCCGGTTTGTAAGTCAGATAAAACACTCTCCCTCGCAAAATTGGTTTGAAATATCACATTATTTCTCGACCGTGTTTTATCTTATACCAATAGCTCAGTCTACGCCGATTTCACATGTATTAATCTGCAGAATTCCACATAAAAATAAACTAGTAGGACTACCCCATATCCCCATACGAAAGAACTAATTTTCTCTTTTCTGTTAACATTTATGGAAAGGTGGAATGGTTTTCATTCAATGTTCTTCATTGCTATTTCTTAATCCTTATATCTTAATTTGCACGCTTAATTTGTCAAAAATATCCTCAAATACAAGTCTGTTGAGCTAGATTTGTATTTGTAGGTTTGTATTTGAGGATATTTTTGATATTTTTTGGCAAGAATTCTATTAATTCAATAATTGGAAAACCGAATGTTTATCAAAAAAGTTCATTTTCAGTACAAATTATGGTTTTTGTATACAAATGTTAATTTTGAAAGACAAATTTTGAAGCGTGCAAATTAAGATATAAGAATTAAGAAATAGCAATGAAGAACATTGAATAAAAACCATTCCGTCTTCCATAAAAATTTATAATCGAAAATTTAATGTTAAAATGGGATGGAATAACTGCAATGCAGGTGCAGCTCTGAATAACTATAAATACTGTTACATGGCAATCTTGTGTCCATTCAATTGAGAATCTGACAAAATGGGTTCTTTCAAAGTCTATGTGTCAATGTTTGTGTTGATCGCTATGCTCAATAGTTCCAGCAGTTATGAAATGGCATCAAGAAACAATTTTGAACCCTCACTTAGAGACTGTCTTAGTGATGATATTGTTCCTACCTTACAAGGATCGTTTTGTCCAAAAGGTATGTATCTCTCTCATTGGTATAATATCTAGAACGTATTAATCTCTATCTCAATAGATGCATACTGTCTAGAAGGTATATATCTCTATCTCAATAGATGTATAATGACCAGAAGGTATGTATCTCTATCTCAATAGATGTATTTTAATGTCTAGAAGTTATGTATCTCTATCTCAATAGATGTATAATGTCTAGAACGTATTAATCTCTATCTCAATAGATGTATACTGTCTAGAAGATATGTATCTCTATCTCAATAGATGTATAATGTTTAGAAGGTATGTATCACTATCTCAATAGATGTATACTGTCTAGAAGATATGTATCTCTATCTCAATAGATGTATAATGTCTAGAACGTATTAATCTCTATCTCAATAGATGTATACTGTCTAGAAGATATGTATCTCTATCTCAATAGATGTATAATGTACAGAAGGTATGTATCTCTATTTCAATAGATGTATAATGTCTAAAAGGTATTATCTCTATTTCAATAGATGTATGATGTCTATAACGTAGGCCTATGTATCTCTATTTCAATAGATGTATAATGTCCAGAAGGTATGTATCTCTATCTCATTAGATGTATAATATCTAGAAGGTATGTATCTTTATCTCAATAGATGTATAATGTTAAGAAGGTATGTATCTTTATTTCAATAGATGTATAATGTCTAGAAGGTATGTATCTCTATCTCAATAGATGTATAATGTCTAGAAGGTATGTATCTCTATACCAATAGATGTATAATGTTTAGAAGGTACGTATATTTATCTAAATAGATGTATAATGTCTAGAAAGTATGTATCGATTATTCAATAGACGTATACTGTTTAGAATGTATGTATCTTTATCTCAATAGATGTATAATGTCCAGAAGGTATGTATCTCTATCTCAATAAATGTATAATGTTTAGAAGGTATGTATCTCTATCTCAATAGATGTATAATGTCCAGAAGGTATGTATCTCTATCTCAATAAATGTATAATGTCTAGAAGGTATGTATCACTATCTCAATAGATGTATAATGTCTAGAAGGTATGTATCACTATCTCAATAGATGTATAATGTCTAGAAGGTATGTATCACTATCTCAATAGATGTATAATGTCTAGAAGGTATGTATCTTTATCTCAATAGATGTATAATGTCTATAAAGTATGTATCTTTATCTCAATAGATGTATAATGTCTAGAAGGTATGTATCTCTATTTCAATAGATGTATAATGTCCAGAAGGTATGTATCACTATCTCAATAGATGTATAATGTCTAGAAGGTATGTATCACTATCTCAATAGATGTATAATGTCTAGAAGGTATTTATCACTATCTCAATAGATGTATAATATCTAGAAGGTATGTATCTCTATTTCAATAGATGTATAATGTCTATAAGGTATGTATCTTTATCTCAATAGATGTATAATGTCTAGAAGGTATGTATCACTATTTCAATAGATGTATAATGTTTAGAAGATATGTATCTCTATTTCAATAGATGTGTAATGTCTAGAAGGTATGTATCTCTATTTCAATATATGTATCATGTTTAGAAGGTATGTATCTCTATCTCGATAGATGTATACTGTCTAGAAGGTATGTATTTCTATCTCAATAGATGTATAATGTCTAGAATGTATTTATCTCTATTTCAATAGATGTATAATGTCTAGAGGGTATGTATCTCTATCTTAATAGATATATAATGTCCAGAAGGTATGTATCTCTATTTCAATAGATATATAATGTCTAGAAGGTATGTATCACTATCTCAATAGATGTATACTGTCTATAAGGTATGTATCTCTATTTCAATAGATGTATAATGTTTAGAAGGTATGTATCTCTATCTCAATAGATTTATAATGTCTAGAAGGTATATATCTCTATCTCAATAGATGTATAATGTCTAGAAGGTATGTATCTCTATCTCAATAGATGTATAATGTCTAGAACGTATTAATCTCTATCTCAATAGATATATACTGTCTAGAATTATGTATCTCTATTTCAATAGATGTATAATGTCTAGAAGGTATGTATCTCTATTTCAATAGATGTATAATGTCTTGAAGGTGTGTATCTCTATCTCAATAGATATATAATGTCCAGAAGGTATTTATCTCTATTTCAATAGATGTATAATGTTTAGAAGGCATGTATTTCTATCTCAATAGATATATAATGTTCAGAAGGTATGTATCTCTATTTCAATAGATGTATAATGTCTAGAAGGTATGTATCTCTATCTCAATAGATGTATAATGCATAGAAGGTATGTACCTCTATTTCAATAGATGTATAATGTCCAGAACGTATGTATCTCTATCTCAATAGATATATAATAATATCCTGTCAATCTAGTTCAAATCAGATTACATTTTAGTATCTTTTTGTTTTCTGAAATTTTTACTCAACTTTGTAATCTTAGAAGATTTCTAGCAAATGTCAGTCTCAAAGGTAGTATTTTACAGCGAAACTCATATTAAGACTTTCATATTGCTCTACTGTAGGTTTTGATATCCCACAATTCCTTCTTTTATTCGGGTTTTATAGGACAGACTTTTAATAGTTTGAAATACTACCTTTCGGACAGGCATGTCCCCTTGGTAGAAAACTATTTAGATTATAAAGTACAATAATAAAATATTTTCACTGTTAAAATAGTACTCAATACATTAATATAGAGCGATAGATATTACTATGAAGGGTAACAATATCAGCAACTAAAATATGGGCAAAAAAAACCAGCCCACCTCTTATCCGTACCATTGTTAGCAGCCATAGAGAACACACATTGTGACGGTACAAATACCCAGTGCGTAAAAAATATACGAAATTATATAAGTTTACTTAGATTGATTGTCCAGTATATAGTCCAGTCAATCTACGCTGATGTATGTTTTAAGTTGTAATGAGTCGATTGTTTTATTTTAAGCGAATCCTTGTAAAAATGGTGGAAAAGAACAGCCTGATGGAACATGTGTTTGTACCGATGAATATACAGGTACTACTTGTGAAGGTCAGTTCATAAATTATTCTACCTTCTAGAATAGGAACCTAAACTCTGCCAGATTTTGTGATGTGAAATATGGTACCAATGTAATTATGGAATTGTTCAATTCAATGCTTCAACGTGGATCTGAGACGATAGAACCCATATCACAATTACATTTTTTTAAAATTAAGATTTCAACCTTGTTGTTTTAGAAAAAGTGAATCCTTGTAAAAATGGTGGAATCGATCTGCCTAGTGTGGGATGTGTTTGTACATTTGATTTTACTGGTTCTACTTGTGAGGTCAGTACAGATGATAATATAGAATACTTGGCTTTTGGTGAGGTACATAAAACCCATGTCATCTGGAACTTTTTTTTGTGGGTCAATGTCATTATGAAGATGATCTGATAACTTTTCACCGAAACATCGTGTCCGATTAAGCGTTTTGTGCAACTCGTGCTCACTCTACAGGCAACAATTCTTTATGAATTCTTTTGCTTTTTATTTTGTGGATCAATGTCATTATGAAGATGATCCCCATCGATTTTCGTAATGATTTGATGATTTTTTCGGCGAAATGTCGTTTCCAACTTAGCGTATTCACTCTATTAGCTATATAGTGCAACTTGTGTATATGCCCGCACGTAATATAGAAGTATATTGTCGTCCGTTCACATTTGGCTCATTCTCAATCTACAGGCTTAAATCCTTGATCAAGATTCTGACTTAGCAAATTCACTCTATATAGCATACTCTATTTCAATCTATTAGTTATACAGTGCAACATTTGCTCACTCCTCAGGCAAGAATTCGTTTTGGATTGTTTTGATTTTTATATGCCCACACGTAGTATTGAAGCATATCCATCCGTCCGTCGATACACACCGGTCATGATTCGATACAATAAAGTTTACCCAGAATTCTCTATAGACTAAACACGAACCAAATATGAATGGACAACAAACAATGATTTGAACTTGCAATCAAAGCTTCGTGGGCGTATGTCACCTTGCATTGCCATGCTATCTTTTCAGATTTCTAATGACCTTACAATTTTCTGTGTAATCATATATGGCAATAATGCATGAACATATTCTGAAAAAACAATTTTCAACTCCAGTCCTAACATCATAATTAAATGTATTTATCCCACATCAATATGGTTTATATTATTAGAATGCATTCGTAATTCTCTCTTTTAAGATATGTGAGATAGCTGGTTTTCTATAAAAATTCAAATTATTCAATTTGGATAAATTTAAAAAATGAATAAAAATTTTATGATTTCATTTTTCTCAGAAAATCATAACGTGTCAAAATGATTGACAGGGTGTTAAGCATGTTTTACAACAAATGAGTGCGCTAGTACCTCGTAAACCAAAATTAATATCTTTTTCCCGGGATTCGTACATAATATACTCCCTTGCATTCTCTATATGTCGATATAATGAATGTTAATTGAAGATTTAATTATGAATACCAGTCAACATGTCAACTCGTCGTCAACTCTTCGACAAAAATTGATGACAAAAGATATATGATCAAATTCCTAATGCGGGTGACTAAGTCGATTATCTACGTGCGTTGTTTTTGTCAATTGAATACTTGAGAAGTTTATAGTGATGCGGTATCAAAAGGTTAATTCTATAATAAATATAAATAAAAACTGAAACAATAATTTTACTTGAGTAACATTTGTCGGCAAGTCGTCTTTGTCTTGTAGACGAGTCGTCTGAATGTTGTCGACGAGTTATCCACGAGCTGACTGAACACTTATAATATTGCACTCGAAAATACGTTGTGAACCACTTAAATTATATTGTGCGTTAACGTTTACAGTATTACTTTGTTACATTTTGTCTAAGGGCGGGGCCAGAGGACTTGGTTCAACTAGTTCTTATTGTAATCGAGAAATGAAATAAAATGAATAGAGTTTTACGTCCTACTTGTCTGCACCATGTGGGCTAATGAAGACGGGCAACGTCATGCACGGTGCAATGGGGGAAATTTTGCATTAGCCTGCTCTTTTCGATGTTCAATTGTCGAGGGATTTTTAATGTGCATAGCCTGTAGCACACGGTGCCTCGGTTTATTGTCCCATCCGAACGACTAGACGCTTTTTCCATGTCAGCCCCTCTTACATGACAGGGTAAACCAGGTTGAAAAATCCGAAGATATTGTGTGCCGGGATTGAACCCTGGACCTTCAGGTTAGCGAGCAGGCGTTTAACTCACTTAGCCACCGCGGCTCCCTTATTGTAATCCTATGCAATGTATTAAAAATATATTTTCGTTTTGTTTTTCCTGATCAGAAGCCCGCTCATGTCGATAACAAATTTAACACCCATATGCGTAACTTTTTTCTCTATTATTCCTTACAAATTGAGAATTTTGAGGTAAAATTTCTGGAGTGTATTTATATAATTGATTTATTTATTGATACACGAAAGTTTTAATTTCTTGTTAAAACTTTAGTTGAAAGCTAACAGGCTAGAAGTTTCAAAAGGTTCAAAAGCCATGGGATAAGGTCTCGTTGCCACAGTTCTAGTTTTTTGTAACTGTTTTCAGAGTAAGCCCTACCTTGCAACAACAGAAATAGTTCGAACATGTTCGGCATATCAGACATTTTAGACCACGGAATTACCTTTTAAATATGTTTCGAGACATCAGACTCCAACAGGAATGATGTAGCGGAAAACTTCCTAATTTCAAAAACCCACCATAAAACACGCTAACGTTTGCTTCCAAGCAGACTGCAGTTTCAGAAAATCCTGATTCAAAAATTTTGTCACTAACTTTTTGAACTGAATTTTTGTCAAAATTCCCATTTTTTAATTTTTATTCGATTTTTACGGAACTTGGCAGATTGCACCAAATTATCAATTATGATTATTCAAAAAAAATTTCCAAAAAAAATTCCGGAAAATGATCGAAAATGACCGAAAAAGGTCGAAATTCATAAAAAACATACTTTTCGGACTATGTTTTGAAAAAACTTCCAATTCGTAATTCCGCGATTTTTTTGCAAAATCCTAACCGTTTAGCTTCCATTTTGAAAAATGCAAAAAGTCAATAAGGGATGGCGTGTCCACTGTATGTTTTTTTTTTCTCTATTTGAAATATAGAAATTGAAAAATGTTTTTATTTTTGTAGAAGGGAAGGTAAGCGAAGAGGATACGGATGTCATTCGATAACAATGACATTGATGATTGAAATAAAATAGATAAAAAAAAAATAATAAAAATGTTGTTGATGTATTATATAACATACCGACGTAATTTGAAACAACATTATTGTCATTCCACCGAACAACAACTAATCCCACAGAAGAATCGTATGCAAAATCAAATGACCCTCTTGCCATTTTACTAACCAACAACCAACTAACAATTATCAATGCGATTCGATTTAACCGTACCCGTACATGCTAATTCTTTAGCAGATAGTGCGTCCACAAGTTTCAGGGAGGTAAACAGATTATCAAAAGTCATATGGTAAGGATAATCATTCCGAAGGTTAGATATTAAGTTGAATATAACGGACCCACCTAAACCGGCATACTCCCGTCGACCAAATGCATATTGATAATGCTCAAATTGAACTGCGTATCCAATAGGGGTTGCTAATACCCACATCTCATTCAGCAAATCCAAAAGTGGCCTAACCTTACTGAACCTATCATGTGGATCCAGCTGATTATTGTCACTGAGGTGCAGATATCTCTGGATCTCATCAAACCTATCTCTGGACATAGCCGATGATATTGCTTCATTGTGGATATCCTTGTCATATGACCAATACATTCGTTTTCGTGAGATAACTAAGATCACAATAAAAGCTTGCATTTCATCTTGTTGTGAAAGTATGATTACCCTTAGATCTAGCATATTGGAGTGTTTTGGTTGTAAACAATTCAAAAACATCTTCATCAAAGAACAATTCGAATAGTTCTATAGGATCTTTAGGTAAATTTGAAAGATCGGTGTTTGGTACATTCAAGTCAAAACGTTTAGATTTAGATGATGGCAAATCACGTTTTGACCATTGTCTTGTAGTGGATGGAACAATTTCTTTTGGGCGTTTGGCAGCTGTTGGGGTTAGTAGTATAAGAGGTTATAGATAGAGGGTACTTTTTATAATTTATAAAAACCGCCCCCTATCTATAACCTCTTATACTACTCTTTTTGCCTGCGGCGCCCGCAAGCCCACCAAACAAACAATCCCACCAGACACGCTTAATAAACCCGTTTACCAACCCCCAAGCACCCCACTCCTATAATATCTTCAAATTAACTCATTTAAAAACAGAATGAGTTTAATTTTAAAACATGAACAACACAAATTCTCATCCCAAAAGTAGCCAACTTTGCCTCAAACAACAAATCCCTCATTTCATCTGGAGCGCAAGCTCTTCGATCTGAAGCAAAAGCAGGTGTAAATATAAGCGATGCAGTGAAAAGATCTAACGAGTTGAAAGAATTACAACATATAAGAGAAATGCGAAATAAAAGTTTTGAAAACAAAAAAGGCAATGGTTTTAAAATTATAGGATAAAAATGTCAATGATAATTGCTCAAACTCCTAAAACTTATTCGGTTCTGACATTCAAAAATCATTAGGTTCTCTTCCTGGATTATCATGGGCAAAATACCCGGGGGAAAAACATCTTCCGGGTCATAATTACACTGGTCCAGGTACATGGTTAGATCTGCGATTAGACGAAAACGATAAACCAAAACCAGGTGAAGAACTAGTCAATAGAGTTGATGCTGCTGCACATAAACACGATATATTATACAGAAATAAAGACATAACATCCAGACACGAAGCAGACAAACAAATGATAATCGAACTTGAAAATATTCCAAATCCAACTTTTAAAGAGAGAATTCAAAGAGCAAAAATCATTAAACTCTTGAAAGCAAAGATGAAAATGGGTATGGGAATAGCAGATGAAATACACAAAGAATTTAGAAAAAACAAACATTTTTTTAAAAGTCAAAGCGTTTGATAAAGATGAAACATGGTCAGCTGATTTAATTAATATGTCGAAAGAGGATATAAATATTGTTTAACCGTTATAGATTTGTACACAAGATATACTTGGGTTATTCCTCTCAAAAACAAAACAGGTTTATCAGTCAAACAAGCATTTGAAACAATAATGAAACAATCCAACAGACGACCTCTATCGTAGATAAAGTAAACACCACATCACCTCCCACATGTGAATTAATCGATCAAGACAAAGAACAAATCATAGGTAGGTTCCATCAAAACGAACTTCAGAAAACTGACTAGCTTTCTTGGTAAATACGGAACTGATACAACTACAAACTTTCAACTTATGAAATGGGCAAATGAGTTAAATGTATCACCGTTTTATTATTGTATGAAAGATGAAAAAAATAATCTCAAATATAAGAAAGGTAAATTTTATGCTATAACAACTATACATACTTCCGATCAAAAAGGAGTTCATCATTTTGCTTTGTACAAAGACTCTTCAAATGACTTATATTTTTTGGATTCTTTTGGATTAGAACCCACTGAAGAGATAGTGAAATTAACTAATAAACCAATCAAATGTTCAACATTTCAATTTCAATTACCGGGACAAAAGTTTTGTGGTCAACTTTCACTTTGGGTTTTATATAAATTAAGTTTAGGAAAACAGTTTGAAGAAATTGTAATAAATTTAACTTAAAAAAAATGGCAAATAAATTTGGATTAGGTTCTTTACCTTTAGATACTAAAAAACCTAACACTACAGCATGGATAAATAAAGCAAAACCTTATTTTGTGGAACAAATTGGAGACACCCTTCAAGGTGATTTAGATATGAATAATTTTACCATTACTAATTTAAAGTTACCAGAAAATGATTATGATGCTGTTCACAAGAAATATTTAATGGATCAATTAAATTTAATTGAAGTAAATAAAGACCATTTAAAAGAAAGAATAGGCGATGTGAAAAGATACTTCAAACTACAAAAAAATAATAAAGATTTTATTGATGATACTAAATTACAACAAGAAGTAACAAGTTTGAAAAGTTTTATTGAAGAACAATTACTTAATGTAGTAGATAAAACTGAATAACAACCTTTAAGTTCATTAAAATCTAATTTAGATGATCAGATTACAAAACAAAAAAATAGATCTTAAACAAGTAATAGCCAATATTAATCCAAGTATAAGTGAAGATAAATTAACAACATTAGAAACTAAACTTATTGATAATAGTGAAATACAAAAACAAATAGCTGGTATTAAACAACAATTACTTGATGTAGTAGATAAAACTCAATTATAAAATTTAAAATCATTAATATCTAAATTAGATGATAAGATAAAACAAAAAATAGACCTTAAACAACTAATAGATAATATTAAACCAGGTATAAGTGAAGAAAAATTAACTGAATTAGAAACCAAACTCACTGATAATAGTGAAATAGTCGCCATTCAACAACAATTAGACTCAGTTACAAAGTTTAAGTTCATTAATATCTAATTTAGATGATAAGGTTACAAAACAAAAAATATACCTTAAACAATTAATAGATAATATTAAACAGGTATAAGTGAAGAAAAATTAACTGAATTAGAAACCAAAATAGATGCTATTAAACAACAACTTCTAAATGTAGTAGATAAAACTCAGTTTCAAAGTTTAAGTTCATTAATATCTAATTTAGATGATTAGATTAAAAAACAAAAAATGATTCTTAAACAACTAATGGATAATATTAATCCAGGTATAAGTGAAAACAAATGGCAACAGGGACCAACTGCCCTAGAAACTGAATTTTATAACTGAATTACTAAAAGAAGTAACAAATATTAATCAACTAATACAAAATATTTATGATAGTGAGATTCAACAACAGATAACTACTATTAATAACAAAGTTTTAAAACAGGAAAAAAATATAGCCGCATTAGAAAAACATCTCAAGGAAAATAAAAAATCATTTTATTTCAATCTTCCATTTTTCCGTCTGAGAAATACTGAGCGTATTCCTACAGGTGAAACAACATATCAGTTGGAAGGATATGGATTTATATTAAAAATAAACGTATTTTCATATATAAGTGGAAACGTTAAAAACATATTTGATGATTCAGGAAACTTTAATTTCCGAGGTAAATCTCTAATTGAAATTCTTTTTCCTGTAAAAGTTCAAATCGAACCAATCTTCTTCTCTCATCCATCTAACTATTTTAACGCTCTTAAGATTTTCGAATTTATCAAAAAACGGTGAATATGTTGAAAATAAAGATTTGGAAGTTAATGATGAAAACAACAAGCCTAATCATATGTATGAATTTAAAACAAATGGAAAATATATAGACACCTTTAGATTGTCAATAATACCAGACAATGACAACGATATTCTTTCAATAGGTGATTTTGATATGATATCAGAGACGGAAAGCTCAGCATCGATGAACATTATTAGAAATCCAACTCCACAAAAACCACACACAATAAAGAGTTATACGTTTTTAAGACTTTGAATATGTAAAACTATATTTTGTTAATACTAGTTTTTCACTCAATGTACGAAAATATTATCCTGATTTATTTACCTCAATTGATATTCACAAAAGTCAACAAGAATTTATAATATTTTCATCAATAATTGAACGTCATGAAGGAGATATTAATAAAGAAGTTGGTGGTATATATACTTGTAGATGTAGTATAGAGATTAATATTGAAAAAAATTTTTTACAGTTCATCTAAATAAGATTAATGATTCGAAAGAAGAAATATCATTAGTATCTGTAAAAGTTACTATTTATACACCCGAAGTAATGATAACAGATGAACGAAAAATAATAGGAGGAGGTATAGAGATTAAAGGGTTCCCTATTGTAAATATTGAACAATATCCATCTTTTTCTTTATCAGAAATTCACTTAATTTAATGTCTTAAAACTGGAACTCAAAAGTAGACAACAATATATGATAGACAAACAAAACGAGTTAAAAGTAAAACTAGAACAATATAATAAATGTAAGAAAAGGATTAGAGTTGATTCTGTTTACAAAACACTGAGTGTGCTTCTAACAGTAGGAACAACAGTTGCAACGGCTGTAACTGGTGGATTAATGGTTCTAGTACTTATCCCAACTTTATTAGCAACAATTACTGCTATTCAAACTTCATCTTGTGGGTTGATTGCTATAGGTTATACATCAAAACAGAAATCTTATTATAAAAAGAAAACAGAAATCTTAAATGCCTATCTTAATAAATCATTTATATTTTTCGAAAGATCAACAGAAGATAAGAACATAACCATTGAAGAATTAGAAGAATTCAATGAAATTCTAAAAAATTGA